TGACCCTTAACTCTCCGCCTCGAATATTCCCAATCCCTACCCCTCGGCCGCTCTTGAAGGTACCCTTCTTCTCTGCAGCCTTCTTTGAGAGATCCTCGCAGGTTGAAGCGCTCACGATCGCATTCTCCCCGCAGGCTTTAGGAGGTTCGGGGTTCAGGGTTTAGGGTTTAGGACCACTGACTCGACATGTGGCCAATGCCCACCAAGAAACAATCTCGCGGTTCAGGCTGGCCAGCAGAAGGTTGTAGCCTAGATGTGACGCACACAAACGCCACTGACCAGCAACGCTACCCTGGGGATTACTGTTACTATTATTCTGATTACTACTGTTATTAATATTATTACCACTATGTATTAATGGCACTTCACCTCCACATGCCTGAATGATGCTCTTATGCCGTTCACCCGGGCTGCCGTCCCTGCACAACATGAAGTCAACGACTATAAGTGCCATTGCCAGCCAAGACCAGCGAAAGCTTGTAGGTTATAAAGGAAGACTGTGGCTTATGCGGGCTGCCACTGCCTTTTTGGACAGTATCTCATAGCGTCACAAAGGAAGTTAGAAGAGGCTAGCAGGGTTTTAGCCGGAGTCTCATCGCTGTTAACACCGATGAGCTTCCTGCAAGCTTCTCTTCGATAACTGTCGATAGCCACCAAGTGCACACACTCCTACCATCACCTGAGGCTCATGTACACCTGTTGTGGGTTCCATTCCGAGCCCCTTCGCCCTATTTTTTTCATCGTTTTTCTTTGTTGGCATCCGAGGGCCAACAAGTAATGTGAAGTTTTGTTTGCAGAGAAACAAAAAAAACACGCGAAAGGCTCCTGTTAATGCTCTGTTTTCAACAGGGCAAGTCATGCTTTAAGAAGGATGTGGCTTCTGCAAACCTCTAAGCCAGGGGGACACCAAGAATCCCAGAGGCCAGAAAAGAAGGCTCAAAAGCTAGGACGGCCAACGAAGCACAAAACCCTAAACCCCAACCGGCCCTAGGCCCTAGCCCTAAACCCCGTGCCTCAACCCATGGTTGCCCACCGCTGCTTGACAAGCTGCTGTTTTTCTTCTTCGTCTCGGCCATCTCGGCTTCGGCAGTCTGGTTTACGAACTTGCCCTGCAGCCCCTTCAGCATCTCGATGACGTTTCCGGACTGGAACCTCTAGTGCGATATGGGAGCTTACGAAAACAGGGGGGCCCCTTAAAATAGACCCCCAAACAGTTGGATCCCCTGATAACAAGGACCCCTATAAGGTACCCCTAGTATCGTAACCCCCCTATCGCAGCGCAGGATATGCACGGCACCTGCTGGCGCCTCTTACACGTGCAAGCAGGGCCTCGCCCATGCATCTATGAGGTTTAGGGTTTGGGGTCGCTGCGGGCAGGGCTGGGTCGCACATTCCGGCCTATCGAAGCCAAAGCGCCCCCATCGCTCAGATTCTTCCAATGCATTTCTTGCGGTCGAGAAATCTTTGGGGTTCAGGGTTGGATTGCCCCTTCTGCTCTCGCTCGGTTACGGTCACTCTCAAGGTCTGTTCTAAGGGCGGGTCTCATACGCATCTGCCTTGGGGGCCGTCGGCTTCTTCAGTGAAAACACCTTGCCAAAGGAGGAAAAGGGCCAGGATGTCGGGCAAAGCTTCACCCTTTCTGGGCTCGGGCTTGCCTTGGTCTCTTGTGGCCGATGAATCATTACTATTCTTACTGTTATTATTATTATTATTCTTATTATGATTATTTTTATTGCGATTATTATAGTTACTATTTTTAAAAAGGGTTCTTCTTACTGCATGCGCATGCACTTCCAAAGCTTGGTTTCCAAGACTGAGTGCACCGAAGCAAGGTGCCGGCCCCTTGATAGCTGGGCAGATGGGGGAAGCACATGCCACTCAAGTTCCTGGTTTAGGGTTTAGGGTTTAGGGTTTAGGGTTTAGGGTTCCTGTTCCGTCATCTGCCCACAGATGACCTTCCGAAGCAGGCCTTGGAGAGGCTGTCCAAGTCCTCTTCGGTCAGGTGCGCGAGCTCCGCTGCCCGGTGCACCTCTTCGTTGAGAGCTGAAGACTGGTATGCTAAAGTTTTGGGCAATGGTGGGATTGGGGTCTCGCTTTGACCTTAGGATCTGATCTCTTTGCCAAAGCCCTAAACCTTAAACCTTCTACTTCTAGACCTTGCCCCCAAGTTTAGGTGCGGGAGGCATGTGGACTGGCCCCCCACTTCATGGCCTGAACCAGGACCTGCTCCCGGTCATAGTCCTCCGTGAGGGGATGAGGGCTTCTTAAACTTCGCTAAGGAGCTTCTAGGTCTAGGGTTTACTCGGAGCTATATCGAAGTCTGAGCAACTGAGCGCGACTGCACTGTGAACCAGCACATCATCGGGACCCCCCTCCAGCAGTACTGAAACTAGGGTTTAGGATTTAGCTTGGATTGATGCTGGCAATCGCCCAGATTCGCCTCATGTTGTGGAGCTAGCGTGGGCAGAACCAGAGTCTTCAGCATTCCAAGATCGGCTGCCCGACTGCGAGAACAAATCGTGCTTGCTTGCGCAGCGGTGGTCATTTCAGCATACGGGAGTTGCCTCTTTCTTCAAAGTCTCGAGCGCCGCATCGATCGCCTTGACATGCATTCGCTATGACCCATCAAGCTAAGCCTTGAGTTTGTAGCGCAGCATCCCTGACTTCAACATCGCCATGCACCATGTCAAGACATTGACATGGCTAATCTGTGCGGCATGCTCGCTTCATTCCGACGCATTCCTTTCACTCGTCCGAGTTGCTGTCACGGACTCTCCCAGGTCGGTCTTCAAAGCATCGTAGTCTGCCGCTTCGGCCTCACGAACCTGCACATCATTGTTTAGGGTTTAGGGTCAAGAGCAGCAACTCCTGGCACTTCGAGAGCCTCAAGCGGAGGAAAAGGCAGACGAGTTCAGAAGCAAAAAGATCACATTCTGCCGTCTCCCGGGCTTGCCCGAGAACTCCCCTCTCCCTGCCGGTCCCTGCTACTGTGGTCTCCGCCTCCGTGGCGTTTGCCTTGTTCTTCTCCAGCTTGGCAGTGTCGGCCTGGCTCAAAGCTGAAGGCCACGCACCAAGTATGCCAAATCTAGGAACCCGGCAAACTTGTACAGTCCTACAACCTTACCTAAGAAGCCACTCCAGCCCAAGCCGCGCCCGCCCCCGGTTTAGGGGTTAGGGCTTGTAGGGCCTATTAGAGGGTTTAGGGTCCCCCCCCACCCCACCCAAAACCCATCCCACAACCTTGCATGGTTCCCCCATGAACCTCGTGCCCGGCGATCTCCTCAGACAGCTGCGCGGCCTGGCACTTTGTACCGTGCACGCTGGGGCTGTTGGGATGATAGGGTTGAGTTGCTGAGGATGAGCGAAGTAGTTTTGGGAGATTTTGGTAGTGCTTCTGTCACTATAGGCGCATATCCGATGCCGGGTTCGGATGTAGAGGGCTGGGAGAGTGTAGAAACCTTTTTGTGCTAGTGGTTCATTGGACTGCTCCCGCCATTCTTGCAGATTCCTGGCCTGCGCTTCCAAGCTGGCAATTTCCGCGCCCGTCAGCTCTATCTTGTCGGACAACTCCTGTGCAGAGATCAACAAGGTTGACACATGTGGGTATTTCCCAAGATAGGGGTAACCCCCTTTTATTCCCCACATAGAATCGAATCCCCTTAAAGGGAACCCCCCCAAAAAAGGGGTACCCCTATTGTCCCCCACGTTGGTGCTGTGGCCAAGGATTATTGCCATCCTGCAATGTACTCCTTCTGGCTTACGATATTTCGGGGTACCTTCTTGGGGTCCTCACTGTAAGGAGATCCTGCTATTTGGGGGTGTATATCCAGGGCGCAGAGTGCCGCGCCATGATGCCATGATGATGAACCCTGATGCTTCCTTGAGGTCGGCCCTTTTGTAGCCCAGCTCACCGGTGCAGAACCTGAGCCCAAGATCGGAAGCTGGGGATGAGCATCGAGCCATGTCAAGCCTGACACACACCAGCATTCCTTGTGATCGCTGGTGGCTGCGCAGTTCTTCTTGGGGCATGGGCTGCTCGAACTTTGCGAACTGAATCTTCTCGTCCTGCATTTCCTGCATGCTGCAGCCGTAGCACAGTGAGCACAGCCGAGGTTTTCAAGCCCAAGAGCAAGCAAAAGAACAGCACTTATACCTTTCTTTCAAGAGCCTTTTGGAAGCAGCGCCCCGGCCTTTGACTTGACAGCTTTCATACCTGGGAAGATCTTCCGTTAAACGACGCCAAACTTAGTGCGTGTGCTCACGAACAGCATGCAGCACTGACACTGACGTTTTGCCATCTTAAGCCCAGTTGCTCTCAAGGGCAGAGAGGACCTGTTACACAACAAGCGGAGCAAACTACGACTTTTCAAGAACAGCCTCGCTTGACGGGACAAGGCTTGCTAATGCTGGAAGCGTGCAGAAGCTTTTCGCAGTAAGGTTGCACTTCAGTTTGTGCACGTGCCGTTTGCAAGGGAGCTATGAACCGCACCTTCTGCACCGGTGTGGCCGAGCCATGCGCAGCTGCGAAGATGGTAAGGCCCAGCCACACCAGAGCCTCAGCGAGAACTTCGCATCGCTGTGGGCCAGGCCGCACTCGACTAGGCCATATGGGTTTAGGGTTTTAGGGTTTAGGGTTTAGGAATCAAAACTGAGCCATGAACTCTCATCCGCGGTATTGTGCGGGGCATCGACATGATGCCCGCAACGCTACGTTGAAGCCGAAATGGCTTGAAGCGTCGGGCGGGTAATCAACCGCAACGCAGCACGATCATGTCTCACCATGTCTCGCACTTCGATCGCCAGTGGATACCACTGAGTAGTGATGCTCCCGGCACTTGAGGGTTCACCAAAATAAGCGAATATAGACCCCCAAATAGTGGGATCCCCAAATAAGGACCCCAATAAGGTACCGCCCAACCCTAAACCCTAAACCCCAAAACCCTAAAATAAACAAATCCCCCCACTTCGCGCAAGATGCGAGAGGTGTTCTGCACCCGGGCCTCGGAGCCTGGCGACATGGCCAAACCCGTCCAGGCCGTGATCTGCTCCTCGTGGCGACTCGGGGAGCTTCCGAAAAAATGGGGGGGGGGGAGGGGGTGTATCCTTTTGGGCTTAGGGTTTAGGGTTGGGGGGTAATAGGGGCGGGTACCCTTTTGGGTTTTTCTTTTTTAAAGGTACCCTTTTGGGCTTAGGGTTTAGGGTTTAGAGGTGTTCCTATATAGTGAGGATCATACTATTTTTGGGGTCTAGAACGGGTACCCCCCCTATTTTGGGAAACCCCCACTTCGTGCTCTCTCTCTTTTCTTTCTTTGGCATTGCAACATTCTCTTGCTGTCTGCAGCAGCTTCAGCAGCTCTCCATTTTGCTGCGAACTTGCTTGTCCAAACCGGCTCCTGCTGGCGCTCTGGGAAGCATTTCCCCGCTGCCTCGAGAGCTTCTGCGAAGTCGTCGGCGACGGCCTGCCAGCGGCTACAGTAGCTAAGTGGGGTTTAGGGTTTAGGGTTCAGGGTTCCCTGTGCACCGGAAGCCGCGGTAACGTATCATCCTCAGGTGCTGAGAACGTCCGACAGCCATTCCCGTCGCTAAGGCCTAGCAGTCTGCAGAGCGGCTGAACCTTCCCCCAACACAACAACATCCTAAACCCTAAGCCCAAAACCCGAAACCCTAAACCCCTAACCCCTAAACCGGTGCTTCCTTAATTATGCATTAAGCAAGCCTGATCGACTTCGGAGAGGGCGTCGCGAAACTTTTTCATGCCCATGACCCTGTAGATCTGAGAACCTGAGAATGGCCATCCTGGTCCTATACTCCCCTTCGAACCTTAATAAGAATAATATCTTTAAATACCCTCTTGGGTTTTACATAAACAAAAGAAAAAAGAATTCTCAAGGGGGGATATATAATATTTATATTTATTTATTTATAAGTTTAACAGATGCTGGGGAAGCTACGTGTCAGATCAAGCTGACTTGATGTGTGCAGACCGTCGAAGTCAGGGTTCTCAACTTTGAAAGGCACCCCGAAGGGGAACTGACTCTTGAGCTAAGTGAAGACCCATCTGTGGCGCGCGCTTGCGGTCTCCAGCTTGCCCCTTCCGATGCAACAAAAGAAGGGACCGGCTTGCAGCAGGAACCGTTGCAGCAACTTACCCTACAGCGCCCCTACAGACAGAGTTTCGCTTGGTTGGGGCTGTTGCTGCTAGCGAAGAAAAAGGGCAGCTGACGCTGTCAAGTGCCACCCACCAGGACGTTTAGGTTCTGCATAGATTTCATGATCATTGGAACCGTCAGCAAACTATGTCCAGTGATGAGCTAGTGGCGTCCACAGCAAGACGGAAGAACTTTCCGATCTAAGCCATACTCCCCTTAGAACCTCAAGAAAAACAATACTTTTAATGTCCTCTTGGGTTTTATATTAAAAAAAAACAAAAACAATTCCCAAGGGGGATATAGTAACGATGTCATTGAGGCCCCTCGCACCTGGGGAGATGGCTGAGCTTGCGCAGCGCTTTGGTGACCGTTTCCACGCTTGGAACCCGCGCGGGCCCCCTTGCCTGTTTGGCGTGACGTGTCAGGGTCCCTTACTGCTAGCCAGTTGCGCAGCTAGTGATCACAAAGGCTTGGGAAATGACGTGCTGGTGCAGCAAATTCACTCACATGATGCATGCACTTGTGTGCAGTGAGTTCTTGCACCCGGCACCACATCGCGTGACCCACCTGCATAGACGCCTGTGCACCTAGAAAGAGCTTCATGCGCTGAGGGACGCTGCATGACAGGATTCCGCACCCTGACCCGGCTCTAAATGGCTGAGGACGAGTTCCCAGGGCCTGTCCGCCGGCTGGACCAACTGGCTTGGCAGCTTTCCCTGCACGGCCCATCATCCAAACACGAAGCCCTAAACCCTCGAGCATCAATTCTGACGCGCTCTCCCTTTCATATGATGTGTGTGTGTGTGTGTGTGTGTTCTGGAAGCAACTGGCAGGCGTGCCCAGTAGTGGAAGCAGCATGCAAGTATAGCACCGACCTTCAAAGTTACAAGATGTTGCGCAGGAAGACCGATGCTGGGCAACGACTGTTTATGATGACTTACATGTCCCGGTTAGAATCTCACTGGTCCTGGGGGCTCATTCAACACCGAGAGGTCGAACAGGCCCAGGCCTCAGCAAAAGAAGCTTCTTGTGGGGCTGCTTCAATGTTGGGGCTCCTCAACTACAGTATGTTGAGCCGGTTGCAACATGCGCAAGTTTCGATGGACTGCAACACGATGTCTAGAGAGCCTTGCGTGACATCTGATACGTCTGTGTAGCTTCGGGGTCATTGGGTCGCTCAAGCTCTGGTTATTCAGTCCTTGCAGGTCAGCAGTTTCTTCTGGACCCGAAAATCAAGAAGCTCAAGGTCAGCACTTCCTGAACATCACTGTGCAAAGTGCCGGTCCCACTGCTCAAGGCCCCTGTTGCCACTATGCCCTGACATAGTGATTACTGATCCTTGCCGCAAACACAGATACAGAAAAATCTCCACAGCCAAAAGCGAAAGCACACAGCCGTCAGAACAGTTCCAAACCCTAGACCCTAGACCCTAGACCCTAAACCCTAAACCCTAAACCCCCTCAGAACCATTCTTCTGGCCCGAGCCGTCGCTTGTCGTCTCCACATGGGCGGCTTCACCGAAGGGGGCAGCCACCACCTGGAGATCCCAGTGGGGGGAGGGGGGTACCCTAAACCCTAAACCCTAGACCCTAAACCCTAAACCCTAATGCTAAACCCTACCCCCACAAACTCTTCGAAGCCGGACCTAGCACTGAGATGCGCTGAGCGCCCGCACCATCTCTTCCTGGTACCGAAGGCGCAGCTGCTTCAGAAGCTCCTACCATTGCTTCGATGGGACAGTGGAGCCTTCACCATAAGCCCTCTGAGCGTCCTAAAGCATACTGGCCAAAGAAATATGTATATCTGGTAACGGAAAAAGGCATCGAGTGCACATGTTGCGCCTCGCCAGAGAAACGCTATCGAGCAACTCTTGCTTGCTGCAGAAAGGCTTAGGGCCCTAGGACCAGAAGAGTTGACTCTGAGCTGAGTGGGATGTAACTTCACACTTGTGTATTCTTTTTCTTTCATTTTTTTTGTTTTTGGTGGTGGGGGGAGGGGGGGGTGGTGTTTCGGGGGATGTTATGCTACCATCGCTTTGGCAGCAGATAAGCCGTTAAACCTTGAGGACGCTTTGAGGACTCTGCCTGGCTTAGCAAAAAAATGGCAGGAAAGCCAGCACACCGACGGTGCGCCATGGCATGCCTATCATGATGTCTCTGAACTGATTGGCATTGACTGCTACGCCGCTGACTTGCGCTCTTAAGCCACCTCTGAGTACAGCCCTATACACCTTACCAAGAAGCTTTCAACAAGCCCTGGCTCCTGGAACAGAAGCTGCGCCTCCGATTCATCCATAGCCTGGCATTTTGTGATTCGGTTGGCGGGCCCAAAAGTGATGGCAAACAGAGGATTCAAGCAGCGAAGCAGCAGTTTAGGTGTCGTATTTTATAATGGGGGTTTACAATAACATGGGACCCCTATTATAGACCCCCAAATAGTAGGATCCCCTGAGAATAAGGAGCCCAAGAAAATACCCTTAATGTCGTGAAGCCCGAAACATTGGCCCCCGGAGGTCGGTGGGGAAGGCCTCGCGCTGGGTGGGCTGCGGCCCGGGAAAGATCGCGCCTGACGTCACAGGGTGGCTGCTCTCAATCATCGTTTTAATTTTTGAAGTCCCTAAACCCTAAACCCTAAACTCTCAACCCTAAGTCCCTATATTCCCTCAAGCCACGATGGGCTGTAGTATCAAGGGGCTATCCAACTCTCGGCGCAAACCACCAATGCCTGGACCTCAAGCCACTCCCTGAACCCAAACCCTTTTTGAACCCAGACTTTTTACGTCAGCTGACTCGATCACAAAACCCTAAACCCTGAACCTGCAAGCCAGAGTCTGAGGCTTCAGCACAGCGACTGTTGCAGGACGACGAGCACCTTCTTTCGACTGTTTTTTTGTAAATTATTGCGATATTTTCACACAATATTGAAGGTTTGGGGTATAGGGTCATTATCTTATCACTCTGTTCTCATATCTTGTTGAAAGTTGGCACTTCCGCTAGCTCCGGATGGCTCCCGGCCTCGTAGCCGCAGTCGACGACGTTACTCGGCTTCGGCCTGTGCTGTGAGGGAGAGATTCTTATCTGAGCTTCTTTTGCTTACATGACTTTTTTGTATTTTTCATATTCTCATCTTCTTTTTTAGGTTCTCAGATACTGGCAAGGACTTTAACTTGAGTTGGTGGCAGTACGGACAGACGCGCAAGGGCATCGGTTTGAGATTGCTTCGCCAGAGAAGCACACGCAACGTGGAGGCATCGTTTGTGGTTTTAGGCATGCTTCGCCAGTCAATTGCACAATGTCCCCCGTTAGTAGCCTGGCAAGAGGCCTTAATCACGCCCGTCACTCACTTGTTGAAACGCCAGGCGCAGTTCTTTTTAGGTCCTTGAAGTCAACACGATGGGTATGTCTCCGGAAGTCTGCACTATACATCCTTATGTTGTACATCTCTCGGAATACCGGTCAGTTCGCTGTGGAGCTGAAGCGCAACCCACACTCAACCCTGAAGACATGCCCTCTGCATTGAGCAAAAAAACATGCGAGGCTGGAGAATGCTACCCGGCGATGCGAGTCTTGCTTTTTGAGAGCCAAGCTCTGGGTCTGCATGGCTGTCGGCATCCGCACCTGCAAAGCTCCGTGTATGAGGCATGACGCAGTGGCCCGTACCAGGTGGAACCAAAGGCAGCCAATGGCAGGGCCACGACTAGAAAAGAACTACGACCATGAGCACCCCTGCATCCTTTCGGCGCTGCGTATGGGTTTCTTTCCCACCCGTTTCGCATGCGTGTACGCATTTAGGGTTTAGGGTTCAGGATTTAGGGCGAGGCTACAGAGCACAAGGTGTGCGCCGGACTCAGGACGAGCCTGCTGGTGAAACATCTGGCCAAAGCTTGATCTTCGTGACCTGCGCTGCGCAACTCGGGTGCAGTCTGCCCCCGTCAGGTCGACCATTCTGCAAACCGGGACTGTTTGACATATTAGATTATTGTACTGCAAAATTCTATTATTCACATATTCTTACATTATAATTAGTACTATTATCAAGTTAACAGCATTATTGTTATTATCATACATGGTTCCTAACCGAGGACGGCCTTCGCCGCCAATGTCTTCAGCTCGTCACCAGCATCTCCGGCCCTGACTGGCATTGCGGTACACCTCTTAGCTTCACACTGACAAGTACCTCGTGTTTCAGCTAAGTGAGTGCAGGAAGCGGCTAAGCCGAAGATGAGACCATGAATGAAGGCTTCCTCAACCCTTGTTTTTGCTTCAGGGCTGGGGTCTCTGGCCTGTGAGGATCGAAACCAATGAAATTTACGCAAGCGTCATGACTCGGTCAATGACTCCGGCCTGAACCTCCTTTAACACAAGAATCTGAGAGCTCTTCCAAAAAACAGTTCGGATATGAGAGATCTGGTTCAACGAAACATCTAGAGCGTCCTAAACCCTAAACCCTAAACCCTAAAAAGGTTTAAGCCCCTCAGGCCTGAAGCCGACGAAGAGCACAAGGCCGACGCCAATCCGAGTGACAACCAAGCCGTTCACCTGTGGCTGTGCTGATTTAGGGTTTAGGGTTTGGGGTTTTCACCCTTAGAAGGGACCCTAGAAACCTAAGTTGCCCCCTGGCCCTACAAAACCCTTAAGGCCTTAAGGTCCCTTAGAAGGGCCCCTCCCTTAGTCCCTTGGTGGGATGCTCTCCGGCTCCTCTTTCGCTATTCGCCGGGATTTCTAGGTTTGTTTATGGGTTCAGAGGGTTTGTAGGGTTCATAGGGTTTCAAGTTTTAGGGTTTTAGGGCATAAGGACCCAAGGGAGGCGTGTGCTCAAACTTATTATTCCTGTTTGTTTGGATCGGTGTGCCGATGGTTGCTGAATTTAACGTCACGTGTACACCGGAATCCCATCTGCTTTGCCTGCACCGCTGCACGGCTGACTTTCAGCCTTAGCACATCAGGCAAGGTCATAGTCTGCGATAGACAAGCATTTGCGTGAAGCATTTTCCGGCTGAGCTGCCAACCCGAGCAGCTTCATGGCCGGATATCTTTGCTATCTGTGTCGATCCATGAGTCTGTGTGTCGGCATGTCGGCGTAAGCTGCATTGATTTTGTCGTGGAATGAGAGCAGGCAGTGCAGGCAAGCTTTTGCCTTTAGATTCATCTGCTGATTTTTTCAGGGAAGCTCAGGATGTGCAAGCTGGCACTCTCACGTTGCACTGGGTGTGGATATGGCGATTTCGATGTTGAAGCAATTTCTTTGCATCCTGTCTTGAAGCAAACGGCAGCTTCTTGAACCGACTGCTTAGGGTTTAGGGTTTGGGGTTTAGGGGGTTTGAACTGCGAAATGCCGAAGACGTTGACTTTGACTTTACGCAAATTGCCAGTCTTCTGCTTTCGAACCTTTTGTCTGAAGCAAAGGGCAACAGAATCCATACCGCACTCTGGCCTAGGGTGCAGGTCCAGCGAAGCTCAAACCCTGCTTGATGGACATCCTGTTCGGACAAGATCTCCGGACAAATCAACGCAAAAACTGCTCGAGGGAACTCATGCAGCAAGTTGCGTATGATCTGCAACGAAGTGCCAGAGCCGGAGCCAATGCGCCAACCCCATGGCGGATTTGCCACCACGATGTCCGGTGGCTCAACCATGCTTGTAAAGGGTGTCCCAGCATCATGTTCAAAAACACGCACGTTCGCTTGAAGGTTCAACTGGGCGAAGTTCTCGCGCGCACGTGCCACGAACTTAGGGTCTATGTCACAGGCAAGAACAGTGGCAAATCTGCCCGAGGCTGCGGCAACTCCTGCAAGCGTTCCGCTCCCGCAGCAAGCATCCAACATGGACCGCGCAGCCGGAACGGACCCATGAGCACCCTTCTCACACTCCAACACCGCTATGGAGATGACTGCGCTGGCCACCCATGAATCCAAACCCGCGGAGAATTTGAAGTTCCGAGCTGACCACAGCTGATGCCAGGAAGAGCTCACCATGGGAGCCCCTTGCGCCAAGTGAGGGGCAGCTTGACCCAAGAGAAGAGAGCCGCCATTCGCCTGGAAAGCCACGAGACGGACGTGCCCTTCCTCCGTCTCCGATGCCTCCCAACGCCGGAGCTTTGTCGTCAAGCTGGGGTCTCTTGATGCCTAGGACGGCCCCTAAAAACCTTCTGAACAATATTCCTGAATATGATCCTCGTATTCCCAACAAGGGAAAACATGGAATATATTCCTGGAATATGACCCTCTTAAACCCAATAAGGGAAAATAGAGAAAATCCCAGCGGCCTACCTAGATGCCAGGGCCGCGACGACCTCCAGGGCCAGGTCCCCTCCCTGGCAATGCTTCAGGGGCAGGAGCGAGGCGTCAACTTGAGCCTCACGGAGTAAGACGTCCAACCACCAAGTGCTACACGTCTGCAGCGCCGGGAGCTCAGCAACAGCGGCCGCTAATTCCGATGTGCTTGTGAGCCCCAGTGGCTTACACAACCGCACCGGCGGCCTTCGAAGTGCGCTCAGCCTGTTCACCTCTCTCAAGAAAGGTTCTGTAGAACCCGTCTGGGCTATCACCACCAGCCCGGGGGCAAGTTCCCTGTATGTCACTCCGGCGTGAGAGGCAGCAACCTCAAACTCCAGTGCCATGATGGCCGCCTCCTTGCTTCGTGAGCCTTGCGCCCGGAGGAAGAGGACACAGAGTTCTGGCGATTCTTGCGGAGCGTCGACGAAACTCCCATCGAAGTGCATGGCTGACAAGGCCTTCGTCAGCTCAGCTGCAGACTTGGGCATCTCGGCCGGAAGGGAGCGCCGCCATGCGCGCCTCCCTTCGCCAACCACTGTGGGGCGCGGCGGACGTGCCACCCCTGAGGATTCTTCCTGAAAAGTCAGAAGTGATGCGCCCAGAAGTCTACTAGTGGAAGATTCGAAAAGAATTAGGTACGAGCCCCTGCCACAAACAGAACTGCCTACCGGGGGCGTGACGAGAGCACGCCTAACTGGGGCATGTCCATGCATGTTTCTTAAACGGGCCTGGCTCTCTTTCCGAGGGGAGGATCCCGACTCGGAAAGCAGCTGCGAGGGTCTTGATGGTTCTGAGGTTCGGCGCACCAAGCCACGCAAGAGCCGTGCAACGGGCTCCTGGGCCTCGCAGGGCTCGAAAGTGAAACCCGGGCTCTCCAAGAACAAGTAGGCCACAAGGCGGTTGGCCATGCACTGCTTCCGGACAGCCTTGGCCATCTGTGAGGTGGCAGTGGCCGCAGGCGTCTCCACCAGCACAGGCCGGAGCTCAGGCACGGCAGCCACTGCGCCCATCTCGTACTGAGGGAAGAAGCCTGCAGGCAGAACTCCTGCTGAGCTATCTTGCCTTTGACTCCTACTCTCAGAACTCATTTCTCCAAGCGTGGACCAAAAGACGGACGGCTACCAGGCGTAGTCACTAGTAGGAAGAACCGGTTGATAAAACCTGCTGTAGCGTGCCGCAGTAGCGAATGTGGCGTAGCAGCTCCTTCTCCAAGGCAATGGTCAGCCATGAAAGGGGCAGAGCCCCAATTTCAGAGGCCTGGGGGTGCCGCTCGAAGCGGGAAGCGAGGGCCGTAAGCAGAAACTGGGACTGTTCTTGTGTACCCAGTGTACCCTCTGTCGCGAGCTCCTTGTCTGGGGCGATCCTGCCATCTGATCCTTCTGAGCTTAATCTTTCCAAGCATATCACCGGCTCACGGCCGCAGCTGACTGCTTTTTTGTCCAATGACTCCAGGTTTCCAAGAGAAATGCCATGCTCCTTTGACGTTGGTGTTGAGCACAGTCGGAGAAGGCTGGAGTCAGGTACTTTGCTCTTCCAGTCCCGCCAGATCTTCGCATGGCGCCTCCGCAACTCGTCACCCGCGACGGACACAGGAAGCTCCCCACCGTGCAGCTGCAAGACGTGAAGCAGTGCTCGAAGGAGCCGACTCTCCAACTCCAGGCGGCTAGTTTCACTCATCGCGAGGTGAATGGAACCTACTGAGCCGCCAGGAAGCCAGCACAAGACATCGGTACAAGCCGCGTGCACTATAGCCAAACCCCAGCTCGCGAACGGTGTTCGATCCGCAGTGCCCGCGCCATCAGCATGACACTAGCATGACCATGGTTCCGAGGGAAGTCGCACAGTTATCACCCATGAACTCTCTGCACGAGTATGCTTAGAATGGTTTCCGGGCTGCTGGCTCTCCAATGCAAGCAGCCTGCTTTTGGTGTGATCAAAAAATACTATACCACACTGCGCTTCGAAGCAAGTGCGGAAGACTTGCCAAAGCTTTTTTTCTGCGGGTCTAGAGCATCCCCTCTCGGCTTTCTGCACGCCACACATGCTGCCACACATCTGGCGTTTGCCTGACGGAGAAGTGGCATGATCTTCTGATGCCCTGTCAAACGTACGGGCAATGCGGGTCAACCAAAGGAAGGAGGTCTGGTGCAGCTTCTGGCACCATCCTCACCCTTCGGGTTTATCGGCGAGGTCCGGCCCAAACTTTGCAGGCCCCATGCCGATGCCACAAGCATTTGTGGGTTCAACTCTGACGTGCAAGCTTCGGGCTTACCCCAGTGCGAGCACCACATGCGACAAATGTGGGAGAACATGTTTCCTCAGCATCGGCTGAAGTGTCATCGAGCACAGGCTCGTTTGAGTTCGTCAGCCTCCATCGTCTGGCAGAGCTGTTTTGGAACCTGCGGCCAGCTTACACAAGCTTCAGGCTCACACAAAATCGTTTCTTATGAAGCCACAAGCTTCTTTTCGGGCAGCCATGCTCTTTCGTAGCATTTGCTATGGCAACCCCAGAACGTCAAGCCGACATCTGTTTTCGGAGAAGCACGCCGGCCTTCTTTCCAAAGGCAAAGCTGTAGTAGCCATAGGCGCCATGCATACAAGTGCTTGCCAAGCCAGATTTGGCAGCCTCCATCGACATCGAACATCCGGCACACCAGCACAGGCTATGGTAGCTGCAAGGGGGGGTGCCATAAACCCTAAACCCTAAAACCCCAAACCCTAAACCCAAAACGATGGGAAATGAAGCAGCTGTTGCCTTGCAAACTTGCTGCACCAAGCGGAGGTTGTCCAAGTTCCTTAGCTTCGCAGCTTGGAGTCTCAAACACAGATACATGCTACTGCTGCTAATGCCTTGTGGCTATGTTGGATATGTATATATATATATATCTTCTTTTACCACTGATACTTATACTTATTTTTGCAATGATACGCCCACAGCCATCTTAGCTCACAAGGGTGCTTTGGAGTGTGAGTAGTGAGCCCAGGTAGTCATACGATCCCAACTTGCCACCAGGCTCTCTTTGAACGTCTGCATGCCAACTCCGCTGGTACAGCCAGTCAGGCAGCCGCGTGAGCGGCCGTCGCAGCCTGACCCAAGACAAAAATAAGCAAAGTGGGCCAAGGAAGTACACTGGCCCTACTGCAGATACTGAACATGCTCATAGTATAATATAGTATGATATAAAATAATATAAGATAGTATAATACAATATAATATAAGATACTATAATATCATTTCATGAACTTCTGGTTTGGCGCACGGCTCTGTTTGGCTAACCGGTGGACCAGCAGACGAAGTCAACGCCAGGCCTCTTTCACACCAACGCAGAGCTTCGAGGTAGCTCCGCGGACGGTGCAGAAGAAAGGCAGTGGGCGAGTACATATAGCCTGAGGACACAAGTCTTCTGAACACCTTTTGCTTTCCCTTTCCTTGCAAGGCCTTCCTTCCGCTCGTCTGGCTATTCCTGCTGAGTTTCAGTCACCTTGGCCCTGGCCGTTTCCAGCATTGGCATCGGTACAGACTGACAGGGCACCTGGCCAGGAAAAGCAACAAAAAACACATCCATTCATGATCAGCATGCAGCAGCTGGATGTAAACAAAAAACACAAGGGCGGCCAGAACTCACTGGTTTTCTCTGCCTTGCGCATCGTCCGCATCATGGCCGGAGACCGTTGTCGAGGCAAAGTGGTCCATCCAAATGCCATTCCAAAGCCTTGGTGGATCATGGAAACAGCGTGCTTTTCTGAGAACATGAGAAAAACTGCACCAAAATGTATGTTGTAGCAGGACAAGAGCCAGCCGCAACCTTTTTCGGGCCTTGAGAGCTTAGAAGATCTCAGGTGAGCGACGTGCCATGCTGTCCACGGAGCACCAAGGATGCTTCGAGGGACTTCTGCAGCCCCTGGCGTGTGTTGACGTCGCCTGTCACGTGGAGTTTCTCTCTGCACAAAGCATGTGGATTTTCCGTCTTCAAGTAAACTTAATCCCTGTTCCCCTAGGAAGAAAAAAGGGATCCTTTTGTTTATATATAAGAAAGCCCAAAACCCAAAAAGTAAAAAGGATCCCGAACACTGATCGAGTAAATGTAATCAAGAGGCGGAAGTACTGGACCACACCGTGGCCAACTCCATGGTAGCACCTCGAAGCCGGATCTTCAGTTGTTTCTTGTTGTGTGATCTGATGGTTCTGGGTTCTGGTGCCTAAAACCCTAAACCCCTAAAACCCTTTTTTTCACAAGGGACTCGACTGCTGCCCTTTCTGCCCAGCCCGCCCCCACACCACAGTGCCTATGACTGCAGGGCGAGAGTCGCCACTTCGCGGCAGCAAGCTTCAGGCACAACTTGATAGGACACTACTCTCTGGAATGCTTTGTACCCCTAAAACCCTTAAACCCTAAAAACCTAAAATCCTAAACCCCTAAAACCCTAAACCCTAAAACCCTAACCCTCAGCGCCAAAGAGTTTCTTGCCGGGCTGCTCCCATGGAGGCCTGAACTCGTGTCCCAGGCGCTGGCATACCTTAAGGCAATGAGGCGGCATCCCGGCGTCACCGTTTTCTACGATTTGCTCAAGAAGCCCCCCCCCCCCCAAAAAAAAAATACATGAAAACCACACTCTTCCTGATAAGGGCAATATGGGGATTCTTATTTCTTTTTTGAGGGGGGGGGGGGAGTTCTTAAGCAAATAGTAGCTTTTTTGCGTGTCGTAAGTCACAAGAGTGCTGAGAACCAGAACTAACCCATCTGTCTGCCCATCGTACCCCGTGCAACGGCGCTGAGGCGCGTGGGATGCCACAAAGCGTGTAGCTGCCTGGAAATTACCGGCGATGCCTGCAGAAGTCATGAAACTGGCTGTCCTTCTGTCGCACTGCTCCCAAACAGTCCGGCACAACTCCCTGCCTGCTTTTAGCAGGAAGAGCTCAATTGCTCCATGTAGGTATGCAGCATTGCACACCATGAGCAGCTCCACGTCCTGCCTGGCGCATGCCGCAGTTCAGACATCCATCACAGATGCAATGCTATCATCCGACCCATATTAAAAAAAAACAAACTCTGCAAAACCAGAAGATCACAAGAACAAATAGCTCTGCCTGTGCAATTACAACGCTCTAGCAAGAACAGGGAATGACAAAGACATGATCATTACAGCAATCTAGCTACACCCCCCCCACCCCCCCCCCAACTTCAAAGTCAGCTGGCAAGAAGAGCACCTAAACCCTAAACCCTAAACCCTAAACCCTAAACCCTAAACCCTAAACCCTAAACCCTAAACCCTAAACCCTAAACCCTAAACCCAGCAGTGTCCTCGAAGCGGCAGCCCCAGGTTTGGAAGAGTCGGGAAGGCCGGGAGAGCCTCGGCAAAAGAAAAAAAACAATCGCACTCAGAAGGTCTCACGCAAATTAGGCCGTTTAGGGTTAGGGGTTTAGGGTTTAGGGTTAGGGGTTTAGTTTAGGGTTTCGGACTCAAGGCCAAAAAGCACATCCTGCAAGGCAGCACCTCAACACATGGGCATGGGACCCAAAATAGGGAACCCGAACATTCCCCCACGTACTATACACCTCATTATCGGATCTGTTCAAAAGGTTGCCCATATTTTTCGGAACCCCCCCCCCCCCCCCCACATACTTTCCACTTACCTGATTCTACAAACCCTCCCCAAAAGGTCAAAGGTTACCCCTATCTTATTGGAACCCCCCTGCCGCCCCCCCCCCCCCCCCCCCCCCCCCCCCACGTATGCAAGGCTCCGTTGGAGACCAGGGAGGCCGCCACCCGGCGCGCATGCTCGTCAAAGCTGAGAAGAGAGCCGAGGACGTTGACCAGGCCGTCCTCTTCGGGGATGTATAGTGTACATTTCAATATAAAGTATACAAGAATATATATATATATATACATATATATATATATATAATATACATATATACAAATATAAGCATGTATGTATATATATATATATATAAATATATAATATACATTGTAGTACATTCATATACTATGTCCTCTTCAGGGGGTTTAGGGTTTGCTCGAACCAACCCTAGGGGAGTGTGTTTTCGGCAGCGCAAGGGCAGAGCAGGAACATGTTAGGACATGTCAGGTCTACTGCCGTTCTGCAGTTGCATCTGTACACCCTACACCATAACCCTAAACCCTAAACCCTAAACCCTAAACCCTAAACTGGGTCTAGGCCCGAGGGAGGCACCGGGGTAGCACAGGACGTGCAATGCGAAGTGGAGTCGGACCCCTGTCCTTGCCCGCCTCAAAGTACAATGTTCTGCCCAGTCGGTGTAGCAGGGGGTGGCAGGCATCTAAGAAATGACGATTGTTCGTCAGCAGCTGGTCCGCCCTGACCAATGCCTGTCTGGTGCCCTGGGTGCGGACAAGGCGCAAGAGCTCCTCAAGGATTGCTGTGCCTGGGGTAGGTTTGGGGGCCCCATGAAATTAACTTTTCATGGCTCTGGTAGTAAAAACAAAAAAACATGATGCTCAAACTTACGCTTGGCACCCTCTTCTGTGTAAACGAAGCCATAAGAAGCAGGCGCAGCATCGCTGCTGTTGAGTCGCACCGAGCCAGAAGAAGCAGGCGCAGCATCGCTGCTGTTGAGTCGCATCGAGCTTTCGGGAGCAAAGCATGGCTTGCACTCCGCTATGGCTGTGGAAGACTGCGACCGCATCAATACCCACATGCTGGCCATTCCCCCCAAGTATGCTGTCAAAATGGACAGCATGACACAAGCGGAGAACAAGAAGCGAGGCTGCGTTTCTGGGGCGGATGCTTCTGTCAGTAGGCCTTTCTTTTCGGTGACCGCATCCGCGCCAAACGTTTTGTTTCCCACGACCACGGCATTCAGCTCACAGTCGCCGTCCTCGCAGTCTGCTTCCGTGGAGTTGTTCGGGTCACTGGCAGAAGCCATGGCCAGCCAGTTCAGGTTTTAGGGTTCAGGGTTTAGGGTTTAGGGCCGAGACGACTGGGAGAGTTGCTCATTCAACCAAGGAAATGTCAAAGGGTGTCTGGATCAAAGGCTTCTCCAAGCTTCTACAGTAATTTGCTGACGCGGCCAAATACAAGTAGCTGAACAGATGGCGTTGATGTGTGCGGTCAGAGCCAAACAGATGCTATGAGCGACGTCCTGAATGCAAAGATCCCTGTGCAGTGCACGCGCTGCGCACATAGACCAAGCTGCAGCCCTGCTGCTATGTCATAGCTGCTTCAGGCATGCTTCAACCCCAAACGCGAGCGCGAAGTCAAGCGAATAATGAGGCCAACCGCTCTAACGAGCGAGACATCGCGAGGGTCACTCTCTCTCGGACGGGGCAGCCCTTGGATGCAACAGGAGAAGTGAGAGGCTTTCTCCAGAGCGAGTGGCTCGGCATAGGGAATGGAAGCCGAATTGTGTGTTATGTTTGTGGCCAACTTGCTGTTCATCCAACTGTTCCGCTGCAGTCGGCGCCCCCCCCCCCCCAGTTGCCACGACAAGAAGTCCATGCAAAAACAATCCGGACAAGTCGTGCGTAGTTCCATCTAACTTGAAGCCAGGGAGCCAAGGATGGTCGATTGTACGCTTCACCGAACTGCACTGGTCGATTCCTGTTGACATGCTTTGACTGGGACTACGCGGAGCTGAACACTGTGCTAAAGTGTCCGTGCCAACTCGAGCGGGGTGCCTTTGAATGATCTTGACTGCATCCAATGCTTTCAGAGCGCGCAAGCCGAAGCACTTCTCTTCTGTGACTGTATCGTAGCAGGCTGAGAGCAAGCTTCGAGGAACGTCACGCGCTTCCTTTTTCGAAGTCTGCTCTCGTCAGTCAGCTTCTTGGGGACAGGGCGCATCTTCGCATGGGATGACACGGATGCCCAATCCACCTGACAGAACAGGGAGCCTAAACCCTAAACCCTAAACCCTAAACCCTAAACCCTAAACCCTAAACCCTAAACCAATCCATCCCCTTAAACTAGCCCAAACATTTGGCGAAGCCATGGCAAGTACGGGCCGACTGCTGCTAAGAGTGCCCACAACTCCACTTTCCATTCCTATTGTTATATTGTTCTACTTTGCTCTTCTACTACATTGCCATACTAGTGTATGATTATCTTACCATATTGCTATATTTCGAGACTACCATATTGTTATATTCATATATAAACCTATTCAAAAACCTAATGGCTCTTAATGAACTCATGTTATTATTTAGATTTAGCATGCTACCCTAAACCCTAAACCCTAAACCCTAAACTCCAAAAAGCTACTATAGACCTCGTCCAGCTTTCCGGATCCTGGCCTGGCTCACGCTCTGAGTGCAGCTCGGCCGCCAGACGCACAGCACCTCCCAGTAAGAGCAAGGGATTTTTGGGTTAGGGTTTAGGGTTTAGGGTTTAGGGTTTAGGGTTTAGGGTTTAGGGTTTAGGGTTTAGGGTTTAGGGTTTAGCGTTTAGGGTTTAGGGTTTAGGGTTCAGGGTTCAGGGTTTAGGGTTTAGGGTTTAGGGTTTAGGGTTTCTAGAACTCTTAAACATAGGAATATACTACCATAGTATTCCTACATTTTGTAATATACACATATTATAAAACATAGTAATATACGAATATAGTAATGTAATACTATAACAAGAATGAAATAATACAAGAGTACACTAGTACAATTTTCCCGCTATGCCGCTTGCAAAGGGCGACTGACTCAAGCGGCCCCTAACCCTAAACCCTGCCAAGGCGCGGGTGCTCCAAGTCTCCTCGCACGGAAGCCAAAGCTTTGCCACGTGAAGCGCTTGCAGCAGGCTGAAGGCGGCCTTCGTGAACTAAGGATGAGCGAAACACGCGAAACAAAATCATCACAACACGATAACAATAATAAGAAGAACAACAGCAAGAAATAAACACATATATCAAAAACACGAAAATATGTGTATACATATCTATATATTTGTATATGTATTTATATACATACATATATACACTCATATACTAATATAAATATATAATCGCGGATGAAATCCAGACGAGCTACTTGCGAACTGCCTGCAACCCCGACGCAAGTTGGCAAATTGCTGCACCGCAAAGAGTGCCTCCAACGTGTCAGCTGCGAGAAATCCCAGGCTGGCAGTGTCATTGTGTGCCAGCGCCGTCTGCCCTACACCTCAGCTCGATAACCGATAAGGGTAACAAAGGCAACCACCGCAATCAGACACAAGTGGCTGGGCTGAATTTGCTTACATTGCATTGTTTTGTATGTCTGAATTTTCGTGTTCTCGCAAGCAAACTCCTGCTGCAAATGTACTGCGCAGCATATCCTGCATCATGCTCATCATTCTCATCAGTAGTAATTACCTTTACTGTAAGCAAAACGTAAGAATGAGCATATCCAGAAGATGCCCAGAAATCTTCAGAAAGGTTTGCAGTTAAATATCATGATAAGAACTACACATGGGATACTTTTTCAGATCAGGCCTTGCACCATATCGACGATTGACAGGAACATATATTGTTGTCGAGGTGAATGTTGTGTTGTGGCTACTGCATTGATTCAATATTCCATCCCCGGACACCTCAAAGAATCACGGCAACCAAGGGTCGCATGTCCAGGGTCGTCACCCCCGCGAAGCCCATTTCATTACAGACCTTCTCGCTTGCAACGCACGATTGGGACAAGCTCCGTGGAATTTGAGTATGCCAGTTGGCCGTGCAACCTGCCCCACACGTCATGGCGCGCGGCGCAGGTCAGTGCCAAGGGACCTCGCCGCAAACTTCGAAGGGCACGAAGGTGCAAGGAGTTGCCAGCTCCGCGCATATCTCCGCGGCAACTGCCTGGCCGGATAGCACGCAACTCACAGCACCAGAACGCATGCACACACGCATACGTGTATGTATATATATATATAGGTGACATGTGTATACATACATATAAATAAATATATATATATATATACTTTCATACTTGGGACTTTGGACACTGAACGGACATGCAAGCCTACCGGACATTGACGAGTGCTGCCGCTTGGGCCTGCACTTCCGTAGTTGGCAAACCTCGCGAGTTGAGACAAGTTTCCCCAAGTAGGGTTTAGGGTTTAGAAGAGTTGCTTGAGGCAGAGTTCCAACGGCAGCATCTGGTGTCATCTCAGAAACAACTTGCTGCTGTGAACATGCTGTTTGCTATGTCGTTGGTGGCAGTAGCTGGGCATCAGGGTTTAGGGTTTAGGGTTTACGGTTTAAACTAGATCTCATGGCCAAGCCCTGAAAGCCCATCACCAGAACCAGGAAAAGCCGCAGCCTCAAGCCTCAAAAATGACAACCCCCCCCCCCCCCCCCCGGGCTCTCTTTATCTCAAGAATTACTGCTGCCGGAAATCCAGCATGGAGCAATGACAAGGTCTGAGGTCGGCTGGGGGCCTTCCAAGATCTGCAAGGCAAGCTTTCGGATGCGCAGGGCTTTCGATGCTTGGCGAATGCAGGCCGGCTATATCGACGGCGAAATTGACATTCATGCCACTAGCTAGGCATGATCTTGAGTCACAAGTCCCGGAGTGACTTTCGCACTACCAATCATGAGACATCATGAGGACAGAGTCGCAGTTCCGAAAGCCCAACAGCGAAGTCACTCATGTCATCTCTGCCGTGAACTCTGCGCCTTCGGACAGTGGCGCACCAGTTTCAGCACGCGCCGTGCCTGTGGAAGGGGGTGGTCCTCCTAATTTACATCGACACAGTTTCCGTACACAAAATACTCAACTGCCCATGAAAGCCCCCCTCCCCCCGCTGCCCTTTCCAGTCTGCTGCCGGTCGTGCGAGCTCTGAGGAAATAGCACTGTGGCGCGCACTCCCCCACCTAAACCCTTAACCCTTAACCCTTAACCCTAAACCCTAAACGAACATGTCTTGAATCCAGCTCGCCTGAACGACATTCTCGACAAAGGCCAAAGTGTCAAAGCTTGGGGGATGCCTGCGAGCCAGGAACGTCTTTAAGCCCCCGCACTCCTCGAAAAAACAATAAATATTATTTGCCTCGGCTTCCTGCCGAGAAGCGTCTGGAACAAGGACCCGGCTCCGGCCTCCTTCCCCCTCCCCTGACCTGGCAGAATTTTGTGATGCCACCCCACCCACCCCCCTGTGGGACCGCCCTTGGAGCAGCTGCAAACCGATGCAGTGGAGGGTCCTGCCTATCGGCTCCTCCTAGGGAGCACCTCAAAAGGCACCGTCCCATCCGCCCAAGCGTTTACAATTACTAGCATTATAGTAGTGGCAACATTATTAAGTAATATTTAGTATTATTAACATTATTAATAACCTTAATAGTCAGCAAGAGCAGGCACTGGGCACCTGAATGCTGGTCCGCGAGCCATCTGAGCTCGCGCGAGGAAGGATCCTTCCAGAACTTGGGTTTAGGGTTTAGGATTTAGGGTTTAGGAGTTCAGCATCTTTTAGCTTTGGACTGCATGCGGAATTCAGATATTGCCCCCAGACCTGCCAAGGAAGATGGAAGTGACCCTAAACCCTAAACCCTAAACCCTAAACCCTAAACCCTAAACCCTAAACCCCAAACCCTAAACCCTAAACCCTAAACCCTGAACTGGCACTGCCAAGCGGCTGAAGGAGAAAATCGGCGGAGTCAGGGTGGTCCGATCCTCGCGATGCACGGCGCTCTGCTTCCAAAACCTCCTCATACTGTAGCCCATAATAGTTACAATAGTAATAGTAGTACTATTTGAACAAATAATAGTAGCAGCATTTAGTAATGATAGTACTAATCGTAGTAACAGTAGTAATCGTAATAATCGTCATCTTGGCAAGCAGAACTCTGCCGACAAACTGAGAACCACGTGCAGCTCAGACTCGGTCATCCCGAGATTGTAGCGACTGAGCGGATGCTTGTCGCGTCTCCAGCCGACGACCCACGTTTGCAGTCCTGTGCCAATCTTGGGGGGTTTCCGAGATTCGGGGGTACCTCATGGGGGTTCTTATTCTAAGGGAATCCCACTATTTGGGGGACTCTAGTAGGGGTCCCTTGCTTTTGTAAACCCCCAGTCTCGCTGAGGCCGAACCATGAGATATGTCAAACCGACTTTAGAGCCTCATAACGCGCCGGTCTGAAGGTAGAAAGGTCAAGAGTACACTCTCAGTCCCCAAATGAGCCCATGGGCCACTCGTCAAAAAGTCACGCTTGCAACCTCGACCCACCTGTGACTCTTAAAGCCCTACAAACGCGGCACCATCAGTCAATTTCTGGCCCTCGCTGTACCTGCTATCTGACTTTGCCCTATTGTCTTGCGGCGACAGAATATGACATGCACAGAGGTTGACCGACAAAGACGAGCTGCAATCCGCAATTACACTGCTCGAGCGAAAGAAAGGGAAGGGAATTTATCTACATCCTAGCTGCCAACGGGGCCCTTGCAGCGGCAGCAACCTAGTCGTGAATATTGAAGCCAAGGTCCTAGCACCTTCCGGAGCATGTAGCTCAGGTGCATGTCTTCACCCGTCAAGCGTGAGAGCGGGGGCTCACGCAGGAACGCTGAAGCGATCCAGCGTGTTTCCTTGAGGCCAAAGTTTGTGTTTGTGTTGTGGTTGTGTGTGGGTTGTACGGGTTGTGTGTGTGTGTGTGTGCGGGGGTGTGGGTTGTGTGTGGTTTGTGTGCTGCGTGTGTGTGTGTGTGTGTGTGTGTGTGTGTGTGTGTGTGTGTGTGTGTGTGTGTGTGTGTGTGTGTGTGTGTGTGTGTGTGTGTGTGTGTGTGTGTGTGCGTGCGTGCGTGCGTGCGTGCGTGCGTGCGTGCGTGCGTGCGTGCGTGCGTGCGTGCGTGCGTGTGTGTGTGTGTGTGTGTGTGGCTTGTGTGTGGCTTGTGTGTGATTGTGTGGGGTTGTGTGTGGGTGGTTGTGTGCATGTGCGTGGTGTTGTGTGTGGCCTGTTGGGTTGATGCCGCGTTTGTCGTGACGTTTGTGGCCGTCGCCTGCTGATCACTTTAAACACAAATCCAAAGAAATGCCGATTTTCGGTCTGGCGCTAGGACAGGACTGGAAGATGCCGTTGGTCTGTCTGCAGCTGAAACATGTCTATCAATGCTGCCGTAATCTGCCGTGCCAGACGTGTTATCGCCTTCTGAGGGGCCAGTCACTTTCACATAGGCTGAATGACATGGGCCCTGCGGGGCCCAGAATCTGAAATCCCGTCCCTGTCCCTCCATACGGTCGACCCTCTCATTGCGTTGATCAGACTTGGCATAAGGGCGATGGTAAGAAGGGTGAGGGCTTACAACCCAAAATGGAAGACAACGGCAACCTTTCGTGACCGATGTTGTTTACAGCATGCTTTCAATAGTTCAGAGGCCACAATCATCAAATAATAGTAATAATAGCAATAATGATAGTAAACTTACATGTAGTAGTAGTAGTAATAACAATACTAATAATAATAATAACAATAATTGTCATAACAGTAACAATAGTAATAATTTTCACAATTGCAACTGGGCATCCAGGAACCACGCAGCATTGGCGTAGTCAACGGCCACCGGCTTCTTTGGTCGGTCGACCCATCTGATTGCAGGCAAGGAGTCTTTAGGGTTTAGGGTTTAGGAGTCAGACAACAACCGGGAAAGGGTGTGTATGATCTGCGATTCAGAGAAACACATTCTCGCAAAAATTGCCAAAGTGCCCGGCACCCCTTGGCGTCGCCTGGCCGTCTCCGGGTCACTGCGTCGGATGTGGCCAGCGTGGCCCCAAACTCCTGAAGATGACGACAAAGCTACGCTGTGTGCGGGGCGATCGCATGCTGCAGCATCCTAGAGGGCACGTTGGGCAGCTTTGTTAGCTCTTCAGGCATTTCTATTCTAATGAAACCTCAGGGCGCTCCTGGCAGTTTGCGGATGTGTCGCAAGTACCTTAGGTGCTTCGTGTGCACAACCATGCCAGGGCTTCGAGTTAGCTTCGCTTGAAACTTGACAGGTCCCGTGCCACCAACAAGTGCAAGCACTCCTACCTTGCTACCGGTTTGGATGTCCAGGTGCTGGCCTGCGGCAGAGACTGGGAAGGGGACGTCGTCGTCCACTATGTACACGTACCTAACCCAGTTTTGCGGGTCACGCGTGGGCACAAGCGCTTGCAACAGCAAGCCTCAAGACTCGTTGCTTTTTTCAGAATACACGATCCCTCTGATGCCATGTCAGAGGCACCTGGTCCTGGCGGCCGAAGCCAATAGAAAGCGGCCGTAAACACCAAAGTCCACCTGCAGAGCGCTCCATTTGCACATGAGGACGTACGCCGGGTAACCTCTATCTCCTAGAGGAAGGGGGGGGATAGAACGGTTAGAGGGATAGGAGGATGGGTCTGGGGGGGGGGGGGTTTCATACACAGATAGATAGATAGATAGACAGACAGACAGTTTCTGTCTGTGAGATTTTTAGCCGGGGGGGCGGGGGGGGGGGAGGGATAGATAGACAAATCGATATTGTATGTGTGTATGCATACATATGAATATGTATATATATATATTTATATATTTATATATTTATATATTTATATATTTATATATTTATATATTTATATATTTATATATATTTATATATTTATATATTTATATATTTATATATTTATATATATTTATATATTTATATATATATTTATATTTATATTTATATGTATTTATATATTCATTTTTCATGACGGGGGAAGGGGGGGGGGGGTGGCGGAGGCTGGGTTATGTAAAATAGATCGCCGCACCCTGTATCTCCCGGGGTCAAAGCGTTGAAGTGGATGGGATGGCAGTTGCTAAGATTACGGCTAAGATTGCGACCCCGGATTCAGCCACAGAGAGCACGTTGCCAAACATTTTTAAATATTTTATGATTTGAGATATTTCTTGAAGTTTTTGGATTTATGATATTTTTATGATTTGTTTCATGATTCTCTTCGATTTATGAAAATTTATGTTTTTGAATGAAAATTTAGGTTTTTCGTCGATGTTATGAAAAATTTTATGTTTTTTAATGAAAAATTTATGTTTTTCGCCGATTTTATGAAATCTTATGTTTTTTATATGAAAATTTTATGTTTTCATCAATTTCGCATCATTTTCAATACAGAAACACACAAAACCGACCAAAACCATAACATCTTCATAAAAAATCATAAAAATTTCATGACATCGATGAAAAACACAAATTTCTCAGAAAAAAGCGTAAATTTGTCATAAAATCGAAGAGAATCGTAAAACAAATCGGAAAAATGTCATAAATCAATAAATCTTTTAAAAGCACATTTAAAACATAGCTTTGCCATGTAAAAAACTATTCCTTGAAACGTGGCTCTGGCTACACATCCAGTGTCAGAATGCTAAGATTGCTTGCCAGCGATCCGCTATGCTGTGAAAACCTGCTCCGCGGCCTCGGTATCGATGCCCGCCAATTCTGGAGACGCCTAGCACAAGCAGAGGCTGCTACTGACTGCGACTGTACAAGAGCATCCGGAGCCCTAGAAGTTTTTAGGTCCAAAGAAATGCTGTTAAGTCCGACCAGCCACATAAGGATTCACCGCCGGGTTGTAATTTGGAGCATCCTCTCTGCGGCAAGCGTGGCCATGGACAGCCTGTCGAGCACCCAGCGCAGGGATGCGGCGGCTGCTTGGTTGCTGCTGCTCCGACGTGCGAGGAAGGGAAGCATACCACATGCGAAGTCGTAGATCGCCCACTGCAGGGAATGGCAATAATTCAGGATCGTCCATACGAACATAGCAACTTGCGTCAGCGACTCTGAGGAGTACATCGGTGTGACCCCCGGGACGTGCAAGCATGGTCCAACGGCTATTAGAGCGCCGCCAGACTTGCGGCTGACTGTCTCAGGCGTGCCACGGCGAGGATCCCTGCTACAAGAGGTAGCAGTGCCCGAGGCTGTGTTGCGGACAAGCCGCGGGGCTGGCTCATCTCGTAAGTATCCGTGACCTGAAATTCGAGCGTGAGCGACCCATGCACGACTTTGTCGCGATGGTTCTGGATCTGAGGAGAGTTTGTGGATTCCTCGGGGAGCGCTGCTGGGAGATGGTTCAGGCAGCACTTGCTGCCTCTCTGAGGTCGGGCCGTACAGCCGATGAAGCAGCCTGCGTGCATGTCCGTGTCCCAAAGACAGCCGGAGAAGCCGTCGTTGCACAGCCTTGCCCTGCAGCACAATGAGTGGCAAAGCTTTGAGCAGTGGACACTTGTGGCGGGAGCAGAGAAGTTGGAAGTCCCGCTGGACCAAGACCAGGAGAGGCTTGAAGTCGTTGGCCAGGTGACGTGGCTGCACGTGGAAGGGGACAGTCCATAGACTACATTGCCCAGCCTCGCAAATCAAGCGCATGCTGCCCCAGTGAAGAATGTGCTGGAAGATGCCGTCGATCGTTGCTGCCTGGATATGAAGGCCGAAGTTGCGGAGCAGCAAGGAACTGGCTAGCGCTGCTCGCGCAGGGCCATCCGCGGCATTGTAGGCCAGGGCCAGCAGCCCCAGGTGCTCAGGCAGCAGTGGTCGCAACAGGTCACGTAGGTGTGGTTGAGCATGGCATGTCTCGGTGGGAGATACTTGTGCTTCAGGGCGGCATGGCTGTGGCGAATGCGTGTTAGCGCGGCTGTGTCTGCTGGTGTCGTTGGCAATTAATGGTACAGGCAATGAGAGGGGACCGTCGGTGCAAGGCGAACACGAGACATGAAGCGCAACGCAGCAAGCTGCAAGACAGGCTTGTGGGAAGAACAGCATGGGCTGGCCAGTGCTTGGCCGCGCGCAAGTAGAAGCTGAGTCCTTCTTTTGTGGCGTTAGCATGTCAGGGCAGGTAGCTGAGTATGGAATCATGAACGCAGAAGCGCTGCCAGAAAGGTTACGAGCCTTGGCACTCGTCGAATTAATGGAGCGCGCTGTGTGAATTCACTGAACCAGAGTCGAGGCAGCACTCGAAACGGGACTGCAAAAGCTTGGAAGCCGCGGACTTAGATGCCGAATGCCTGATCCTTCAACTCCAAGGCCAAAACTCTAATCCCGAAGCTTGACAACTTAGACCCAACAAGGTGCATGCTAGGCCATGTTCGGGCAGTAGAGAGGCGCTCAGGTGTCAGCGTCAGCGTCTCCAGCCGGCGTGGTCGTGGTCAACATTCATGACATCCACATTGGCATCAACTTCGTACAAGAAGTCGAAGTGGCCAGTTCCATCTCGAAGCGTGGCGCCACCGGTGGTCGTGTAGAGCATCAAGGCCTTCAGGGTGGCAGATGTAACGATAAAGCGCCCCGTCCATAAGAGTGTAGACGTGCAGGACGATGTTGAGTTTGGCCGCGACCTGTCCGTAAGCTTCTTCAGAAGGTACGTGGTCCGGGTCACCTCCATGGTGGCCTGCTTGCTCCCAAATCGTCTTGGCGGCTTGCCGCCACATAGCGGCGCGCTCCTGAGAGCAAGCGCCAAAACCAAAACGCGAAAGCTAAAAACCAAAACCCCTCAACTTTAAGCTCAAGCATCAGTTGGCTTTTAAATGGGCAGTCAGAGGGCAGCAGTGACGGAGACAGTGCTACATGTACAGGTGAGCAAGTAGCCAAGGCACGCGGTCGCATGCAGTCCAGTTCTGGGCGTGAGGGACACAATGCCATTCCATGAGGGACTCTACGTCCAAGCGAGCCAGATGGATGCAAGTCCAGAAGCAACTTCCGACTCGGGGGATCATCCTCCTCCTCCTCCTCCTCCTCCTCCTCCTCCTCCCTGTGCCTCCTTCGGAGGTTTCGGAAAAAAGGGCCTTGGCCTTTGCCTCCGCCTTAGCCTTAGGATTGGCCTTGGCCCTGGCCCTGGCCCACGCAAGGTCGCGATTACGCAACAGGGCCATTGGTGGGATGCGTGCCATCGGGGAGTCACAGCGATCGGACCTCTGCGGCTGGCCTGTCAAAATACCAAACGCACGCGAAAGAAACCCCACTACAGAGAGCGCAATCTTATCATGTACAGACCGGAAATCATGGAATAATAAGCTAGAGAAAAGTTTGCGAGAAAATTGAGAAAACAGATAATTAAAAGCAGTTTCCGAGCAGTCGATAGAAAATTGCAAAACATCTGTATGAAATTTGCGCTAACTTTGTGGTTAAATGTGAGAAAGCTCAGCGTTTCAGGCTCACGCGTAATCGTTCTCTAAAGTCTTGCGCATTTCTCTGTAATTGTTTACTAATTTCTCGCTAATTTCTTGCTATTCACCTAGGAAAACCATCGAAGGCGAGAAAAACAAAGATTTTGGGCTAGACGGATATTAGCGAAAGATTTGCAAGAAAATAGTGGGAAGTGATCAATTATTCAGAGAGAAATTTGCGAAATTCGAGGAGGCAAAGTTTTGAATTAGAGGGAGCATGGGGTGGGCACAGCCGCTCACACAAAAATCAAGTGCCTGACGGGCGTAAGATTTTGAGCGGGTGGGGAGGGGGTTAGATAGATAGATAGATAGACGGGCGGACCTGGACCCGTAAAACAAATCCGCGAGCCCTCGGGCCGGCCATTTTTTTGCCTCAAATGGGTACCTAGGAAACCGGGGTCCGCAAGCGGACGGTTCGCCAGGACCAGAAGAAGCAGTTGAAGCCCCTCCCAGCAGGGCCGCCCCGCTTGCCCCCCCCTTTTATCCGCCACCCCCGCCCCCCCCCCCCCCCCCCCCCTCAACCCTCAACCTTAAACCGCAGTCAAGCCTTCAACCAACCCCCCCCCCCCCCTGCTCCCAGAGGGGCCTGGCTCCAACCTACGATCAATCCAAGCCGAACCGTCTCTTGAACCCCAAAAAAAGCCTAAACTTGAGCCCTAAGCCCTCAATCCTAAACTAACCCTCAACCCTAAACCCCAAACCATAAACCATAAACCCGGAACCCTACACCCTAAACCCAACCCTTATTGCTGCGGAATCACCATGCTCACGCGGATGCGCTGGGCCGGGCCGAGGCGGGTCGTAGCGTTAAAATTAGGTGAAGGGCCGTAATGTTTTTAGCCGGGGGGGGGGGGGGGGGGGGGGGGTGTTAGATAGCTAGATAGTGCCTGACGGGCGGACCTGGACCCGGGGGGGGGAGATGGATAGATAGGCGTGCAAAATTTTAGGTGGGGGGGGGGGGGTAGATGGATAGATAGATAGTACCTGACTGGTGGACCCTGGTCAGAGGATAGAGGTTAAGGGGGGTACATGATGTGAGCATCAGGGTTTGCCATGCTTCTGGGAAAGTCGCCAAGAGCCTCGCTCGAAATCAGCTTGACTTTGCTGCCCCCGCTGCTGCGGAAGTCATCCACGACCGCCTGAGGAGGAAACGAAGGCAACTTCCAAGCTTCGGATGGGTTGTGCACTGTCGGTGGGCTGCAAGCGAACTTCCAAGCTGCTTTTTGTCGCTCTTAGGTCATTTTAGGATATTTTAGGTCTTACGTCTCTCGTCTTACGACACTGATGAGCTGATTCCCAGCCGCCTGATATTCAGCAGCCATGGGCGACCCAAAGACCTGGAAATGCATACTTGAGGGTATCGAGTTCAGCTGATTCAGCCATCCTTGGGGCAGGGGTTCAGGGTTTAGGTTTGGGGTTTAGACGGTTTAGAGTTAGGGTTTAGGGTTTAGGGAGGAGGTTCGCTGCAGCCAAGCAACGCAGAGCCACACCTCAAGCGCTTCTGGTGCAGCTGCAGCTGCCCTGGGGTGGAGAAAGCAAACCGCATGGTGACGCATTCTCGTCTTCAATCGTCGGCCCGTGCCCTGTGCTCTTGGTAGAAACATCAGGGCAGGAAGCACTGGGTAGTCGGGCTATAAGTATGCTTATGACCCACTTAGGGTACTTTTAACCCTACTTATAATGACAACCCATGAGCCTCCAAGTATTGTGTGCCCATGCGCCTCAGTTGTCCGAAGAGGTTCTCGGCAGGGCGCTGCCAGTGATTTAGGATGATCGTCACCTTCACTCGATGGGTCTTCGTATAGTAGAATTGGGGGTTACTATAATCTCTATTACGGACTGTTCGTCTGAGGGGGAACATCCCAATATAGCACCACACGGGGGCTTTGGGTGAAGGCTGGTGCGGGGTGGTCAAAGCGGTCAAGACAAACATGTTCCGGACACTGTGCAGCTATTGCAAAACGGGGGATGAACCCTTGCTGCGCTTCTAAGGCACATCTGGGTGTTCAGATTCCATTTGGGCCTCCTGTTCCTGCGGTGCTTCCGCCGCCAGCAGCTCTTCATAGCGCTCGGACAGGCGTGATGCCTTTGCAGCTTCGGGGCTTGGTTTCTGCGTTTAGCCTCAGGGCTTTCCACGGTCAGGTCTCGCTTAGAGGGTGCTGGCGAGGCGGGGTGCTGAACAGATTCTGGTCAACGATCGAATGCCCCATCTGAACTCTTGTTGCAAAATGATGCAAAGCCTTTGTGCATTTCTGAGCTTACACTGTCTGCTGCTAAAGCAATCTGAAACAGCCGGGCTCATTCAAGGTCTGGTTTTTGCACTTTGTGTTCCGGTGTTGCACCTAGGCTCGACATGGTCCTAGCTTTGGGCACCCTGGCACACGCACATACACACATGTGTGTATATATATATAATATACTTATTCATGTACTTATTGAGTTTTAAGAATCATACTTATTCAGGTAGAAAGAGGTGCCGAGAGGGAGATGGAGGGAGAGAGACAAAGAGAGAGAGAGAGAGAGAGAGAGAGAGAGAGGGGAGAATAGAAAGAGATAGACGAGCGAGGGGCAATATCTCATCGCCTTTCGAAGCCCCACACGTGGGGTAGCACCGAGCTCCCGGCGCGCTGAAGGCACTGCCCCCCCTCAGCGTGACACTCCTGCGCAGTGCTCAGGCTTCGTGAAACATGGAGGGTACTTACCCTAAACCGTAAAATTGTAGGTTCTTTATGACAAGGCTCTTAAATGGACCCTTATGTCCGAGTGAATTCAGTATTTGGGCGAGCGCGGGTTTACTTTTCACTAGGACCCGATCAAGAGCAAGATTCCGACAGGGTGAAGGACTGGAACATTTGTTCAAACAGTCCCGGATCGACTCAGCACCGGCAGTAGCTGGACATGCGATTGTCCTGAATGTGTTTTGACCCGCCACTCGCATTCCGCACCGAGGCGTTGAAAAACGTTTAGCTTTTGTCTCAAAAACAGGTCGCCATCCTTGTCCCACTCCGACCTCTCCTAAGACTCTGTCAAGCTTTGGGAGGTCATGTGACGCATGAGACAGGCCTTGTCTTAAACTACAAAACAAAATAGCATCAAGAAGCCAATCTGCCAAGCTTTGCTCGCAATGATCGAAGCCTCCTCTTCATTCCTAGCCCGGCAGCCTCCACGAGCTGAGTCTCCAAGAGCCTTGCCTTCGGAAGGAAGCTTCGGGATGCGTTCAGCTGTGTAAGTGGATTTATCCGCCTCTGCACTCTGTGGCCTGAGCCAGAGGGCGAGGAGGACCCTGAGCGCAACATGCCGGAACCCGGCCGTGTCAAAATGTCCGCAGCCCACACTCAGACCATGATGTGCTACTTTCAGGCTAGAGGCTTGGCAGGGAGATTGTGGCCGACAATGCTACTCTCAAGACTCGTAAAACCCTCAACCCTAAACCGTAAACCCTAAACCCTAAACCCATGGTAGGCCTTAGCCTTGCCGCACAGCGGAGTTTAGGTCCCATGGCCCATGGCTCAGACAGGTTGCGGTACGATTATTAGCTTAGGGTTTAGGGTTTAGGGTTTAGGGTTTAGGGTTTAGGGTTTAGGGTTTAGGGTTTAGGGTTCAGGGTTTAGGGTTTAGGGTTTAGGGTTGCACTTCTGGAAAGCGGTATCTCTGCATCCTTGACGGTTCTACTGCGCTCTGTCGCAGAGTTGCTTCGAGTCGGTCGGCTCTGAGTCTGAACGTTCTTGTCCCTTTGCGGCTTAGCTTCCAGCAATCGTCCTACACTACGAATTGCTTAAGAACCCCAAAAGAATAAACATATTCTTCCTTATTAAGGGTAATATCGGGATTATTGTTTTCTACTTTTTGGGGGTTCTGAAGCAAATAGACTTCTCACGCACCGCCACAAAGCAGTAGGAGAAGGTGCGGAACATCACGGAGCAGCTTCAAAAGCGGCGCCCGTTTCTTTCTTCATGCTTCTTTTGCTGATGGCACTCAGCTTGACGAGTTGCTGGGGACATCGTTCTTGGTTGAAGACCTCCTTGGGGCAGCATGACCTGGCCAAAAGGTGTGCGGCGTGCTTTCAGACTTCTGAACAAGCGACACTTTTAGGGTTTAGGGTTTATGGTTGAGGGTTCAGTGTACTTATTAACCACTTACAACCCAACGCTTATGCAGCTCCGCTTCGAGCAAGCTGCAAGTTGCGGCTTGGGTCCAGTTTGCTTGACGGCGCCCACTGGTTGCCTAGGTGAAAGGAGAGCTTCCGCAAACCTGACCGCTACAGTATTCACCCGTGCAGCCTTGTGAAGACGTGTCAAGTGATTACGATGATGCGCGCTGAGCGCACCACCCCATCAAGCGACGCAGGTGCTTTGCAACAATCTTGGCCTCTTGCCACGAAAGAAGAGCCTGGGTACGAGGAAGAACACTTGTCTTGCATGTAGGCTAGAGCAGGTTCTATCGAGCCCAGGCATGAAACACATGGCAGTTGTTCTGAGGGCCTTCATGGTGCCCTCGTTGGAGAGAGACCTGCCAAGCAGCAGCTCAACCTGGTGCCTACAGATGCACGATCCCACTCCGATCCGTCCAAAGAAAATACGAGCACTTCGAAGATGGAAAAAGGTCGTGAAAGCAGGGGCGGGGGGGGGGATGGCTTGAAGCCCTTCGCCCTAAGCTTCGTGCTTGGTAAGAATTAGGGAATCAAGGCTTTCAGTGGGATGGAAGCGGCGGTGGTGCCTGGTCCAATCTGCCATCGAAGAGTCAAACAGCTGCGTCGAGTCCAAGAGCTCCAGCTGAGGAATCACGACCTGCGCCAAAGAGGGACGGAGTTCTCGGCACGAAGAACTTCTTAAGCTTCAGTTCGAGCCTCCAGAACCTTATTGGTTCGAATGAAGTTCTGCTCTGGCGTCCTTGCAGAAACACATTGTGCTAGGCCGGCAAGGCCTACGCAGGACTTTCTGGCATGTAGCGGACATGCTTCCAGTGGGAGGGTTTAGGGTTTAGGGTTTAGGGTTTAGGGTTTAGGGTTTAGGGTTTAGGGTCCTGTATTCGGACTGCAGGAGCACATCCAGACCCTTGACGAGCTCGCGCTTTGCCTGCCGCCATCACATGATTCACATGTCGGGGGCAAAAGGCCTGAGAGGTCATGTTACTGCAAAGGCTCTGAAGGACCCTTCGGATCATGTTACTGCAAAGGCTCTACTCTAAAGGACCCTTGGGCCAAATCGTGACCAGATGATATGATTATAAGCTCTTGGAGTTCAAATGCCCTGAGACCCAGCCACCTGCGCCAGTGGCAGGTTGAACCAGGACCTCAGCAACCCAATTGGGTTGGGCTATGCGTAGCTTCCATACATGAAGAGGGTCTGACAGCCAGAAACGAGCAAGTACTTTGGCGGCGCTTGAAAGAAATATAAATATACATATAAATATATACATATATATATATACATATATATATATACGTATGCACGAACACCGATTCCAAAAAACGGACTGCTGACAGAGGGCATTCCAGCGTTGAGTTTCCATTTTCACGTCTCTAGGTTCTCCGAACCCCACCCTAAACCCCAAAATCCCTAAACCCTAAACCCCCATCTTAATGAACGACAGGGTTCTGGTGCGGCCAGACGGGGAAGGGGATAGTGAAGTCCCTCTGCCATCGTGCGCGGGTCTCCATGACAAACTGGTCAACGTCACCTTGGCTGTGACGGCCGTGGAGCACCCTAAACCCTAAACCTAAACCCTACACCCTCTGTTTATAGTGATTCCACCCTCTGAAGGCAAGGATGCACTTTCCAGATCTTCCTAGCACGGCTATTGCAGCTTGAAGGCAAAAGTTGAATGACCATGCTCAAACAAAACCGGGCTTCTTTTGTGTAGCCTTCCGTCTCGTAATCGCCTCGCCACCTTCCTCATGAACACTCCAAGGACCGGCACCGAAATGCGCAGTCTTCTGTGAAAGTTGAAACCCAACAGCCACGACACTGTGTGATATTGTGTGTTTGCTCAGCTGCATCTGGAGCATGCGACACATGCGAATGGCGCACCTACAGACCCATAGATCCTCATGTGCGGTTCATAAGTCGCAAGTGCGTAAGAGAGTCTTGTACAGACCCACATTGGAGCCGCACTGCTTGAACAGCTCTTTGTCTGCGCGTGCGTACCTGGAAACATTGAACAAAGCCAAACCTTAAACCCTAAACCCTCATCCCTGAACCCAAATACTGTCACCAAGAAATGCCACTCAGGTGCCTCCAGTCCTCTTTGGGAGGCAGCATATAAATTCCTGACTGCTGAAAAGGATTAGGGTTTAGGGTTTCGGGTTTAGTCGCACGTCCTATCTGAGCATCAGACATGCTTCTCTCCGACATCCCTAGGCTGTCATGATATCGCATGAGATGGGGGTTTGCGAAAATAAGGCACCCCTAAGATACACCTCCAAATAGTAGGATTCCCTAATAATCAGGATCCCCAAAAGGGACCCCTGATTGCGGAACCCCCCCCCCCCCATATCGCATGGAAGGCGCTCTCGAACTGTATCCCCCGGGTAGCAAGATTGAGTAGAGATTGGGCGCCAAAGTCGGAGTTCACCTGCAGCAAGGTTTTGTGTTGGGACACTTGAACTCAAGCATGTTCTTATGGCTCTGTCATATCCCGGGACCCCGAAGGAACCATGACAAACACAAAAACTCCTGGCAAAAGCATGACGAATCATGAGGGCAAACCTGCTTTTGACTCAAGATGGCTGAAGCCGAAGCTCCACAAACAGAATTCGCGCGTAGTTGTTCCGGGCGTGGCTGTGGACGACGGCATCCGCCCATGCCATGGCTTGTTCCGGGTACTTCCTGAGGCATTTGAATTGCTTTCAAGGGGGGGGGGGGGGTTGGAGGAAGTTGTGGTGTTGAGGGCAAGAAGGGTCTTGAGGTCTTATTTACTATTCATTCTTAATTATTAAATATTAGTTATGAATTATTAGCTTTTTTTTATTTATTGTTTATTGTTTATTATTGGCTGTTTCTTAGTCCACCGGGCTCCCCGACAGACTTTGATTTCCTAGCTCACTGACAGGCATCAAAAACAGCCCTTGCCTGCGACTTGCCTACAATAGACATGGCTTCCACTTTACATCTAACCCTAAACCCTAAACCCTCACCCTAAACCCTAAACCCTAAACCCAAAACCCTAAACCTTAAACATCTGACCAGGGTCCGGAGAACCTCCTCAAACTGGTCCACAATGACGAACACCGGTTTGGGCAGCAGCAGCGGGAAGGGAATGCGCATCTTCTCCATGGCGAGGCAGAACCACTGCTGCTTCCGATATGCCCAAACACCTCAGTCGTGGCATCTCTCTCTCTCTCTCTTTCTCTCTCTCTCTCTCACTACTCAGTGAAATGCACCATGTGTCATGGCAGCTGCTTCCTCCACAACTGCTGCCAGTCCCTGTCAAACACCAACTTAGACTTAGTCTTGCTTGCAAGATCACTTGGTCATGAGTATCTCAAGTCAAGGCACACTGCTTGATTTCTGAGCCCACCCGGACAAGTGTGCCAAACATCTGGAAAGTGATCCACCTTGCGTAGCAAAGGTTAAGCCAGCAAGCACTCTTATGGCCTACCCTGTCACAGACGCAGTGCTGCATGAGCAGGCAGTCAAGCCCATCAATCTTTGTTGCGGGTGCTATCTGCCAGTGTGGGTGTGGGGAGTTTAGTCGAAGGATCCTCTACGGGAATACAAGGGCCTTATTAGGAGCTTACCAACTGGAACCTTCAGGGGTGCAACCATATTGGTACGTACCACTCTTGATGTCGTGCTCCACCAAGGCAACCCTAGTCAGAAGCCGCAGCTTTTCATGGATGGCTGCCCAAGTGCTGGCCGAAGCTGTCCTGGCGATGCGCTTCGCCTCCTGGACATGAAACTAAAAGAAAGAGGTCTCGGTGCCAACGCCCGATGACAATAAGCATCATAGTAATGAGAGAGAGAGAGAGAGAGAATTACAATAAGCACAAGTAAGAATGCTCGTAGCAAATAGTTGCAACAGCAGCAGTCATATTGATGGCTGTAGTAATATAGTCGCATAGCAAGAGATGCCGTACTTCGAACAGGAAATGAATACTGACGTGAATGCTAGTACATAGCTTTGGGGCCAACGGCTTAGAATCTTCGAACAGGCTGCACAATCTGTGCTTCCCGGCCATTCATGTATATGCCGCGCCAGCAGATCCAGCTCAAGGGCCAAATCGTCCAACGATTTCTCCATGGTATGGCCTCGGACATATTGCTTCCTACCCTCAGCTTCTTTCCGGAAGAAGATTTAACCCTAAACCCTAAACCCTAAACCCTAAAAACTGGGTGCAGCTCTGGAAGTGGCCAAGGTGCAGTGCGTAGGAGTAGGGTCTTGCCACTCTGGGACTCCCCCTGTAAGATTACAATCCTCAGGTCACGAGCCGATCGGGGTTTAGGGTTTAGGGATGTTTATAGAGGGTTTAGGGGCGTTTAGGGTTTTAGGGTTTAGGGATGTTTAGGGTTTAGGGTGAGTCAATCGGAGTCTATCGGGGTTGCAGCAGTCTCGTGGCGGCTTGGCCTGTCTGCACAGAGCGGTGGGTCACACAGCCTTTTTCATGCAAGGTCCCTAAACCCTAAACCTTGCTAAACCCTAAACCCTAAACTGTGGCAGTGGAGTAGCATAGTCCCGCAGTCTGCAGCTTGGCATCCGATTGTGTTTCAGCAGCTTGTAGGGATCGGTCTGAAACCTTAGGCTCGGGATTTGATCACGGTTTAGGGTTTAGGGCTTAGGGGCTTTCTTCCCTCATGTGCACCCCAATACCGGATGCCAGGACAGTGTGGTGCATGCGACTGAATGAGCAGGTGCCTGTCACCTGATGGCAGGGTGTGTGGCTGGCTGTTGTGCCTGCCGATCTAAAAGGAAATTCCAGATGTGGCTCACGTGGCCCACTTGCACATCTTCAGCATCCGAGCTGCCATATGTGCTGCTGTGTGGGTGGTAAAGGACCACCCTTATGTTCACAGATGGCTTTCAATCATGTGCGCAACAAATGTGGACAGAGAAAGGCAGACTCAGACGTCATAGCAAGGCACTTCCATGCGAAGTCGATTGAACAGGGGCTCGACTGGGCGCGCTTGGGGATACCTCGACACGTCGTGGTGCACACCCAAAGCATCATCATGCGGTGACACACATCTGCAACTACAAGCCTGCAACACGCCTGCGAGAGACCCCTAATGTAACTGAAGAATTCGCACCGAACTGGATGTGGTGTTCTGCTTCTCAAACTGGCTGCCACAGAGATGCAATGCTCGCTTTGCTGCTGCTGTCATGGTGACGGTGCCGACAATTGCGCACACTGTTTGGATGAAGCCTCGGGCACCAGGGTTTAGGGTTTAGGGTTTAGGGTTTAGGCACAGTTCAACAGACAGGCAGATCGCGACTTGCTCCATGATGCACTCAAGCAGAACTTCCTCGATGCCTGCGTGGACAGCCTCCCTCACGTAAGCATGTTTTTTAAAATTTGCCGTATACTGTATACACAGTCAGTGTGCAAATCGAAATGAACGATGTCCTTTTTCTACCTATATATATATATACACATACATCTTTATTCATATATATATATACATATGTGCGTGTGTGTGTGTGTGTATGTACAGATACTTGAAACATGTTCAATTGCCAGCCGTGCGGCCGAAACCTGTGTCGAGACCATATTTCATTGCTGTGTCCAAACCTTGGTCAAGCTCATCTGAGGCGTAAGTAAAGTTCGCCGCAGGGTGCCGTATACATTAAGATCGGGTTGGTGGCTTAGAATGCGGTCCCCAGGGGACTAGCACACGTGGCGTTGCACGTAAATGTCCTTGGCGATAGCTGCAGAATGCTGTAGACGACGCTTTAAGGAATATAGCCGCAGCAAAGAGGGCTGCCTACAGCCTGACTTTTTAATGCAAGCCACATAAACCGGCCCATCTAGCAAATGTAGCGTGGCAAACTCATGCGTGCATCATGCGTGCTGGTTGCCGTTGCCAAGCAGGAAAGACAGAGGCGAGTTCTCATCACCTTGGCTGCTTGCACCTTGTCTTGCCAGACAGAACCGCGGTAACAATAAATTAGCAGCCGAAGTAGAGGAAGCATCATGCGCCTACTATCTACAAAATTTAAGTTTCAACATATGTATATACATAATCGTAAATATTCTAGTATGTACTATATAATTACTGGACCAAATATGTATATATATATATATATCCTCAATAGAATTGTACATATATATATATATATACACATAGATACATGCATAACAGGGACCAGCACGGCTTCTTGATGCGTCTGGAAGGCTCAGCTGGGTCCAGGTCCAAGAGACCCAGGATCCTCCTGGAGCACCCCTTTCTAGGATTTCGACTCTCACCGCTGGGTTTAGTTTAGGGTTTAGGGTTTAGGGTTTAGGGTTTAGGGTTTAGGGTTTAGGGTTTAGGATTTAGGGTTTAGGGTTTAGGGTTTAGGGTTTAGGGTTTAGGGTTTAGGGCTACTAGGGTTTACAGGGGCAAGGATCCGGGAACTGGTCATGTAGGGCTTAGGGCGTCGGGCTTAACAGGGCAAACAGCGCTTTCGCTGTGCACGGCCGTGGGTGATTCAGGCGACGAGACAGCAGGGGACCGCCACCACTGTGGATTAGCCAGGTTTAGGGTGTAGGGTTTAGGGTTTAGGTGCGATTTGTGGCACAACTGCAGGACTCCTTCGCTTTGTCCCTGGACCGGCTGCGACATGCGGATTTTGATAAGGAAACGGTGACAGGCTTTGACCAGCAATGAAAGATCACTTGTGCCCTAGAGGCACTGCGACACTTCTCAATCCAGAGTCTATATCATCTGGAACTTTGAGCCACGGTGAGCTGCATGGTGCGTCCGCACCTGCTTACACATTGTGCAGATGTCTCCGTAGCAGCTCAACGCGCAAACTTAACGAGAAAGAGGGCCCCAACACAAGCACACACACACACACACACACACACACACATTTTTTGCGGGTTGCTTCCAGGCCTCCCTGCACTAATCATCCTGAGCCTTCGCTGTTCGCATGGCGCGCCGCCACTCAAAACCCGTGTTCGAAGGCTCACCCGATCAGGACAAAACAAACAAGAGGAAAGGGGATAGGTCGGATAGGTTGGATTGCTTCTGCCTTTCAAGTATAAGGCTTTCTTGACACTGCGTCTTAGCTTTGCTTCTCTTCGAGAGAAGGATGGAGGACGGTCCACATGCCGTCCTGTCGCGACGGCGAGCTGCTCCCGAAATGTCGGTGTCAATAGAAGCACTCGCTTCTTGCTACAGCTCTCAGAGTAAAGGGATTTGCTCGCCGCTTGAGACCCAGCATGACCCAGCTCATGTCAAACGTACACTCAACCTGCAAAAAATGTATATACATATATATATATATATATATGCGTGTATCATTATAACACATATCTTATAGAATAATATAACATATCATGTAAATCATATAGGAAATACGATGTGCTCTGACAACGCGAAGCTGCCATGAGCCTGGGCTGTGCCAACTTGTCCCGGCCGGGCGAGACGGTTGGGTGGTAGGCGTATGCCGAGTAGGGTGCAGGGTAACCGATTAAGGCCAAGCAACTTAGTACGGGCCCGGCCGGTTATTCCTTGCTCGCTTCACGAAGATCGGGCCAGAACCTGCCAAGCGGCATTTTGGCTTCTTCGGGTTCGGTTGCGTCTATTATTACTGCTTCAATTCATGTACTGCTAATTGTACTTTGAAGCCTCAACTTTAGTGCACCCTCACCTGGCTTGATCTCATACTTCTCGTGCAAGGTCTGTATTGCGGTCTCTGCCTGACGGCAGAAAGACAAACAAACTTCACAAAGTCCCCCAAGTGCGTCGCAATATGCCACAAAAAGACCTGCCCTCTCTTTCGTGCCCCGGCCTCGTCGGATAGCTCGTATTCTACGAAGGCGCAGTTTTGGCCACTCTTGGACTTCCCGGACATGATGAACGTCTGCGCAGCAAGCGCGGGGCAAATGGGCGGAAATGGGGGTTTAGGGTTTAGGGTTTAGGGTCTAGGGTTTAGGGTCGTCGTCCCAAAGGGTGGCCTTGAGCACGTTGCCGTACGCCTTGAAGACCTGACTGCGACTTCGCTAGGAGTCACTCGCGTCTACTGGACCACCCGTTTACGAAACACGCACGCTCACCCAGCGGCACGCGCAGGCCAAGGCCAAAAAAACAAAGGCTGCTGTTGGCGTTCGTTTCTTCAGCAAGAGCAGGCTGAGAGGAGGACATACTGCAGCTGATCATCAGTTACGTCCGGGGGCAAGTTGCCTACGAAGAGCCTGGTGCCACCTGTCATCGGCACCGCCGCATGAGCAGGTGAATGAGTAGCAGCCACAGAAGCATCTTTGCAAAGCTTTCGCCGGAAAGGCCTTTGCCACCTGCCATCCATCTGCTGGCTGTTGATTAGTCTGATTAAGGGTAGCATAAAGAGAAATTCTGGGAGTGTCTCTCTAGCTCATACTTGGCCATGATTGCTGGGTATGGGATTGAATCCTTAACCCCCTCCCCCCTCCGAGCCTTTGCCATCGTCCCAACCGCCGCCGCCGCCACCGCCTTTACCTCCCCAACAGCCTGCGAAGGCAGCACAATGAGAACCGAGGATTTAGCATCACTCCATGACTGACCAAATCTCGGGCTACTTCCATAGACATGGCGGCATGTGCACCTCTCTGGAGCAAGTCAACGCAAAGCATGCAGCATACACATACAAAACGCATCGGTCAGCAGCCTCCTCCACCTCCCCCGCCGCCCTTGCCCCAGCTGTCCCAAGATTCGCCGAGGCCGCCCTGATGCCAAGCGGGAAGCAAAAAGTCAGTGTCTGGCTGATGCTGCAATGCTCCCCATTGCTTGTATGGATGGTGAATGAGAGCAAGGCAAGCGTACTGTGAAAGTGCTGCAAGTGCAGTTTGCCTCCTTCAAGGCCCTAGCAGCCGTAGCACCAGTACTTGAACTCGCCTGCTGCATGCCACAGCCACCAAATCCACCACCGCATCCGCCATCATAGCCGCCGCAGCCACCGTAGTTTCCCCCGTCTCCCTGACATCAAGGTGCCCATGGTGCAAGGACACAGCTCTTGCCGACTGCACGCCATGTGCCTTGCCATAACCGTTGTTGCTCCAGCCACCACCACCACCGCCTTTTCCTCCATCCTTTCCTGGCACCACAACTCAAGTCTAGTTGAATACATCTGCATGCCAGACTAGCAAGTGACGCAATTGCCCTGCCGAGCATGATGCAGAACAGCGCAAAGCACGGCAGGGCTCCTTTGTTGCCCGACCTCGCCCAGTTAACCTGACCAGACCCAAAGGCGCTTCTTGCTTGGGGGTTCCTACCAAACTCCAACAACATGCAGGGCATAGTGAGCCTTAGGCTCCCTCAGTTCAGGATGTTCAGGGCTTAGATGCCGAAAATTGGGTAAATTTGATTGCATCCCAAACTTCCCGTCTTAGCGTACCCTTCTGCGAGCGGACTGTGAAAACGACTGCCCCCAAAACCCTTTGTTTTTGCATCTGGACTGCGGGAACCCATCAGCCAGATAACTTGCAGCATTGCCGACCCTCAGCTACCCTAAAGCCCGAAACCCAGTTGAATACCCTGGCCTGGATGGCATTCGGGGCATCTTCCCGAATCCTAGGTTCTGCTCCAGTGCTCCATCTCCGACACATGAGTGGACGATGCGTTGCATGTGCCCCAGTGTCAGCAGAAGCTGAGACCGGCGCTTGTAGACCTAAGCGTGCTTTGAAAGAACCAGGGTAACAGCTCGTCAACATCTGGAAGGCACTGCCACGAACACGAGCACATTATCAATCCTGACAAAGACCTTCAATGGCTGCGCTGGCCGCAATGGTGCTGAGCAGCGCACGCTGTTCAATGCCTGCCAGGACTTGTGCGGACTCTCAAAAGACTTTGCCACCCGTGCGTGGTGACACCCTGAATCACGGTGTGTCGCGTGAATCTGTGTGACATCTCCTGGCAGAAAGAGCGCCAGATCATGTTTTGAGCGAGCAGGTCCTGCTGCCACATGTTACCACAAAGGTAAATGATATTGATAAGATTCATGATTAATCATACTAATAATTAACAATATTAGTAATACTACTAATATTAAATAGCATTGTCAACATTATTAACTATGAATCCATGGCGGTTGGTGCCTGGATGGCTGTTTCGGCAGCCTCTCGGCTTTCGTACATTACGAAGGCCTCGGCGCTTTCAGAATCAGCCGGATCGAGCCCGCTTGATAGCAAGGATTGTGCGCTCATGCAGCCAAATGCCAGGGGTGGCTTGGGGATGCTAGGTTTCAATGCCCAAGGTTGACTGCACCTAGGGAGCGCACCAAATCAGACCTGAGCACGGGGCGCAAGCTTGCCCTGTTTGCGATCGATTTCCTGGCAGGACATGATCCAGCTGCCCAGTCTGCTATTAGAGAAGAGCATTAGGTGTGGCAAAATGGCTGAGTACGTCTGGGTAATTATGTCCTAGCACAGAACTTTACCCTAGGTTAAGAAAACGTCCTCTTAGTACAGCAGTGCAGTGGTGAATGCATCAACTTGCCAAAGTGGCTGTCACCAGCGATGACGTGCACATCTGTGACCGCACCGTACGTCTTGAAGACAAACTCGATCTCCTGTAGTCCAGACACACGCTTAAGCATGTGAAGCCTCGGCTGAGCATGAAAGATCATGAAAGGGTTTAGGGTTTAGGGTTTAGGGTTTAGGGTTTAGGGTTTAGGGTTCAGGGTTACGTTCTCTGAGGAAATCCTCCTTCGTGATGTCGGGCGGTAGAGAGCCCACGAACAGCTTGTTCTCCTTGGCAAGACTTTGCATCTGCCAAAAGAAATAGGGGAGCACGCAGGTGAAAGATCTCGACTCAAACCCCTCTCTCGAACAGACATGCTCTTGCTTGCTTTGCTGCCAAGTTGCGCCCATCTTTGCCCAACAGATCCAGCTGCCTCAAAGCCTTCAAAATCAATGCATGGCAGAAACCTATCGCAATCGCGCAGGCGTGATTACAAGCAGTTCTGGAAAAACTTTTTCAGTGACATGTCAGACCATGATCCTGTCAGCCCTGATGGATCCTGCACTTTGAATCCGGCACGCTTCCTATTCTCACCGATCCCGCCAAGTGCCTTCGCTTTCTCGCGGGGAGTGGGGCCATGGGCGCGGGGGCGGCGCCCAACGCCCCTGCTGTGTCCCGAGCCAAAAGCAGCCACAATCCGGTGTTGTTCGCCGGCATGCTGAGGGGCAACGGTTCATCAACAGTCGGCTGCGAAGGTCAGAGTCAGTGTCATGTCTTAGGTAAAGGCATTAGAACGACATCTCCTTTGATTGCTCCATGCACTTTACTTACGGAATCGTTTCCACGGGCATGCAGCATGTCTCCTTTTTAGCACATGGCGCTTGTGGCACCTAAATGCTTTAACTTCAAAGTGAAACCAACGAGGGGCGCGCCCAGTGGCTATGGTTGGGCACGTGTGCGATTCGCGAAGTGAACCACTCACACGGCTACTGATGGACTTAGCACCGGCTCCTGCAGCAAGGATTGGGAGCGACCGCCTTAGAGTCCGATGGCTACCCTCCTTCTGTTCCGAAGAGGTGGCTAGGTAGTTGGATGCGGGAGGTGCTAGTAAGGTCCCACCCTATTGTCCCTACTTTTTGCAGGCGGTTGCCCATCATTTGCCCACTCCACGAAGATGAGGTCCGAGGAGCCTGCAGGCAGGAAACCCTGCGTACGCATCCTTAAATCTTCCAGAACTTCAACGCATAAATGCCTCGCCACGGCTGGACAAGAATAAAGGAAGTCAAGCAAACCTACACAAGTAAAGGCCAACCTCGATGATGCATCGACAAAGACGAAACATGCTGAACGGATCAGTCATCTCCCAATGCCCCATCTCTACCGATGGCCAGCGTTGTTACCAACTATTGAATAGACCGCTAGAAAAAGTTCTATATGTATAGTCTTCTTAACATGCGAATGGATGGAGGCCAACCCGGCGATGATTTTGTGCAGCAGTGTGCTTAAAACAAAGTAGTGCACAAGCAAGCTCTACTTTGCTGTGGTTGCTCGAGGTCATTGTGCGAGACATCTTTGTTGAATGCTTTGTGTTGGTTGTTGCGTTTTACCCTGACCCGCCAGAATTGCCACCCTCGACGTCTATCTAGTATCCGACCCAGGGTTTAGGGCTAATCTTGACATCCCTTAACTTTTTGTCAGCTGGTGGTTCTCTTTCTTCGAGCATGTCGCAGTCGATTTCCCTTCTCATGTCTGGTGTTGCATTGGAGCCTTTCAGATGTGCAGCGGCATTCAGACGGCACCTGCTCACAAAGAGGATGCCGAGTTCGGCGAAACCGCTCCCCAATGCTCCAGCCATCTCCAGCCACTGCGCAACAACCCTGGCTCGGTGACCAGAATCATTGCCTGCAGTAAACGCAGCCTCTGGGGTTCGGGTTTAGGGTTTAGGGTTTAGGGGACGTCAATAGGACGTCAATATGACTTGTAGCGCTTTGCAAGCATGTCTTGGGTGACATCCGAGAAATCCAGCGCGGGCAGGACTGCCACATGGCACTTGTCACAATGAGGCCACTTCCGGCATGGTCTTGTCTTCCGGGTAAAGATGTTCCAGCCAAAGCTTTCTCCACAATACACTCCCAGCGCAGCACAAACAACAGCCGTCTCGAGCGAGCCCACAAGAACCGTATCCACATGACCCTCCAATTCCAGAGTGTACCTGAGAATTCTCATCGTCTCATAGCCTAAACCCTAATTAAACCATAAACTCTAAACCCTTCTGAACCAGGATTCTGGGGTCTTGAGGGAGGGGTTCGAGGGAGAATTTGTTACAAGCTTACGGGATGTACCCAACATTCCAGATCTTGAAGTTCGGACTTCTTAGTCATCAGATCTCACAGAACCATCAGAACTCTGCCAAGCCCGGTTGCACGTGCTCTTCCTGCGTGTGTGAGGGAGCCTTGCAGGCCTCAGGGCGGCACCAAGAGCCATTCATAAACACGGGGTGGCCAACCTGAGTGCAAACAAGAATCCCACAGCGAGGGGCATGTAAGGATCAAAAACCAGAGCATGGGAACATTCAATAGAGATTGGGATGTTCCCCCTTTGTACTGACAGCTCCTTAATGGGGATTATAATAAAAGGGGGGGGACTACTATAATCCTTCTTCAGGACTGTTCATATATGGGGGAACATCCCCCAAAAATAGAGAACTTGAGGCAAACTTGAAAAGCCCGTGAAGCCGTGAGCCGACACCCCGGCTGCAACTCCACCGTCTTGGAGAGGCCTCCTGCACACCGCCAGATGCGGGTGACCTGGCGGTACCTTACTTCTCCAAGAAATTAAGGGGAGAAAAAAGGTTAGATTTTATTATTCCACTGAAGAAGGAAACCCAAAAACAGCTTAAAGTTCAACTATTGGCTAAGTAAGCTACTCTTTGCGCTCGGAGCCAGTCCGGACCCAGTCCCCCTCATGCAGATGGCACATGAACTTGCGCATGGGCCGGCCGGAAACCAGTACCTGAAACTCACAGTGGTCGGTGAAGCACGTGCATGGAATCCTGTTCCAGTCAGGGCTTGACGTCCGTCGTGTTATCAGAGGAGGTGGGCGCTTTATGCGCACCAGCTGAACCACAGCTCCATGTGCAACCGGGGTATCGCCCAAGCAGCTGAGGGCGGAAAGCTCGGCCCCCTGTGCAAAGAGCTTCAGATCCTCAGTTTCGCCTTGTTCACGAAGGACGGCTACAAGCTCAGACACCGTGCTGTCCTTATGCATGGTTTGGGCCAACACGTGCTCTCCCGACATGAGCTGCACAGTCACCTGAAGGAAAGTTGCCTCTCCTTCCAAAGGGTTCTGTGTTGGGCATGGGCAGATCCAAGCCCCAGGATTCTTTATAAACTTCAGTAGGGCCTGCCCGAGCCGCCCACCCGCCGATTCCAGCCGCTCCGAGAGCCAGGCACGATCTCCACCTGGAACAAAGCAGCCGAGCGCAATGGCATCGTCCTCCTTGCTTGGCTCACCAAGATCCCATGTCAACGCTTCGCGGAGGTGCGTGGACCCTGCAAGGTCTCGGAGTCGGGAGCGCAGCAGCTCGTTCAATCGAGACATGGCGACTCGGCCTGCGTCTGGCGGCACGCTTCGTATGTGCTCGGAATCCCCAGGCTTGCAGGGCACATGGGGCAGCATGTGCCCAAAGAGCCGCAAGCAGTCATCTGAGTATAGAGGGTGTGTCATATGAGCATGCCAGACCCAGTCAAGCTCCACTGCAGGCCCTGCTAAGCTCTCAGGTCCTGTTTCGCCCATGACAAGCAAGAAGCGCCTGTAGAAGAGGTCCATAAGGTCCAAGAAGTGTGACATCAAATCTGGCCCGGACCCGTTGCACGTCGCCCCGTCCGCCTTGAGCACGATGGCCCTGGGATCACTTAGGGGCGTTAGCCTGGCCTCTTCAAAGGCAGCAAGAGCAAGGGCGAAGGCTGTAGGAACATTCGCCAATGCGTCAGAATCCAATGAGAGCTGTTGAGGAGCAACTGCGGCAGGTTTCTCGCCCGAAGCTCTTGCCTTCGATACCAATTCCTTTGCAGCTGGCGGCAGGGGTCCCAAGCGAAGTGGGTAATCCAGCCCCTGGCAAAATTTGGAGTAGGAGTCTGTGTGCAGCTGGTGGGTGAGCCAGCAAAGCCACGCCTCCATCGGAGGACTCTTAGATGGTAGGGCATATGGGGTCCCATACTCGACTTCTTCATCCTTGCGGTGGGAGGAGGCCAGAGCTACTTGTTGCCTCAGGTAGTGGAGGTAACTGGGCTGGGCTTCCGTGACAAAGAAGCCAGAATCCCACCACGGCTTGTGTCGGGCAGCCTCCATCCAGCCTTTTAGCAGCGCAACGGCCATGAACTGGGGTGCCACCTGCAGAGGTTGGCAGGATTGCAACAGCTTGGCCACTGCATCCACGGTGCCAGCCTCTGCATTGTCGAAGGATCGCACGAAAAAGGCCGCATCCCCTAGGCCGGACTTAAAATCGAGCATCAGCAGTGCTTGCTGGGGAAAAGCCTGTAGCTCTGCTAGATCCTGAGGAAAGCCTTCCACAACAACAAGCCTTCCCCAGCAGCCATACATAAGTTCCTGCATGAGTTGATGCACCACATGGTTGCTTCCCGCTGTCTCCCGGATGCGGTTCACACTGATGCGCTTAACCTGTGCACCGAGCCTTTGCCGCGCCTGTCGGCATACAGGGCCAAAAAGCTTTGGGTCACCACAGGCAAAGACCAGAGTCGGCTGCAAGTGGTAACATGCAGATGCCGTAACAAGAGCCGTGCTTCCCGTGGCGTCAATATGACGTGCGATCCCAGCTTGGCGAAATGTGGAGACGACCGGCTCGGTGAGGGCCCTGTAGGAAGCGAGCCTCTCCCCGAAGTTTAAGTCCCCTTCCCGGCCCCGCGCTTCAGCCCGGGTCTTGAGGACATCATCAGGCGCCTCCAGAACCAGAACCAAAAAAGGCTTCACAACGTCAATGCTCTGCCAGAGGTGGAAGCCGTCCATCATGCGAGGGAAGCCGTTCACAAAGACGAAATGAGCAGGTGCCACGGAGACCCGGCGACGTGCCTCTTCCATCTCTTCACGGAGAGCATCCATCAGGATGTCTTGGGGAGGGCGGGCGGACTCCTTGGGGCCTTCACCTTACTGTTGGTAGTAGGGAATGAGGTACCCTATATCCTCCCTTACAGGGTATATCTAGGGGATATAGGGTACCTCATTCCCTCATTCCCTACTAACCAACACTAAGTCACGCAGGTGGACGCCAAGATCAATGTGCTTACCGGTGAAGTGCCTGGCCAGGCTCTCTCCCAGGGTCGACTTGCCACTGGCTGGGGGCCCCATAAGCAGCCTAGGATGGCCCTTAAGCCTTAAGCCCTAAGAACTTAAGACCCTCTAAAGAATGTATTCCTAAAGACAAATCCTCTTAAACCTCAATCAGAAAAAACAGAAAGGTCCCCAAGGGCCAACCTAGCAGCACGACTTTGCAGGGCTCACGCGGCTCACACAGCTCGCTACGAGGTGTGGTGGCGTTGCTCATGGCTGCGCACACTGCTTGGGGTTTAGGGTATTTAGGGTTTGGGGCTCGGAAAGCCTCTTTTTCAATGTGCACATGATGCAAGGCTTCAGGCCACGGAGCGTCGCTCTTGCTACTGGTAGCTGACTTTGCACAAGCTCAGCAACACTTTGCACAGCCCAACAGGAGCATGGGAAATCGACTACCAGAAATGAATGACAACTAAATGCTCAGGAGCGCATGCTCTGAAAATGTCATGAGCCAACTTACACCCGCGGAGACGATGGGGAATCATGCTTTCATGTTGCCCGGTCTTAAGTAGGGAAAGGAGGTTCTGTACTTGAAAAAGAGGTATAGTGATGTTTTGGGGTCGCTCGTTTTCTTGGGGGGGATAGACACAACACCTATGCAACATTACTCCGGCCTGCTCTCATGGAGTACCGCTGGTGCAAGGAGGTCTGCGCCACTTCGGCCTCAAACCACGTCTGTTGCAACATATTTGGAGGCTATAGGTACCCTAAACCCTAAACCCTAAACCCTAAACCCTAAACCCTAAACCCTGAGCATCCGCACGCACTGCGCTGAGAGACTGAGGGATCCACGTCTTCCACCTTGCGAAATTCTACCTCAAGTCGCCAGGGTCATCCGGCACCACTTGTTGTGAGTTCTCCGGAATTTTTCCGAAACTAGGATACCTTCTATTGGGGTCCTTATTATAACGGAATCCTACTCTTTGGGGGTCACCCACCTTCTTCCAGAGGGGAATTGAAAACACTGGACCTGAACATCCTGGAGTGTGCAGTGGCTGTGAGAAGAGACATCTACATGCAGGTGTTCTTGATGGTGCACCTAGCACAATCGTCAGGTAAAAATGATGAAGAAGTCTACAAAAACCATCGTCCCAGAGGGCAAGAGACTTGCAGAACATGCTTGCAAGCCGACCCCAATCAGCCGTAGCCCAGTCTGAGGCTCGCACGTAGGCACAGCTCTTGTAACCCTTTGCACCGCGGCCACTGATGACATGAACCTTTCCAGTTTATCATAAGTCCGTCCCTTGTTTCATCTTCCTACTTCATCATCTTGCTAGTCGCGAGTTTCGAGAAGAACAGCCTCTGCATGACCAACGGAGGAAACTCGGCTGCGAATTGCTGGAAAGGGCGTCAGTGAAACTTACCTCCATGCTTTCACCTTCCACTCGCAGTGGTAGCCAGCCGCAGAGACGCTGTTGGAAAATTGTGCCCGGCCGCCTGAAAGACTGAAACAGAACACCCGCGCCCGGGCCTTGTCCAGCACGCCGAAGCGTTCAAAGACCTTCATGCAGCTACACACAGGTGAGGGTCAGATGTCTAGAGTCACTAGGCTCTTAGACTCTGAAAGACATGGAGCTACTAAAGCCCCGAAGATCTGTAGTGGAATATGCACGGGAGGCCGATCGGGCCTCAATTTTCTGCGCAGGAACCTTTTACGCTATTTTTTGCATGCGGCGCAGCGACATCAGGCTTTGAATGCCAGCACCTTGCAGTGGGGCGAGGTGGCTGAATTCAAAGGATGATGGCATGTTGCCTTGCGCGAAGAGGCTGAAGGTGACAGCGTTTCCTTGCAACTGAGCACGTCCCATCTGGCGAAGCAGCGATGCAGCAAATTCCCAGCTCTTTGACTTGGAGCAGGACCCTAGACTCAAATTGTGGCTCATGGTGTCTGGTTGCAGGTGCTCCGTGCGGAGCATGCCAAGCAATAGCACAGCTTGCCGCCACTGCCCTGACAACTCGCAGGTGTTGAGTGCAGCATTGTATGAAATCAGATTCGGCTTTATCACCTGCACCATCTGCTGAAACAAGAGCAGCCCCAGCTGCCAATTCCTACATGCACTGATGGCTGGGCTAAATGACAAGGCGTCAGGTTGCAAGTGCAACTTGCCTATGCAGCTGAGCAAATTGACTGACTCCTGCCACTGCTCGGCATCAGCACATGCCTTCAACGCAGCAGTGCAGACTTCCACCGTCGCGTGGTGTCTCTTACAAGCCAGCGCTTCAAGCAGAGCCAAAGCAGAGCGCCATTGAATGTGACTCCCACACATCGTTATCGCGGAAGCATATGCCGCTGCGTAGGGGCCATCAAAGCCCCGCTCAGGCAACCCATGCAAAAGTAGATGAAAGGCATCCCTCCAGGAATAACCTTCACTGAAGGCCGCTATCGCGGTGGTGACTGTGGCAACATCAACATGCACATCCAGGCGAAGCAAGCGCAGGGCTCTTTGCCATCTACTGTCCGCTAGACAAGCATTTGCAGCCGCCGACCGCGTGACTTCATCGTGGGCCAAGCCAGTCCTCTCGACATCCTGCAGCAAAGCGAGAACAACGTTCCATGATCTGCAAGCAAGTGCCGAGGAGCAGGTAGTCTCGTCAGACTGCAGCAAGGACACCCTCAGTTCCTGCAACAAGCTACACGAATCTTGCCACTGCCTCCCGTTGGCCAAAACACGCAGAGCTACGTTGTAGGTGACTACGCTCGGCCGCAACTTGCCGCTGTGAAGGTCGGTCCACAAGTCTTTAGCCTGCTGCCATCGTCCCCCAGCATCGCAGGCACCTAGCACCGAGCTCAGGGTGAACATGTCTGGCTCCAGGCTTCTGCTGCAGAAACGGCCAAAGACATCCAGAGCTCTCAGCCATTGCTGCGTGCGACAGAAAGCAGTGATGGCTGCATTGACCACAACAATGCCGCATTGCAGCTTGCAGTCCAAAACATCGGCAAGGAGAGCGACTACTTCCTCCCAACGTCCAGCTTTGCCATAGGTGGCAAGAGCAGATGTGCAAACGATCGAATTGAGCTCCATTCCCATTGCTTGCATGTCTGCTATGATTAGCAGTGCCTGCTGCCAGCTGTCTCCCTTCTCCAGGGCACTGATCACAGCGCTGTACGTAACGATGTCAGGCTGCACTCCTGGCACTCCAAAGTCGCCGAACACGCAAGCCGCGTGCTGCCAGCGCGCACGTCTAGTGCATGCGGTAATTGCGGAGTTCAAGACTACTGCATTCGGGTGAATACCTCTGCATACTAACTCATCTGCGAAATTCACTGCGCGATGCCAGCATCCGCCTCTTCCACTCGCACTGATGACTGAAGTAGCGATCACCACATTCAGCTGCAGAGCTCTTACGTGGACCTCATTCAAGACAATCAGAGCATGTCGCCACTTGCCTCCCTTGTCGCACGCATTCGTTGCTTCTCCATGTACACGGATTTCCGGCTGAAGGCCGCGATGACTGAGCTCAGAGATTCGATGCAAAGCAAGTGGCCAAGCAAAATCCATCGTTGCAGATGGGGCAAGCAGTGGCAGGGGGTTGGCCAGGCATTCTAGAACAGATTTGCTGACGAAGCCACTGACTGTGCAGGCAAGCTAAGCTTGAAGGGCTCTAGCACACATGTCCATCCGCAATTCATTCGAGATCAACCCCTGCCAGAGTATAGAACTTATGCAGCGGCTGCATACCTTGCCCCAACGTCCCAATAGAGACCAAACATATGTGGCTTTGTCTACGAGACCCCTGTCGTGGTGTGGACTACGAACAAGCAATCCGAACTAGCCATCAAACATGCCATGGGCAAACAAGCGGGGTCCCACGTTGGTCACAGCGGGCAGATCGACGTCCGCAGGCAAGTTGTAAGCAATGAGGGGTCCTGATTGCAAGCTCCATTGATACTGTTTTTCCAACTTCTGCACGGTGCTCTAATCAATGCCGAAGTTTAAGGCATCAGTCGGAAAGGAAAAATCACAGAACAGGATTACTTGGAGGTTCATGGGTGGTTAGAAGTAGGGTTATAAGTACCCCCAAATTGGGGTGATAAGTACAGATACCATACTCATAATTACTCATAACCCTACTTCTTTAGGGGTTTAGGGTTTAGGGTTCTGACTGCCCATGAAGCTCCAAGTAAGATTGTCTTGGTCCAGCCTCTCGGCCTGCTAGCAGGTTCCCAGAGATTTCTGCCTGCGCAGCGGGGAGAACCTTCTTTTTCAAACCCCCCAATGGAATGCTTGCAGAAAGAATCAAAAACCTGGGCTCCAGGGCGGGCACAAGTCACCAGCTAAGCAGAAAAGCATTATTGTAGGGTGGTATATTGGCCAGCATGGTTGCATGAATGGAGCCTCCAAAAGTGACACGGCCGAAAAGGACGAAGCAGCAACTTTGCCCACTTTCGCCGTGGAAGGCCAACAGCGGAGCCGTCGGCTACCGTAGAAACATGCAAGAAGTGCAAGAGAAGTGGTCGTTGCAAACTGTCAAACCTTGAAACAAAGTATTTCGACTATGACTATTCTTACTATCAGTCTTGCTCTTTAATATGCATTATTACTCCCTATAATGTGTAAAACAAGAGGGTGGGCCTCTTGCTTCGACGCGGCCCCAACCTCGGAGGAGGCACCCGGAAAGGGAAGGTTCTTAGCAGTGTTATTATTAGTATTAGTATTAGTACTAGTACTAGTACTAGTACTAGTATTAGTATTAGTATTAGTATTCGAAAGTGCTGCGGTCCATGTAACAGAGTCCCCAAACAGTAGGACTAATTTCGGAGACCCCAAGATGTACAAAAAGACCGAATCAGGTCAACCCAAGATTCGCATTTCATGGGCCCAATCGCGGTCTTTCGTGAAGACATGACATCGTCATATAGTTTTCGTCGACTATACGGTAGGCATAATAAGGCAGTCATGAAGCTGGATTCTGCAAAGGGTTGCCAGGTGCTTAATTTTTGCACGGCCACCCTAGAATTTGCAGAGGAAGCCCAGTACCGCTACAACCAACGCGAAACAATCAGCCTCACACATACCAAATTTGAACGTAAGACCTTGTCGTGGTTGTTGCCCCAACTTGACTCGGAAGCTCCATGCAGTCGGCATCTAAATTTGAGTGGGTCGCTAAACTTTTCTTCGGAGCTGCATGCACTGCAGCAAGCAGGAGTCTTAGTCTTGCCTGGACTTGAAGTCACAGGCCATACCTCAGCTGTTTACACTTGATGTCCGCACGGCGTTCAGCAGGTGTTTGCATGTCAACATGTAAACCTCATTGTTCGCTTATCGTTTTAGAGTGAAGCTTGTTTCGAGGCAACCCTTTCTAAGGATCCCACAGCGATGCTTTCACCAAGTCCGCATGGGCTTTACCACTACTCAACCCCGCGGCCGGAAAGGAGGAGAAAGTGCGATCAACTGCACTGCGTCAGAGTCGCACTTCCAGTCGTTTTCGTTGCCCTCTCAGCACTTCACGTCGATAGTTCGAAAAGCTTAGGATTGGGGGGTTTTGCCTGGTAGCTTGCAAGGCTGTTCTCTGAGCTGAGAGCACGGCCACCCGCCCATGCGCTACCTAGGTTCCAGTCGCCTGTGGCCTGGCTTCGCGGAGGGGAAGGGTGCTGCAATGTAGCACAATGAAAGATGGTAAGAGGTAGGGGAGGGAAATGGTGCACCGATGTCACGTCAACTTAGAACCCTCCACTGCCCACTTACGTAAGGCTGATTGACCGGTTGTCAAATACTCAGCTGATCTCAGCTGATACACGTCCACCCTAAACCCTAAACCCTGAACCCTAAACCCTAAACCCTAAGCCCTAAACCCTTTTGCAACTGGGCTGGGGGACTAGCCAGTCTGAGGAAAACCCTAAACCCTAAACCCTAAACCCTAAACCCTAAACCCTAAACCCTAAACCCTAAAGGCCCTAAACCCTTAACCCTAAACCCTAAACCCACTCATGGCCTCTGTCAACGCTAATGCTGTTTTGCCAGCGGCCGGGTCTTTGTCTTTCCCCTTACCTGGCGTGCTGAGCAACAGAACAGTCTCACGTGACGTGCGGCGCGCAACCCATCGCTACCTAAAAACACAGGAAAGCCGCTCAAGCCACAGTATGTCACCCCAGAATGCACGCACTCCCTTGCTTGCTTCAGTAAGCAATGTCGCGCATGTCTCGGCAGCGTCATGACTCATCTCGTGACAGGAGCCGTGTGGCCTTTGTCCCCTTTGCTGCGGGTATTCGCCCACTCCACCTGCCAACTGAATCGCTTGACAAGTCCAGTGCAAAGCGACAGGAACGGCTACGATGCCAAGAACTCAACACGCAAGAGATTGGGGTCTCCATAGTTTCCCAAATTTGTACACCTCCAATGCTTTTTATTCTCTGCATTCGCATTCGTGGGCTGCTCGCGGTAAGCGTCCATCTTTCTGGGACCCCCGCTCTAGAGGATGTATCATGATGTGTGACTCACTGTTATCTACTGAGGTTGGTCGCTCTTTCGCATTTCTGAACAAGCTGTCTTACGTGTTGATTCCAAGGGGAGTCTGTACTGCAGACACTTAGCGTCAAGTAAGTCTACTACAGAAGCTTGTTAGAACCTTTTGCTGATCACCTCTGACAGCTGACATTCGTCAGGCAGAAGCTTGTAGGGTGAAACCTCGTGAGACACATCTGGTGCCATGCTTTCTTCTCTGCAGCTGAAGCTGCACAAGGAGGATGAGCATGCACGGCAACACCAGATGGTCGGCTTGGGAGCTAGTACTCGCCATCCACGAACCTCAGAACGCAATTGGCTGCGTATGCACAATTATGGACACCTATTAAATAAACGGACCTTCCAACCAACCTTTCAATGCGGTCAGGTGGCCCGATGGGTCCATACTCGACCTGTTTGTCCAATGCAGGGCCGCCCCCGCTCACCTGGAATCCATGAAAGCTGCGGGACGACGACATTTCTGTCAGCGGATGTCGCAAATCCTTGCGACATGAAGATCGAGGTTGCAATAATCCGAATGATGCCAAGATGCCCAGGCCAAGTTGATGAGGACTCTGTCCCTCTCGAGCCCAGTGCCGACCTTGAAGAACCACCAGGATGGTCCATTATACCCTCTTACCCCGTGAAACAGGCCCATTACAAGGAGGGCTTTTATGCAAAACAGCCAGCCGCCAAGCAGACTAGCTACAGTGCAGGGTTTTTTGGCTGATTTCGGGGTCCATCAGCCTAAGAGTTTATCCAACCAAACCTACCTTTAGGGTTTTTATTTGCCACCCTTTAGGGTTTAGGCTTTAGGGTTTGGGGTTTGGGGTTTGGGGTACAACTTCCATCCGTCACGTGAGGCGAGCTCTTGAGCAGACAAGTGGCGACCTGGTATCTGAGACCAGGTCCGTGGACCAAGGTGTCATGGGAAATCTGGAACACTTCCTGTCGCATGGGTCGTTCGCTACATTAGGTCTACTTTTGTTGGGTCCCTATATAGTACGGCACCTTATATAGAAGGACCCCTTAAATAACCTTTATTATTTGGACAACTGCCCGCATGAGGCTCGCGGGCTTCCAATCTTGTTACACCTGTGCGGGGAGGAGAAAGCTGGCCCTGCAACATCGCTCAATCAATTGAAGCCCTCCAACTTATGGGAAAATTGCATGAGCAGCAAGATTGCAGCGTCTTCTGCGAGATGAATATCACTGCTGTTCCTGCCACAGCCATCACCCGCAAATCTAAACGTCATCCAGCTGCAGGCTGCGCACCTGTGTCAAACACTCGTTCTTGAAGATGGCCTTAGCTTGTTATGTGAGGTCTTGCCGAAAGCCGTCTGGCACAACGGGCTAGGAATCACAAGGAGGTAATACAGAGTTGGATAGGTGCATCTTTGAAGGACCGGAAACCCTCTCTCTCTCTCTCTCTCAGAGGCACTCCACCGTAAACCCTTAACCCTAAAACCCTGAGCTAGATGCCGAACGATGTAAGATTTGGGACGTCTGGTGCGGCTGCGCTTTTCGGTGCAGAGAAAACTGTTGTTGGCTCCCCTCTTCGCTGAGCCTGAGCTACCTGTGAGCAACCAAGACACGCTCATCTTGCAAGTCACAACCAGGTCCACTCGATGCAGCGCGATCTCCAGACCCATATCGAATTCCATCTGCAGCTCGGGCAGAGCAGACACACGTGCAAGACGGCGTGGCAGGCTACCAAAGCATGACGACCCTGGGCCCTGAGCCTCTGATGCCCTGTGTCTGACACATACTTGGAACCTGCATCTTTTCAGTAGCTGCTTCAGGACAGTGCTACTAGATCTTTTCTTCCTGGCAGGGCATCTCAGCACAACTGTTTATCTTCTGGGGTTTCGTATTTCTGAGAGCAGGGATTCACTCGGGAGACCCCCCAAGAACTCCCTGGGTGTTTGTCATGTGGATCAGTCGATGATGCTCGATGGTTGAATGATGGTTCAAAGGTCCGGGAACTTCTCTTGCGACGTCATGTGTAGCTGATGTCTCGGACATCTACCGCAGGTTAACAGTATCATGCAGAAAACAACACACCTTCTGGCTGCTAGCTGCTACGCCCAAGCGCGAGGCGCCAGCGGTTTCGCGCAAGTGCAAAAACGGCCACTCTCTACAACCTTATGAATTCGTGTGCCCAGCCTCAGATCTTGTAAGCCCCTGAACCTAACAAGCTCCAGCAACCCTAAACCCAAAAAACCCTAAACCCTTCAAACCCTAAACCCTATCCACGGAGACCCAAAAGCCGCCTTGTTCCCAGAGCCCGTGAGATGCACGGGTGCCGAGGGAGCAGGCGCTGCAGAAGCCAGAGCTCGAACAGAAAAGATACCTGGGGTTTAGGGTTTAGGGTTCAGGAGGGTTTAGGGTTTAGGATGGTTTAGGGTTTAGGATGGTTTAGGGCTTAGGAGGGTTTAGGGTTTAGGCTTTAGGATGGTTTAGGGTTTAGGGTTTAGGTCGTTGCCTTTTCTTTTGCATGCTTTCTCCCCTCCCAAGGAGAGGTGTTTCTTCTTTGCTATTTGTAACCTTGGGATGAGAACCCTACCCTTACAGCCTAAGCCCTAAACCCTGAACCCTAAAACCCAAACCTTTAACTCAAGGCGGTGTGTTTATTCATGTTAAGCTTGAGAAACCAATCAAGCATGATGACTCTTTTGGTTCTGATTGCGCTACGACTCGTATTGCGATTGCTGCAGAATGATCACCGTCGAGCTTGTCACTATCCATGTTCTCACTAATTGCAATATTACGTACTCGGGTTTTGAGTTTGGTCACTCGCGACTCCGACACGCCAGGCGAGGCTTGACTGTCAGACCGTGTGCAGGTCATGGTTTAGGGCGATCGATGCTCACGCTATCCTGGTCGCGTCCGCTTCGCAGGTTTCACGGCCCATCGGGTGTAGGGCTTAGGGGCTCCACAAAAACAGCCCTGGCAGGGTACAATCGAGGGCTTTTTGGCCTTAGGCAATTCCAGAGTCTGGGCTGGTATTGCCAGCATGCAACGGACGAAGTCCTTCCGACCTCCTAGAAAGTAAGGCTGCCCTGTGGGGACTTGATGTAACATGCATACTTGGAGGTTCATGGGTAGTTTTAAGTATGACTATAATATAATTAAGTCCAGCTGCCATACTTCTAAACCCTACTTATAGCTTCCCATGAACCTCCAAGTAAACACTGTTTTACCACCTGCACCTGAGCTCTGGTTGTCCAGCGGACAACCTAGCGAACAGCTGAGCGACCGGAGAAAGCCGTTGCACTGCAGAGGAAGCCAAAGTACTTTCCTGCCCGTCTTCAGATTGCTGGACAGGTGAGGGCGGGTGTGACCTCTACACGGACAATCTGCAGCAGATCATGCAAACATCAGCCCGGAATCAGCCCCATGTACTGCCCGCTTCATCCCCAAACTGGCCCCTAAACCCTAAACCCTAAGCCCTAAACCCTAAACCCTAAACCCTAAACCCTAAACCCTAAACCCTGAAGCTTAAGCCTTGTAACTGAAGGCAGCTCTCAAAGGCCTTCACCGTAGGACAGGCCGACGAAGACTTCGTGCTGCGGGTTCCACAGCAGAGACGAGGGCTCCTCCGAAGAGCTTCGGCTTGAAATGCCCTAGCCCAAAAAAGGTGATAACCTTCTACATATCATTTATCTATAAATATGTATAGTAGGATTCTATATATAATTATATATGGGATTATATATATATATATATATAATTATATATATATTTATTCTATATAACCAAGAAAGGTTAAAGGCTACCTACCCAGTCCCGAAGCCTAAAGGATGGGCTGAGATTCACCATGAAATCCATGAGTCACCTCCCCGTGCTTCGCCGAGGGGCAGAGAGCGCTACACGAAGTCGACTGATGCCAGAGTGGCGAAGGACATCGGCCTGAACTCTACATGCTCTGGATGGAGGTGGCTGCGTGCAGAAGTACTGCCATAGGACAGCAACACTACACAACACCATCTCTTGCATGGTTGCGGTTTAGGGTTTAGGGTTTAAGGTTTAGGATTTAGGGTTTAGGGTTAGGAATCTTTAATTAAATAGGGTGCCTGCAGCAAGCGCTCCCCCGCCCCGAGGTCGAAGGAGCAGCCTTGGGCGAGCACCTGCCCAAAGTGTAGGAAACAAGCAAGTACGTCAGTGCTGTGGCGCGTGTGTCGTGTGGCGCATGTGGAGATGCTACGTGCGTTGCCATGTTGCGTGTGTTTCTGTGTTGCGCGCGTTTCTGTGTTGCGTGTGTTGGTTTTTGCTGTGTTGCGTGTGTTTCTGTGTTGTGTTGCTTTGTGTTTTGTGCTTTGTGCTTTGTGCTTTGTGCTTCGTGCTTTGTGTTGTTTTGCGGTTTGTGCTTTGGGCTTTGTGTTTTGTGCTGTGTGCTTTGTGCTGTGTACTTTGTGTTGTGTGTGTGTGTGTGTGTGTGTGGCAGTTGCTTGGCGCGGTTCAATTAGCTCCCAGCGCCTTCGTGCCGCGGTAGTGAAGGAATGTGGCGTCGGCCTCTTCGTCATTGCCTCACAGGACTACATTAACTACAAGTAACTACACAGTTCACAGGCCCTCTGCTCACTGACGATGTACGGCACCTAGTTTCTCATTCCCTCCGAAGACACGTGCCCTTGCATCTCATCGCCTTCTGGCTGAAGATCGGATTGAATGTTTTCGATCATCGCCTCGAAAGAATGAACTAAGGAGGCTACGCTTTCCTCACAGTCCTCGGACACAGGTTTGTCACAGCTGCGACACCAAGCACCTTCGTGAAGTCTGTGAGGTCCCCTATCTCATTCTTGAGGCTGCGGGGTTGTTTGCCTGACAGATCACAGGCCAGTAGCTGGCCCACAGGAACAAAACGAGCACATGCACACATGGCACACGTGTCTCGGCAATGCGCCTTTAGTGGCAGTGCCGTTGACAACGTGCTCCAGGCCCTCCAGCCCAGGAATTGCCACGACATTGCCTGGCACGGAAGCGCGGAACACAATGTGCCACTAGCCAACGTGCTACATGCACACGACTCAGCTCGGATGCTGAAGGGGTGAAACATTCCTTCTGAACGATGTGCTTCGAATTGAATTGTGCTACTGTGCGAAGGTGGGCATTCGGATCGAGAGAGTGTGCCAACAGGCCTGACTCATCCACCCAGCCCATCAAAGAGAGCCTCGGGTCACTTGCAGCATTTCCTACGGCTTCAAAGAGACAAAGTTCTCCCGGTGGGCTCAGGCCCCTGCAAGATGTCGTAAACAGTCTTAGGCAAGCCCTGACCTTGTGCACTTCCTGATTTCTGCGATTGAGAGGCCAGTTCTTCATCGCAACGCGCGAATCCTGGCCTGGCCTGCCAAGGTCTACTCGGCTAGAGAGCTTGTGCTGGGGAACTTTGTGCCTGGAAATGTTGTGGCATGACGTTTGCTGACTATAAGTCCCCAAAGTTGAAAACCGACATTTTTCAAGTCACTCAGTTCAAAGCTGTCGGTGGAGCTGCGCCTGAAACATGACAGCAGCCGAACAATGTCCTTGGTGTCAACACGTGTGAACAAATCCGGAGGCTCTTCATTAAGGGCCACGGTTTCGGGATATTTTTTTCACTCCCGCGTGGCTGACTCTAAACCACTCAGAAGGGTCCTAACGTGACTGAGAGGGCGCAGCGGGCGCAACCTCTCGTACCTCTCGGTCGTTTTTTGCCACAGGCACTGCCCTCGCTCTCGCGCGACCCCGCAGGGTTGAGGGGTTGAAGAGTTGGTGTTCTAGCGATTCTGGCGAGGACCATTCGCTATAGCTTTGGCGCTCAAAACATATTGCCCTAAACCCTAAACCCTAATTGAATGTGCCGCCCATCGGCTGACTTCTCCTTATCGGCTGTCGCGTTCCATCGCTCGATGAGGCCTTGGATGCTCAGGACATAGGCAGTGGACCTGCAGAAGGCAGATCTCTAATAATAATAATAATAATGATAAAAATAATAATAACCATAATACGAATACTAATACTAATACTAATACTAATACTAATACTGATACAAAGAATGATGATAAGAATAATAATAATCATCTCCGCAGAGCAAGCAGCTCAGAATCTCTGTCTCAGAGACGATGGGAAGGCGCTCGAAGTTCAGGATTGTCTCCTTGGCAAACATACGGTTTGCCAAACTGCAAAAAACTGTCGCTCGAGGCATTTTCTGGCTACTAAACATCTGAAGCCCGTGTCTATGCCAAGCAGCTACGAAGTACACAGGTAGAGAACCTGAGCCGGGGAAGGCGCCAGATTTACATATAAAAGCCAAAAAGATATAAACATAAATAAATAAATAAATAAATAAATATAAATATATATATATATATAAATACATTTATATATAAATATAGAAAGACAAAATATATAAATATATATAAATATATATAAATATATAAATGTACAAATATAAAAATATATATAAATATTAGTATAAATATTAATATAAATATTAATATAAATATTAATATAAATATTAATATAAATATTAATATATATATATATACATAAATATCTATTTTATATTTATGTATTTATTTATGTATACATACATGTATATGTATATATATATACATACATATATATATATATATGTGTGTGTGTGTGTGTGTGTGTGTGGACTGCAGTTGCAGCAATTGTTTTGACACGCCCAGCAACACCATCGAGGGTCCCGCGTGACGGCCCGGAACTGATCTCGGGTGGAAACCATCTCACTAGCTAACCTGAGCTTCTCAAGCACAGCTAGGCTGTCGCGACACTAGGCTGGACGGCGCCTATTCTAGAATCGAAAACTTCGGACCCGTGCCAGTGAGTGTATATGGCGTCCCCAGACAAGCTCACCAGAATAATGCATCGCATCTTCAGTTTTCTGATCCCCCCTCCCACTCTCAACTTGCGCAGACTTCGAGACAAGTTGCGTTGTGATCAGGACCTGGGCAGCCAAACAGACGGTGCACCTACCTTCAGTCCAGTTCCTTGTGGGATTTCAAAGGCACCGAAAGTACACGCTCAGTTCATACTTCATGAAGTTCTCCGTGGGCCCCCGCATCTCGCGAATGCTTCTCCGTAGCGCGATGCTCGTAGTGCTGCAGATGGTAGAACCTGAGCCAGCGTGCCTTCTTTATTGTATCAGCACTTCTCAGCTGTTTTTCAGGGAAGCTCTGAATGCGGATCGCCTTGTATGCAAAGGCAGAATGTCTGCATGTCTACTCATGTGTCTTCGACCCAGTTGCACGGAATTGTTCAAAACAACCTTCAGAATGGACGGCCGGTTCTCCAAACTATGACCCCTTTGCTGGGTCCCTCTTATACTACGGTACCTACCCTACAACCCTAAGGCCCTAAACCCTGAACCCTAATTGTCAGCACCCGGTCGCCATCTCCATGTTCAACTTAGCAAGTACAGACTGAGGCCGCGTGACGCATCCGCGAAGTTGAGCTCACCGACCACGAAGAAGCTCCTGCAAGACCGGAGGAGAACCGGAGGATTCCTAAACCCTAAACCCTAACCCTAAACCCTAAACCCCAAACCCTAAACCCTAAACCCCAAACCCCAAACCCTAAACCCCGTAATCCCCTAAAAGAATAAGAAGAGCTTGAGGTTGAAAGCCCTGCGTCCTCCTGCCGAACCAGTTCAGCAGATTCTCGTAAAGGGCATCCACAGAGAAGCGCTCGGCTTCAAAGCCTGAGATGCTTGGAGGGTTTAGGGTTTAGGGTTTAGGGTTTAGGGTTTAGGGTTTAGGGTTTAGGGAGTTAGAGTCTTGCTGGCAAGCTGTCTGAGTTTAAGCGAGTTTAGGGTTTAGGGGTTTAGGGTTTTAGATCTTTTTCGGGGCGTTGTAGAGTTTGCAACAATGACCGACCATGCGCAGCAGACAGTGTTGCTGCAGGTCAGAGGCATCTGGCCTTCTGGAAAACCGAGGGGGATCGTGTGCGGCTTAGGGTTCAGGGTTTAGGGTTTAGCTGAGAAGCAAATGGCCAACATCTTCTGGGTCAAGATCTCATTGGCCTCCACACATTAGCACATGCCATCAAGAATGAGGTTTGGCAAGAAAAGGGATTGTCAATACGCAGCAGATGCTGCCGTTTGAAGGGTCGGATATCGTCTTTCTGGCTTTTCGAATTTCGGCTCGAGACCTTGTCGTCATCTGCCTTCTCTTGGAAGAATGCCATCTCACCTGAAGTAAGCTCAAGGAGATAAAGGAACTAGCCTCCCCACGGCCTCAAAGGAGCTAAGAGCATGACCGCAGTAGATGAAACGAAGCAGCTCTGCCATAAGCTCCTCAACGACGGTTGTTGAGGAGAACAAGTGCATGTGCCGAACTGCATGCACGAAACGGGCACGGGCCGACTGCAGTACTGCATGGTTGTGAGTGATGCGAGTACAAGGCCAAAGGCCAGAAGACAGCAATGCTAGACTAAGCCAAGCAGCACAATCGCACTGGATCTCATATCGTTCCTGAGCATGTCAGCATGACAGCAATCGTGCCTCTGGTTCCGCTGCATTTCAGACAGACCATTTGCAAAACAAGCAGCCGCTAGGAAAAAGGGATCGGCACCTTGAGCTGCGTGCAAGTGCTACAGTATGGTTTAGGGTTTACGGTTTAGGGGGAATTATCTCCACACACCAGAAGGTCTCACAGGAGACATCTTTCCCCGGTCCGTGCCCACATGGCCCAAGCGCGGTGCCTAGTTGGAGGTTCATCGGTTGTTAAAAGTGGGGTTAGAAGTACCCTAAGTGAGGTTATGCGTAAAGTTTCCATACTTATAACCCGAGTTTCAACTGCCCATGAACCTCCAAGAGTAGTTCCATGAATGCCTCACTTGTGTGCCAAAATTGACGATGCGTCGAGGCACGCTTGTTCGTACCGATGGTGCCGCCAATGAAGTGCGCCGTCGAGAAGCCTCGCGCCACACCAGACATTCAACATTAAGCTCACGGCCCCCTAAACCCTAAACCCTAAACCCTAAACCCTAAACCCTAAACCCTAAACCCTAAACCCTAAACCCTAAACCCTAAACCTTAAACCCTAAACCCTAAACCCTAAACCCTAAACCCCAAACCCTAACCCTAAACCCTAAACCCCCGGAGCCACTCGGAGTGCATGCAAAACTTGGTTCTCCCACTTTCAAACCCGAAGCCTCCTTCGGTTTGTGGCCAAGCAGCCTGGCTTCATCGCATCGTCGCGCTTCCCGGCGATCGTGGCAGTGATTCCGCCGGCTAGAACCTAGGTGTCTGAAGGCTAGCTCTTTTCGCTTTACACTTTTGAGGTCTGGAATTTTCTGCATTAAGATGATTCTGCCAGAATAGCGGGGACGAAGTCCACATCCCAGGCGACACCCCGAACACACCGCTCCAGATTCAAGATGCAGTGGAGACAAGAGGCAGATCTGTCGATTGGCTGTGAGAACTGGATGGATTGCAGGTCTTGCAGCAAGCGGGTATAGCCTCATTTTTCTGACCGCTGCTGCAACCCCTAAACCCTAAACCCTAAACCCTAAACCCTAAACCCTCAAAGGCCAGCTTCACCTCAAACCCTGGACAACTGGATCCCAGTCTTAAGTTGACAAAATCGGGCCGGCCATCACATCACCCTCCTTGCCTTGCACAAGAAACCTTCGGAAAAGGAGAAGACCGACATGCGGCCAGGAGCCCAGAATCAATGAAGCTGAAAGCCACTGTCTTGATACTTTAGGGTTTAGGGTTTAGGATTTAGGGTTTAGGGGTTACTTATTTGCAGATCCAGCGGCCCATGGCCTTGAAATACTCCCTGGGCGCCGGGATCTCATCGTGATCAGCGCTCCGGCTCATGAGCTTGCCAAACTGACCTGGATGCATCAAAAACTGGTTTATATACTGTAATGAATACAGTATCATTTATTATAAATATTACACTCCCTTTTTGTAACCCGGGACCGGATTCTATAACCCTGAACACTAAACCACCAAGGGAACTTGCTTCGGTGTAAACCCCCTTTGGCCTACACCCTAAACCCCCTATTTAGGGCATAGCCAACCTGGTCTTGGCCAGTTTCCTTGTGTGCCGCACTCGGCGTCTTGAACCGAGCAGCGGATCTTGCCGCAAAAGCCGCCAGAAGTGTCCAAGATACCTCCGTTCTAACGAACAGAACAGCACCGAATGACTCTGCGATCCGAGCATCGCCCTCCCACAAACTCTTAGTTGAGTCTCTGTTCTTGCACTCTTAAGCACGTGCCAGGAAGCCTGCCATGTTGTGGGGCATCCTGCCCCTCCTGGTCCCAGCATGGCTCCCTGCCAAAAATGTCTTAACCCCATCGTTTGGCCAAGATGCGCGTGTGGCATCGAAACAAAGGACCACCCTGTGGAAGCAATGCCAGGGAGGAGCAAGGCTTGGCTAGTTGACTCTCTCTCGCTCTCTCAGGCTTTAGGGTTTTAGGGTTTTAGGGTTTAGGGTTTACTCGGCGCTATCTCTGAGTCTGAGCAACTGAGCGCGACTGCACTGTGAACCAGCACGGTTTAGGGTTCAGGGTTAAAGTCAGCTGCGGTCCTTAATGTGGATGCCGAAGTCTCCACTGCTGGTCTCCTGAAAGATCCTGAGCGTACATGGCTACTGCGCAAGCCGCACGGCGACACGGATGTTTCAGCTCGGCTGCTCCCGAAACAGGCGGGATGAACCCTGGATCTGGTGGAGGCCCGCCTGCCCAGCTGGAGATCTTCACGTGCGATTGGCAAAGCCCGCAACGCATCGTAACACCCGACATCCCACCACCATCCCACCAAGATCTCGAGGGCTTGCAGGACTTGACTGGAACCCTTAGGCTCACAATAGCCCCAAAAAGCCTTTTGTTTTTCGGCCTTGGGGAACCTAGTTCATGGTTGGGATAATTTGAAAAATATTTTTCTATTCCTCATTGGGTGTCTGGTACCCTTAAAAAATGTATCAAATGTTACACTACTATGACAAAGGAACAGGCGCCTCCTTCCTTGCCATGTCGGCCAGCCGAGATTGGGCCGTGTGCCCCTATTCCTTGAGGTGGAATGGCCGCAGGATCCCACGGCTGAGAGGCACATTTTATTTAGGGTTTAGGGCTTACGTACTACGAACATAGGGGACCCCTAATATGGACCCCCCAAATAGTAGGATCCCCTTGCAATGAAGACCCCTAATATCTTAAACCCCATGATTTTCGGGACCACCAAAGGCCACCTCCAACCAGCTGGCCACCGTGCCAACAAATTCCGACACTACGCGCAGCCGCGCTAAGCAGCAGCTTGCCTTCATGGGTTTGCAATTCTCGTCCGTCCGAATCCTGATCTCGAGTCCGAGTACTTGCAAGGCGCATCCGACGCACGGAGCAACAGTCAGTTGCAGCTACTCGGCTACTCCGCCAACTGCAGAATCCCACATTTGTGAGCGTCTGGCTTGTACTGCTCATTCAGGACATCGATCGCGTCCTGGTGTGCTCCGTAAGCTCTAAGGATGTTTGAGGACATTGCAGCAGATGCCATCTGATGCTACTGAAGGCACAGCGGACTTGTTTTCTCACCACGTCAGCCGCAATCCGCATAGCTCTGCAGCACATCTGCGACAGCCTCCACAACATTACCAAGTTTGACGAAGGCTCGCAGCACATCTGGAACCGAATCTTTCCCTTCAACTGCCAATGCTTACAAGCAGTGTTCGCAATCACCTGTTCGGGGTGGCAACGCCACTTGCGCCCTTTCGGCTGCAAAGCTTGCGGTATGTGAAAGCTGTTGGATATTCTTTCGCGCGGGAGATTCTTGGCGGAAAGTGTAAAGTCTTTCGCGGCTACCATGTTCGCATCATGTAAGCGTGATACATATGCCATGATTTGGAACGCGTTGGAGTGAGCATACAGGGCTTTGAAATGAATTGCGCAGGTGGCCCTCGTGGCCCACAATGGCGCAGCTTGAGCAACACCAGAGTCAAGAGCAACCACAAAGCACAACGTTTGAATTTTCGCTTAAAAGATAAAAATGCAAGTCTTTCGCTGTGTCTTTCGCCAGTCCTTTCGTGGAACACTATAACGGCTTCAAATGCCTCTTAAATGTCTCTTTTGTATAACATGACAGGGGAGCTTTACAACAACCCTCATGTCCACATCGCACGATGAACCTTGTGGTCTTCCTTTTTCACATCTCTCAACCTCCAACATACATACCATACGGCAGCATTGACTTTTTGATTTGAGAGACTTTGTTGTCCCTTGTAGTGGTGTGGAAACCCTGAACCCTGATTGGGGGACTTTGCTAAACTTACGACTTAGGGAACTGCTTCTTCTCATGAAAGCATGGTTATTCTACAACATATTACTAAGTCGTGTTTCTATTTGTCCTGTCAAAAACCACCTGCTATAACACAAATGATAGCCCTACCTACACATATTATCACATTCATGTCACTTCCCTTACAGTTTACCGGGCAGTACCCTGCAAGGTAATTTTCCTACGATATTTCCCTTGCTCGTGTCCATCCAATGTGAATCAAGTGGAGCTACATCTGTTTCATTTAAAGCAATATCCAACTAATTAGGCATTTCCGTTCTATGTCGCTCCTAAGCTATAATGTAGCCTGTATGAATGTGTAAGACAACAAGCCAAACGCACAGAAAATGGAATTCTCATTTATCAGTCAAACTGAAGCAAAACACAAAAGAATAACCAAGATTCTGCGACCCCCTGTAACCCTACATCCTGTGAAGCATAGAGTTTAAGGCTTTCACCCTTTTTGACACTGGACTGAAAGGCCAGCCAGAATCCAAAGTTAAAACCTTAAACCCTAAAGCCCCCCCGGTTGCCTCCCTCCGTGCCAGCGCTGCAAGGTCTCCGAGCAAAGCGCGGAGCTTGGGCCCGCGAAGCCGTGCCAAAGCCTGCTGCGCCAAGAGCCTGGGCTTCCGAATACCGCGGTTTAATCGTGGAGACCGCGCCGTTAGGCACGGGGTGGGGGGGTTAGTCCTCCAGGCAGTATGAGGGGGGGGGTTAGTTCTCCAAGATAACGAAGGGGGGGGGGGTGACGGGCGTAGGGGGGGGAAGGGGGCCCCCTCATACTTTCTCAAGAACTGACCCCCCTCATACTCCCTGAAGGACTGACCCCCCCCCCAATTCTCCCGAAAGACAAACCCCTCCCCCTCATAACCCCCCCGCTCTTTGACTACGTCAGAAAGGATTTTGTTCTAATTTGGATTGTACTCTAATTCTCTATCAATTCTCTACTTCTCTAATTTTCGAGGAATGAATACAAGAAATAGAAACAAGAAACGGGGGGGGGGGGGTGGAATTTAGACGAATTCTCTACTTCTCTACTCATTCTATTTCAGCAAACCGACAGTGTAGGACACTGTCGGTTTGAAATCTGAGCAAATAGGGGGGGGGTTGATACGTCCGAAAGACTTTGTTGTCATCTGGATTGTACTCTAATTCTCTATCAATTCTCTACTTCTCTCATGTTCGAAGAATGAATACAAGAAACAAAAACAAGAAACGAGGGGGGTGGAATTTAGACAAATTCTCTACTTCTCTACTCATTCTATCCCAGCAGACCGACAGTGTAGGACCATAGGGCAATCTGAGCAAATGGGGGGGGCTGCGCCCCCCCCAACCCCCCCGCTTTTTGATTACGTCAGAAAGGACTTTGTTGTCACTTGGATTATACTCTAATTCTCTATGAATTCTCCGCTTCTCTAATATTCGAGGAATGAAGACAAGAAAAAAACAGGAAACGGGGTGTGGAATTTACACTAATGCTCTACTTCTCTACTCATTCTATTTCAGCAGACCGACAGTGTAGGACTATAGGGCAATCTGAGCAAATGGGGGGGGGCTGCGCCCCCAACCCCCCCGCTTTTTGATCGACTACGACTACTACTACTACTACTACTACTACTACTGCTGCTACTGCTGCTACTGCTACTGCTACTGCTACTACTACTACTACTACTACTACTACTACTACGACAACGACGACGACGACGACGACGACGACTACTACTACTACTACTACTACTACTACTACTACTACTGCTACTACTACGACTACTACTACTGCTACTACCACGACGACGACTACTACTACTTACTACTACTACTACTACTACTACTACTACTACTACTACTACTACTACTACTACTACTACTACTACTACTACTACTACTACTACTACTACTACTACTACTACTACTACTACTACTACTACTACTACTACTACTACTACTACTACTACTACTACTACTACTACTACTACTACTACTACTACTACTACTACTACTACTACTACTACTACTACTACTACTACTACTACTACTAGTACTAGTACTAGTACTAGTACTAGTACCAGTACTAGTACTAGTACTACTACTCCTACTGCTACTGCTACTGCTACTGCTAAAGCTACTGGTACTGCTACTGCGCTACACCTGGGCGGGGGGGAACCACCCCCCCCCCCCCTCAATACTCGGACCCCCCCCCCCCCAAATACTCCCGAAAGACACAGCCCCCCCCCCCTTAAAACTCCGGGAAAAACAACCGCCCCCCCCTCATACTCCCGAAAGAAACCCCCCCCCCCTTCAAACTCCCGGAAGACAAATCCCCCCACCCCGCTGACGGCGCTACCTGTAATCGCTCACACTCGGACAAGCCAGTGTGTGTATGCCCGCTATACAATGCCGGGGTGCTGGAGTGGTCGGGTTATAGGCGGTCACAAGAAGAACGATGAGCCACGCACAAGTTGTTGGCACGCGGTCTTGGTCACCCAAAAATCAGAATGCCATCCGTTGGTGCGTGATTCGGGGGGGATGACCCCCAGGATCGGTATGCCAGCCTTTTGTGTAGGTGGGAGGCCCTGATCCCCTCGGGGGGTCTGAAGCCTTTGAGATGTGGTGGGTTTGCAGTGCTTCCCAGAGCTTTCCAGCACCCGGTACGAAGAGAAAAAGGTCCCAGCACACGCGAAAATGCGAAAGATGTATTCACGAACATTCAAAAAAAATTCACCACACACAAAAGACAGGCACATCTGAGATCGAGACTGAAAGATCGCCTGATCCCCTCGGGGGGTCTGAGATGCGGTGGGTTTGCAGTGCTTCCCAGTGCTTTTCCAGCCGGTAAAAAGTTAACAAAAAAAGTCCCAGCACACTCGAAAATGCGAAAGATGTATTCACGAACGTTCAGAAAAAATTCACCACACACAAAAGGCAGGCACATCTGAGATCGAGACTGAAAGATCGCCTGATCCCCTCGGGGTCTGAAGACGCCTGATCCCCTCGGGGGGTGGGTTTGCAGTGCTTCCCAGTGCTTTCCAGCACCCGGTACAACGTAAAAAAAGTCCCAGCACACACGAAACTGCGAAAGATGTATTCGCGAACGTTCCAAAAAACACCACACACAAAAGGCAGGCACATCTGAGATCGAGACTGTGGGGCATAGAAAGTTTCTTCAGTGCAGTGCGCTCGGCTTTTTGGCATGCCATCACCACTTCGCTGCAGAGGAATGCAGGGGGATCTAGAAAAACCATTTGCAAGAGCCGGGGCACGGGGGATTGCTTGCCACTTGCGCGCCTAAACGATCCGTGCAGACCTGCGCAAGAAAAAAATGCGTGCGCCATCCGCTTGTGCGTGAAATTGTGGCTGACTGCACCGGAGTTCCCGGACCCGGATGCCAGCCATTTGTGCGATTTTTTTGGAAAAAACAGAGTGCCAGGCACGCGGTGGTCGTTTTCTCTATGCCATCTTCTTGTGACCCCCTTTTGGGTGCCGGGGTCGGATTGTTCTTATGCCTACGATTGAAAGTTGCTACCCCTGTTATGACTTTTACAACCTTGCTGGTATGACTATGCAACTTCAGAGTTGACAGGCCACCTGCTGCTAAGGTCCGGCGGCGCCTTAAGTCCCATCTTGGGACGCAAACACATGCGGAGGCTCAGTTCCTGGCTGGCGGCGCATCTTGCACCGACCAACACTCCCCTGTCTGGTGTCTATTTGCCGATTTCGATAATGACCCGGAATGGATCTGCATGGGGCCCTGTTGAAAGCTTTTGTAGGGGGCATAAGCTGCGTGCAGCAAGGTGTGAGGTTTAAGCTTCAGAACACTCCGCGGCCAGCTGGATCTCGGGCCGCGCCGCCGGGTTACCCCGAATTAACGGAAGACCTGCGGCGTTGGCGGCCTGAAGGCCGCGTGGCCGCTGCGCGGGCTTGATGTGGCGGGGACATCGAGGTGGCGCCTTGTGGGCGCCCATCCCTTGATATCCTTAGGCGAGGCCCACATCTTCTCCGCACCTCCTCCGCAGCCTCCCCCATGAAGGAAGCCAACCGCAAAACTGCCTCTGGTGGACTCCTGGGTGGACTCTGTGCGCCCCAGCAACACGGGGAGCGGCTCCTCCGGCGACTTCCCAACGGGAGCGTCTGGAGTAAAGGTCAACACTGCTCTTCTGCCCAGCAGCACACTGCTGCTCTGGCGTTAGCTCCGTTAGCTCCTCTTCGGAGAAAATGGAACCCATCGCTTTCAGATTTCAGAACAGGGCAGAAGTCGGGTCCTCCAAGGAGCTGAGCCAACCCAACGCTCAAAGGTTCTTGAGCGTTTAGGGTTTAGGGTTTAGGGTTTAGGTGTGCTCTTGGCGTTTTCTTGAAGAAGCTTACTGTAAGTCGAGGCGCGGGACGAAGCGGCGACACAGCGCAGTCTAGCAGTCTGCTAGCAAAAGGTTACGACAGGTACGAACGCCATGCCACGTCCTTCCGTGTTTGTGGCAACTCTGGGAAGCTTACGCATGGAGGCTGTACGGTAACGCTATCAGCGGCTTGAGCCGTAGGTTCAGGGTGTAGGGTTTAGGGTTTGGCACCTTTGTTAGGGTTCAGGGCTCAGGGTTTGTAACACAATAGAATACAATCCAAAATCAAATGGGTAGTTCTCTCAATCAGGGTGCCTTATTAAATTTGGGTCCCCTATCAGGCACGGCACCCTTGAATCAAAACCCCAAAAGTAACCCAAATTTGGCAAACTACCCATATAACACAACATGAGCATAAACACCAGGTCATGTCACGCAAGAAATGCAAGTATGATACACTGTTCTTCAGGCTCAGGGTTTGGAGGGCGCAGGGTAACTAGAGTCTGCTGTTTACTCTAAAGGACCGGTAGATGGTAGTGAGCCCTTTTTCTAAGCCTATACACCCTAACCCTAAACCCTAAACCCTAAACCCTAAACCCTAAACCCTAAACCCTAAGCCCTAAACCCTAAACCCTAAGCCCTGATGCTGTGGCCATGGGGCCGGTCTGCAGCGGACAAAGCTGCCATGAAGGGTGCCCCCACAGCAGCAGAAATGGTGGACATATAGACCTGCTCATGTCCTCAAGCTGCTGCAGTAGGGGAGTCGAGATGGGGGCTGCAAGAACTTGCAACTTCTACAGACCTTTGCAGTTGATGCTGCAGCATTTAAAATTGCGACAGGCCGCTCTCTGCCAACGCTGAGAACACCTTGAAGGTCTGAGCGTTCATGCTCCTGGGGCGGCATCAACTGCGCGATCTCTTAGCTCTCCCGAGCAGCAAGATGCTCCCAATTGCCTGCCTCGGCCATGCGTGGAAGTGGGCAAAGATGGCCTGCGCCAAGCTAGAGACGTCACCTCGTCGATGCAGCAACAAAAGGCAGGGAAGGTTACTCGAACCATGCATCCTGCATGTGCTCTTCGGTCAGCTCTCTCTCTCTCTTTGCTGTTCTAGTAGTCTTGAGCTGCCTTGGCCCAGGGAGAGGGCTCGCGACGTCAGCAGCCGCTGCAGGAATACCAGCACAGGCTTCAGCACATCATGCCTGGCAGGTGCCCATCGGCGCAAAGTTAAACAGGCAACAGCTGACACTTAAGCCGGGGACTTCAGCAAGCAATCACCGCCCGTCGCCACATTAAGCGCATGAAGCACTGTTTCACTGTTCCCTTCTAGGACCTCGCCCACTGCCGTTCAAGCCTCCATGTGTCTCTAGAACCATACACCTAACCCTGAACCCTAAACCCTAAACGCTAGACCCCCCATACACATCTGCAAAGGACAGAAGATCCGACATGCCGGAGAAACTCCGTAGAGGCCAAAGCCGCCACCGAAAGTTGGGCCAGGGGCGGGACCTTGGCTGAAAGGGTTCCAAGCTTCTTGTTTGGGACTCGCCATCTCGGCCTGTTTAACATGTGAAAGCACCCTAAACCCTAAACCCTAAACCCTAAACCGTAAACCCTAAACCCTAAACCCTACGTGTCAAGGCCGAGTCGCCTGTGGAGAGGCGAAGAGTGCATCACCTGACCAGCTTTCGTCTCCTACTTTACTTGCCATCGTACACCCCGAACAGTGCGAGACCCTGTGAGACCAGAAGTCAAAAAGCCATGACAGCTTCACGTTTCGTCACCCTAAACCCTATTTTACGGCTAGGACTGCTGCACTGCCTGCCTGGAAGCCCTAAACCCTAAACCCTAAACCCTAAACCCTAAACCCTAAACCCTAAACCCTAAACCCTAAACCCTAAACCCAGATGTCCAAAAGGAAAATATATATATATATATACACACACACACCTAGTTAGAGCTGGTGGAGCAGATTGCAAGCATCGCATGTGCAAACGCTTCCACACATTGCGCGGTGCCTGCAGAGGCCGCGAGACAGGAGCAAAGATCGAGGAAAGGGACAAGGTCCTTCCAATGAAGGAATCACTGTGCAGTCCATCAGCAACAAAACAACTACAGGTCGGGGATGCTTTTTCCATTGCGACATACCCTGGTCCTCTGCAGCGCGTCCGTGCTGTACATGTGTCCTGTCTTTGTGGAGTGTTGGGCAGCATTCACACACAGGAGAGAATCTTTGACCAGCAATCAAAGCTCGTGCTGCAGCCAAAGCTCAACGATGCGCTGGAGATGACATCCTCAACTCACGCACTCGGCGACAAGGTAGCCCACACCAGACTTGTGCATGCTCAAAAGTCGTGCAAGACGAGGGACTAAATGAGGCATCACGTGGCCGCGGGCTATGTCAGGGTTTGCTGACAACTGTGCCAGTGCGGCCAGGGCCGCCAGTTGGCCTTCCTTCCGAGTGCTCATGCTGAGTCCATGTGGAGCTATGATACTCTGAGCATCTCCGAGCACAAACAGCTGTCCCCCCCACCTTACAGCAAGCCACAGCCACCGATGCCAGTCCCTCTGCCAGCGATGCCTTCCCCAAAAAGAAGATAATGGAACACTTTTGATGTGGATTCCAAACTCGGCAACTACTGACTGGAAAAAAAAGTGTCGATGCTTCGCAAAACTGCAAGTCCAAAAATCGGATAATCTGCCGCATGCATGCCTCAGCACCAAACAAAAACTTACAAAAACGACCGTAGACGCAGCACCGCAGCGCACAGTGCACACGCACTCCTTTTCTTGCTTTGAACAGGCCTCGGGCACCTCTGCTGCTGCTCGTGCAGCCCGGCGCAGCAGCGCCAATACGTTCACCTGTACTGCCACCTCCAGTGGACGGTGGACAGGCGAGCAACATCGAGCAACATCGAGCCAACTGCGAAACCCGTGAGTTTTTTGACGGCCGTGAGTTGCAGAGCACCCTTATCGACCTGCGACGACGCAGTCAAAACATGTAAGAGATCGCATATCAAGGCGCGTCAGAGTACTCGAAGATGGGCTTTCCTTTGGCTGCATCCTTTGTGGCTGGTGCTGCCATCAGCAACGTCTGGCACAAAGGTGCCAGGGACGTCCTCAGTGCGTGTGGCAGCAGTGCAAGACCACAATATCAAATTCATGCTCGAGGCGTGAGCCCAAAAAACCAAGATGCGATCGCCACAGAGCATGCAAAAGTGTGCCTATTATGGCTTCTACAGTTCTGCCTGCAAGTGGCCAGTGCATGAGCAAGAATCCTTGGCCAACGTGAAAACCGCCCCAGCTTTGACTCAGTCTCACAAAGCATGTTGCACGTGGCACTAGCAAAGCATTTATCCGTCACTTGGCTGAGTTTTGCTGCCGGGTGGCTAGCCAGACATCCTGATGCTGTCCTGATTGAAGTCACCCTTTTTGAGAATCTTCAGCCGAACGAAGCACAGTATGTCTATAACGCCTAGAAATTCGGAGGTGTTGTGTGCACACGCCCCACAGCCATCGGCCTCGATGCCTGTGTGACACCGGCCGCGGCAGGTGCCGTGCCAGCTTCTTCTGCAACCTGAGAACGCCACACCAGACTCAGGAAAGCACGAAGGTTTTGGATGTTTGGGACAGCTTACGGGGTGCTTGTCCATGACCCTAAACCCCAAACCCTAAAACCTAACCACCCTGAGGATGTCCAGGTGGTTTTCTCGAGGGCATCGGTGAGAAGTGACAGTCGGCCGAGGCTCGGCAACGCAGCGCAGCAGCCGGCCAAGGACCCGATGGAAGCTTGCTCGACCTTCGTACGACTCCCATTGGGATGTTGAACCTTATACGAACAGTCCTTGACAGGGATTGTGGTACCTCCAAATCCTTATGAAGGACTGTTTGTTTTAGTGGGAACATCCCAAGACTCCCACTACGTGAAATACCCGTGCACTTGGCAGAATGAGAAGCACTGTCAGGGCAAGGCACCGGCTTCGTTGGAGATATCCAGGCCGCTTTTCAGAAGGACGCCGGCACCTTGAGCGTCTCAGTTGCTTTGGCCCCTGAGCTACAAGTTGCCATAATTCTGCTCGTTGCCAGAGGCGGTGCAACAGCTTCATCCCGTCGGGCACACGAAGGACAGTTTCAAGTTTCCAAACCAGCCATGCACCTGACACCTGTTTTTGAACTTGTACTGAGGCCGATGCTAGGAGTATGGCCCTAAGAACCTTAAAAGCAAACCAACAAAAGGAAGCTCCCTCTTCTGCATTTCGGACTCGGGTCGGCCAGCCAGGCACCAAGGCCGCACACATTTCCTGAAAACCCTAAACCGCGCGCCCAAAAAAAACAAAGCCCGACACTCTACACCCTACAGGCCCCGTCTGAAATGGCCTCAACTGTAATCCGAAAATCCACGTCCTGCATCACGCTCTGGATGCCTTACAGGCGCCATCGCACACATTCGCAAATGCATGGGCCGCTTGCTCGTCGGGGAGGTTTCGCCTGGCAGTGCAGCAACGCAAGGCTGTTGCAAGGAAGCAGTGGCTCACAAAACGCACATCCGAGGCACGTAATTCCCACCAGCGCGCCATGAAGCGAAGCGTCGACTTCGCTTGGGGCTGCTTGTGCCACCTGGTGCTTCAACGGCGCTGCATGAGAGCTGAATTCTACTTAAGACCCGACTGCCTGGGCAACCACTTTCAAGAACTCCTCAAAGTGTGGCAGGAGGAGTTTCCCAGCGTACCTTGCTTGCAAACTATTGAACCCAACGAGATGCTGGTGGACAGTTCAACTGCAGAACATGCCAAACCTCGTTGGAGATGATACGCCTTTGTCCAACACTGGTCCAGTACATCTGCTGGACAAGCTGCCCACACAGCTCCTGGATCACTTCGCTGGCTTCCACAGGAATCTGTGCCACCATGGACATAAGCCACTGCACAGCCGGTGCGAGGTGCACCTGCAGCAAAGGCTCGGCGCTCGTCGTGATTCGTAACCCCCCGCACAGGGCTGGGGGGGGGGCAAATAAGTGCAGAAACTGCTGATGTTGTGCTCAAGTTGAATAGTCAAAGAACATGTGAACGCAGTTCGCACCAGCAACCAGCATACGCTGCAAGTTCTTTGCCAAACAACAGAAACATGGAAGAGCTCCATGCGGAACAAAACCCCGCAGCAGCATTAGTCTTCTGAATTGGCGTGATCCAGCAAACCCTAAACCCGAAACCCCCTAAACCCCAAACCCCACAACCCCCCTAAAACCCTAAACCCAAAAAAAACCTAAAACCCCTAAAACCCTAAAACCCTACAACCCTAAAACCCTAAGCAACGACGACCCAGGCGAACTGCCGCACCTTGCCTGAAGCCGCTCTTCGAAGTGCGGCCCGCAGCCTGGGAGCTTTAACGTCACTGCTGCCAGGTCTCTCTCGCAAGCTTTCAAAGCTCGAGGGCTGCAGGTGAGCATGCATTCATGGCATTCTTGGGCTCTTTTTTCATATCTTCAAGTCGATTTAGGTCATCATACTTGGTGAAAACAGTGTCTATGGTATTGCAGTATTTCACACATGAGAATACTACTGTATGATAATCCCTGGTAGGGATGTTGGGGGCTGATTCCCTGTGGCCTCGAAGTAGGGCTGCCCCAGTCGAAAGCACTTCTGCAGGTGCGGAGGATACCTAAACAGGTTTGAAGCCAAGGACATCTACTTGGAAGTTAAATGGGTAGTTATAAGTAGGGTTGTATGTACCCTAAAATGGGCTATAAGTATAATTACCCTACTTAGAACTACCCATGAATCCCCAAGTAGGGGCTACAAGGGGCTGTGGTGCTGCAGCAACCATTCCTTCTACCGGTAGCCCGGACCAAGGTATCTATTTCCCGACTTGGAGATGCCACACATTTGAGAACATTTGATTGATTCCTTGCTTGCAAGTCGATAAGTATGGAGCTTGCGAGTGCAGCAATGGTGCTCTGAACACCGTGGGCAGAACCTTGTTGTAAACATCTGGGATCGCTGGCTCGTCTGCCAACACCTCGACGATCCCTTGCCAGGGCTGAAGGTTCGGTTTCGCCAAGCTCCACACAAATCGGGTCTGAAATGCCCTGATTTGGAGGGCTTTACGAACTTAGGGGTACCCTTAGTGGGGTTCCTTATTGTAAGGAGATCCTACCATTTCGGGGTCTATACTAGGAGTCCCCGATTTTTCGCAAAAAAAACCATCTGGCCTTGGAATGCATACCAAACCACCTCCATGCCGAGGAGGTCTCGCGCAGATTCGGCTTTCTCCAGGCTGCTGAACCTCAGTTGCTGGTCCGAGATGCGCCCTTGGAGCTCACAACGTGCTCACGGTGGCGTGAAGAGGCGTTACCTAAACCCTTAACCCTTTTTGCATAAACCCTAGACCCTAGACCCTAAACCCTAAACCCTTAGTTAACCCTAAACCCTTAACCCTAAACCCTATAGGGCAGCCTAGCGACAGGCCGTTGAGCACCAGCTGGGCCTCTGCTGTCCCGGCGGCAATGCAGTACCTCTCAGGCCACGGATTCTCAGATCCCTCTCAACACCGTGACAGCTATCAACGTCCTGGCTACAAAATCAAAGGTGACATACAAATATACAATAATCATAATCATAACAAATGTAACAATAAGAAGAATGATGATAATCATGATAAGAATGCTAACAATGATACGAAAACAGGTCCGGCTCCAAGTTCAACAGCTGGCATGTCGACTCTCCAAGCCCTGTGCATGTCCACCAGGATGTCTTGTTGAGCGCTGCGGAGTTGCACAAGGTCGCTCCGCTCCTGCGAAGGCTCCACGGACAGTCGGTTTAGGGTTTAGGGTTTAGGGTTTAGGGTTTAGGGTTTAGGGTCGGTTGAAAGAAGCCAACCAAATGCAACGCTGCAATGTAAACCCTTAACCCTAAACCAGTCTCGATTTCCGTGGCTGTCGGTTGTGATCTGGCGGTTTAGGCAGGGTCACGGGGTCCTCGGTATGGGCCGAGTCGAAGCGTCCAAAACGAACGAAGGACAGGACAGACCTCAAGAATCTGCCAAGAATCAGGGGTTTAGGGTTTAGGGTTAGGGAGCAACCATTGAATGGCAAAGCTCTGCTTCCTTTCTGCTGCTGGTCAACTGCTTCGAAGTTCCCTCTCTAGAATCTCACGTACGCGGGCCCGAACCCTTTCTGGACCTGGAAGACCCCTAAACCCTAAGTCCCAAACCCTCTAAGCCCCAAACGAGCCCATCTCGAGATTTCTGCGTCTAGAGCCAAACAACCCTAAACCCTAAACCCTAAACCCCAAACCCTAAACCCCAAACCCTAAACCCTAGACCCTAGACCCTGAAAACCGAGTCCCGGCAGTTTGTGCCGGGCCGCGGCTCTGCGAGTCGATGCAGGATCTTTGGCATCACCTGAAGCAGGATTCTTCAGTATGATGATTCTTCTTGGTATCATATAGCGATTCTTGTGCATATATTTTCTTGCTGTTTTTGTTATTCTGATTATTCTTTCTATCGAAAAGGCCTTTTGATTTTGAGTAGTACTGCCAGTACTATGCTTATGATTCTGATTACTATCTATCTTATGTTTACACTCATTATTGCTGTTCTTCTGTACAAAACAGAAGACGCCTCACACCTACTTCTGAGGGCGATGCGAGAAGACACACATTGCAAATGGAAAGAAGACCTCACTCACGCCTACTTCTGAGGGTGGGGTTGTTCTTCTGATTCTTATTCTCAATGTTTATTCTTCTGATTATTGCTATAATTATTTTCCAAGTTTCTTGATGAATTGTTGTATATTCACATGTTGTTATGATATTCTGAACTGGCATGTAATAATGATTTTGTTGTACTACATGTTGACATATTATTGTATACTGGGATATTACTATACTATTACTATGACTTAACAGCCCTGCGTCTTGCACAGGGTGGCCGAGCCAAAAGGAAGGTACAGCTGACGTGCAACTCTCACCATGACGAAAGCCAAACCTGTCCTACCAACTCCAAACTTTCAACTGCCGGCCACCATTCAAGTTGATGATTTCAGGAGGGTGATCTCTTCTGAGCTTTCACACGATGTACCTTCTGAGTATCTGCTCGCACGGAAGTAAATTGGGGAACTAGTTCGCTGCTGGGACGTCAAGTCACGCCCTCGGGGAGCTTGCTGTCGCGCTTCGCATCCTCTGGTCGGGGGATTCTCAAATGAAGGTTTCGATCTACTTTGAGGCTGATGGGTAGCTACAAGTAGGATTACAGTAAACTCCAGAAAGTTGGAACATCCTTCTCCCCATACCCTAAAAGGTGTACTCAAGTGAATCCCAGCTCTAGTCATCCTTAAACCATGTTCCAACTCTCTGGGGTCAACTATATAAGTACCTTAAGTGGGGTTATATGTTTAATTACCATACTTATAACCCTACTGATAACTACCCATGAAGCTCCAAGTATGGAAGGATTATCCTCAGCACCTGGTGCAATGGTGAAGAACTTTGCCCAGTCCTTCAGAATTGCCCAAAGCTCTGCCACGGCTTGCGCCACTTGCGGGTGCACGACGAAGCACGCCCCAATGAAGGCAAGCCTCAGCCCATCTTTTCCAAAACGCCGTAGCGCAGCAGCGGCCACACACGTTACGGCTGCAGGATTTCATCCCTAAACCCTAAACCCTAACTCAAGGTGCATCAAAGAGTGGAGTGGGTACGGGCGGGGCTTCCGAATGCACGGGCTTAACGTAAGAATAAGAACAATAAGAGTTCATATATAAAATATGAAAAAACACTACTACATTAATCATAACAGTACAGTTGTTTATTATGTAGCCTGCTACCTCACCTTTGCAGGTTGGCTTCCTGCCCTTTTCCACGTGCTCCCGGCTCCACAAAACCGCATGGGCCAGACTTCAGGTCTTTTCGACGTGCCTGGAAGTTGCATAAATAGGGTTTCTGCAGCACCATCTCCAAAGAGCGAATATCGGGCGCCAACGTGAAACACGAGTCTGCACCGCAAGCCCAGGACACCAAAACCCCAGCACCCCCATAAATAGGGTTTAGGGTTTAGGGTTTAGGGCTTTCTCTAACCTGCGTTCCACCACACCAGGTCTGTCTTTCGCAGATGGGCTTCAGGCGGGGAACGGCGCGCAAGAGCATCGATATCAGTGCAGCAGAGACACAGGACCTCTGAAGACTCTGCATCCAGCCAGAGAAGCTGCGTGTATGCCTCCACCAAGGTTCCAGCCTTGTCTCCAAGTCGCAAACCCGAGGCCCTAAACCCTAAACCCTGAACCCTGAACCCTAAACCCTAAACCCCAAACCCTAAGCAGCGCAAACTTGTCGAGCGATGCATGGAGACCAGTGCACTCCAGTTGCTAGCTCGGCCCAGTGTTGAAGCAGCCGCCCTTCTGCCATGTCGAGCGAGACCTGAGCAGCAAAGGCACGTGATGCTCCTTCTCCACAAATAACCATGCTCAGCCCATTAAAAAATAGTAACTCTTCTTAGTAGCATTTGAAATACTTAGAATGGTCTTTATTCATACTATGCATACACTCAGAAGTATTCTTAATGCAATCGTAGTTTCCCTTATTCACCAATCATCTTGCCTCTTGGATCGTTGTCCACCCAAAACCAAACCACCCAAGCCCGTCCTGAGGGTTTAGGGTTTAGGGTTTAGGGTTTAGGGTACCTTGCAATTGAAGCCCTCAGGCTCGCACCTGTTGCTGAGCAGCGCTCTGCAATGTGGGCAGGAGCGCCTTCATCCTTGAAGAAGCATCTGTGGCAGTCAAGCTTGATTTAGGTTTAGGGTTTCAGGAATGGCTTCTCTTGTGCGATATCGGTCGTTGCCTTCAGGTCTTTGCTGTCAAGGCTCGCACGCGAGACTGCGCCGAGGAGGCCTGACCAAATTGTGGGACCGCAATGCGCGTGAGCAGGATAGGGAAGCAACGCATGCCTCTGGACTTTTCATGCCCAAAGACATGACGTTTGACACTCTACTTGTACCGGTTACCGGCGCTGAGCCTTCCAAGGCCGGTGTCGGCGTCTGTGCCTGGACGGGAAGGGACGGATGCAGCTGCATTCCCTCTTCAGGTGCTGCCTTGAAGTGCTTGGAATGTCTCACGTGTCACATGGAGGGACGGTGGGTAGATTTGCTGCCAAGTCGCGGGCTCGTAAATCATGAAGGCTCCTGGCGAGCGGCGGAGGACTTCGATCACCTGAGCTCTCGTCACCCAGTCGGTACAAGTCTGTCCCCGAGCCACAGCATGTGCCTCGACCCCTGCCGTGGGGATTTTCAGTGTTGACATTCTGAACCTCCTAAACCCTTGTGCAGCACGGCTCTCTCAAACTCTTTTGCATCCAGGCCTCTTCGAATACTGCCGGGCAAGTCTCACCAACTAAGACACTGGGACTGGGACACTGAGGCGGAGGCAAGTTACAGCACTGGCTGACTGTCACTCACCCTAAACCCTAAACCCTAAACCCTAAACCCTAAACCCTAAACCCTAAACCCTAAACCCTAAACCCTAAACCCTAAACCCTAAACCCTAAAACCCTGAACCCTAAACCCCAAACCCGATGTGCAAGACAAAGCCGCGGCGTCCAGAACGACTTCAAAGTTGCCTGCAGGCCCACCTGACCGACAAGGAATGATATCCAGCGTTCCAAGGGACCAAAGGAGGACGCGCGGCCTTAAACGCGGGAGCTGATTTTTGCTTTCACTCATATTTCATCGGGGCTTTGCTGTTTATTTTGGACGACACTGAACCGGGACACCTCAATGCTGGAGGTGCGCAGGACATCACTATCGCCTACAGAATCAAGAGAACCTCGGGCTGAAGATGAACAACGCAAAGCTCAGCTGGTTAACAATTGACATGTCACATGTCACATGCCTTCAAATCGACCTTAACACCTAAACCCTAAATCCTAAACCCGAAGAAACTTCAACCCAAGCGAGTGTGATGTTTCAGAGTTTTGACTATAATATAATTAATAATATTATTATTAGTAATATTCTTATTAATATTATTCTTCTTATAATAATAATAATTATTATTATAAATAATGCCAACTTCTGCTCTTGGTAAGTTTTTTTGATTCCCCAGAGTGCCCAATACCCCTTAAACAAGGAACCTGCCTTAAACTATATAGGGATCCGTAATGTAACTTCAAGTATATTCCTTAATTAAGAGGTAGTGGGCTCTTTGGGTCCTGCCACAGTCACTTATATAAGCCCTTACAGGAGAAAGGTGGACAAAATTCTCACAAAAAACGGGCAGAGGACTTAACAGTTGACATCAAAGCAGCACCATGATTTACGTAAGTAAGCCAGCAAGCCCGAAGCCCATTGTTCGGCCTACCGGGCACTGAACAGCCAAAATTTGAGGTCATATACCCTCTACTACTATAGTTCCGATTAAGGTATATGAACCATGAACCCTTTCAGGGTTCGTTTGAGCCGAGGGGCCAAGGAGTCCAGTCAGGTGGCATGCAAAGCCATGGTGCTCCAGCAGCTGCAAGCCCATCACCTCGCGATTGCAGATTCTGTAGACATTCTAAGCCCTCTAAGGCACTTCACCGTTTTCTCAAGCAGGTTCCCCGTGCCTTCGACCACTGTGTGAGCGTCTGGAACGCGAGCCTTAGGGGCGCAGCTGCGCGCTCTGGTGGTGAGATCGCACAACGGATTCGAAGCTTGGCAGGCTCGAGCTCTCCACGACAAGATGCGAGAAGTCGGAGTCCGAAAGGGTGCCTGTCGGAGCCTCTCCCATGTGGAACAATGATATAATGCCACAGTGTAAAATACCAATGCCTCATGTAACATAGAGCAAAAGGCTCATATTCTAGTATAATGATTTTATCATGATATGATGATATAGAAATGGAATGAGATATTCACGAAAGGGTATAAACAATATAACAATATAATAAGACAAAATATGAAAATATGAGAATACAAAAGCAAAATGAATAAAACGTGGAGCCCGGGACTTCTGAATCGAGTGCGCAGACGCCAAGAAGTCTTCAGATTCCTGCCGCTGCCTCGTCGGACATGGGCTGGTATCGCGCCGCCAGGTCGAGCATCGCTTGGGAGTGCGAAAGGAGGGCCAAGGTCCGAGCCTCAATGGGTTTAGGGTTTAGGGTTTAATTAGGGTTTAGGGTTTAGGGTTTAGGGTTTAGGGAAGGTGTGCTCTTTGGGGTTGGAGCTTTGGCATGTCTCGCAGCATGTTGCCCCAGGCATGAAGGGAAGCAGAACACAGGTCGTCCGAGGCGCATCGGCTTTCAGGTACTTGTGGACAACCTTGCAGGTTGGAGCTTGCGGGATTTTTTGCCGCCCGCCTCGCTGAACTGCACGTCCACATTGCAGGGTTCTGGCGTTTAGTACGGTTGAAACAAAGGTGCATCCCTTTGGGACACTGCGGGGGGGCGGACCTTGGGAGGATCTACGTAACTTCACAGGGAGGTGCCTAGTTTAGAGTTCAGGACGCAAGAAGCCTGCGGCGACTCTCCAAAACCCTTGCACAAACAGGGCGCCTCGGAGAGCTGCTCTGGAATGATGACCTGGGCTTGTCTTGCCAACCCTAAAAACCCTAAAAACCCTAGAAACCCCTAAAAACCCTAAAAACCCAAAAACCCTATAAACCCTTATAAACCCTATAAACCCTATAAACCCTATAAACCCTAAAAACCCTAAAAACCCCTAAACCCTGAACCGCTCGGCAAACCCACAACGGCCAGAAGCCTTCGTCTCTGACTCCTGGGTCCCCGGGCCAAGATGCCCCAAGTGATCTTCGGCTGGCGTTCGACCAGGGCAAGCAAATCTGCCACGCCACTCTTCCTGGGAGCTTCGTCCATATGCGGGGTTACGATATTAGGGTACCTGCCTGGGATCCTTATTGTAAAGGGATCCTGCTATTAGGGTGTCTATACTAAGGGTCCCCCATTTTCGTAAACCCCCATGTGATCTGAGGGCGGTGCACGATTCATGCAGGCGTGCCGGTTCATCGAAGAAGCGAGACAGGAAAGGAATACGATTCAGGCACCCAAACAACTTGCAAAGGCAACGCTGCCTGACTCATCACAACATGTTGCTCTGCCCGGCAGCTTAGGGTTTCAGGCTTAGGGCTATAAAGGGCTGATGTAGGGTTGAGGGCGAGGGCAAGTTCGTTTTAACTTTTACCACCCAGCTCCAAAAAAGTCATGTGTTATGCAGGGAGCAGTGCGTATGCCGAGCCGCCAAGTTGTGTTGCACAGAGCAACCACAATTGCAGCGAGCGCGACGACCTCATTGCTCTGCTCTAGCTGGCAGGGACAAAACTCAAGCATCTTGTCGCAATAAGTGCTGAACTCATAGCTTGCCACAACTGATGCGACACCGAAAAACAGTCGGACTTCAAGAACTAGCCGAACAGCAGAAACCCGAAAAAACAGCCTTCTTAGGATTGGTCAAGCCACCAGCTGCTGCTTCGAGGGCTTCGATGTCGCTTCCGACTCCAAGTGGTTCAGCAACACAGGGGCCCAGTCCTGATAAGGGTTCACAGGGTTTAGGATTGAATCACTCACACTCGGACGCGGCAGGTGAGGCACACTCTGCGGGTTTGGGGTTTAGGGGACAGAAACCAAGGCCGGGCATGGGCGCCGCGTTGGGATCATAAAAATCCTTTCTCTTAGGTCCTACCCGAGCATGCATCCACCACACAAAGCCTGGGGGACTGAAACCGCTTATGGACTCACTGTGCTGCACAGCCATTTCATTTAGAACGGTTCATGTCGTTGGGGTGCGCTTCATGAACCCGGTTAGGTTCGTGAGTCGACTGTGACTGCAGAGAGGGGCCGAATCGTAACACTAACACATACTCGCACTAGACACTGGGATGTTCCCCCTTATACTAACAGTCCTTCATAAAGATTCTACTAGGGGTACTTTAGACCCTAGCATATGGGGGAACACCCCAAACTCTGCATCCTGTCAACCTAAACCCTAAACCCTAAACCCTAAACCCTAAAGCCCCCCTAAACCCTAAATCCCCCGGTTGAACCTTGAGGTCGCCCGCCGCAGGCTCGGGGTAGCCCTGTGCGGCACGCTGCACTCGCCCTTGTCAGGAAGGCGTGGAAAATGGAAGGCCACAAGCATGTAAGCGTGAAGTATTCGCACCCAAAAGCAAAATGATGGTTTCAGAACTCTGAACTGAGAAATCCAACCGAAAAAAGAGATCAGTGTACTAAGTTGGGGCAAGGATCGGCACAGCGTCTGAGCCCCGAAGAACTGCCTGGACTCATCAGGAGCAGTTGTCTGCGCCGGCTGCCCTCATGAGTATTAACGCAAGACTCTGATGACGATGCTGACGCTTAGGTTTTCCGCTGGTGCAGTTCCAAGTGCAACCAAAGCACACACTGGGCTCAGCATCGGTTAGCAACCTAGGCGCACGAAACGGGCAAAGCGGAGGGGCACTTGACCGGTTGACCCACCAAACAACTCAACGATGCCGGACAAACACAAAGGCTCCAAAGAAAACTCTCCCGACCCCTCCCCCCTCCCCTCAAAATCACTGGACCCTGCTTCGCGTGGAAACTTGACTTCAAAAGAAGGGGGGCCTAAACCCTAAACCCTAAACTTTAAACCCTAAATCCTAAACCCATATGACTTCGAGCAGCTCTCTGCTCACAGCCCAGGCCGCATCTGCCTCCGCGAAGCTGCGAAGCGCCGCGTCGGCGCTCTGCTTGGCAGCCTTGTGAAGATTCGCCGGGTGGGAAGAGGATATGTATATACATGTATATACATATATACACAAAAGTATACATATATGTCTGTATGTATGCATGCATGTATGTATGATGTGATATATATATATATATATATATACATAATATGGCTAAGACCCTCTATTGATGCCTCCAAACTACTGACGCTGACTCTTGCTGAGGCTACAGGAGACCGTGTGAGCCAAGGAGCTGCGTCATGGGAGTGGTGGAGCTCAAGGATTTTCGCGCGGACCGCCGCGGACATGACATTTGCTTTGGGTTTAGGGTTTAGGGTTTAGGGTTTAGGGTCGAGGGTTTAGGGTTTAGGGTTTAGGGTTGAGGGTTGAGGGTTTAGGGTTTGGAGTTTGGGGCTTGGGGTTTAGGGTTTAGGGTTTAGGGTTTTGGGTTTAGGATTTAGGGTTTTAGGGTTTTTGACGGCTTGTCGTCTGCACATTCCACTGTGGGATGATGCGGGCTGCACTGTAGGTCTTGGATGTTTTATGTCGGCCTTACCGACGACTAGCACTGCTTCATTCAGGGTGTTCGTCTACTATGGCATATTAAAGCATAACATAATGTTTTATCGTATGTCAAATGCAACGATCCCTCTCGGATGCGAGTAGGAAGGGGGTCACCACGACTAAGCAGCTAGGTCGTAATCACCTTGCGATCTTGGAACTTTTACCTTTTAACGTCTATGGATGGCTAAACTGTAGCCATGTTGGCCATCTTCCCCGAACTTGAATGAAAACCCAAGCAGTTTTACCACGAGCCAGCCGGCAAACTCCCTCCTAAAGTGGAGCTTGGACTTGCACAGGCAAAGGACGCCAGTCACAAGCACAGCTGCACATGGCTAGATACGACAAACCTGCCAACCTCGAGCTTGTGTCACCTGCCTAGCTGGGTTTAGGGCTTAGGGTTCAGGGGCGTTTTGTTTGCCACCTGTTTAGGGATCTCGGACATGTCAATGCTACAAACCCGGGTCAGTCAGCACATGCTGACTCTAGTGTTGCTGTCTCTCGCACTCGAAAAGCTTGCAAGCAAGGCTAAGTAAGGCTTGCCGTTCACAGCAACCACAGCACTTGTCACCTACCATTACTCGCCAGGTCCAAGGGTCATGGGCTGACTGAGGCACCATGGTCTGATCACTTCAACAAACATCTATGCTGCTTCATTCCGATGCACTTAGGTGATTCGTTGCATCCACAAACCTGTTCTAGCTCCAGCAGGTCATTCAGCAAACACGGTCCTCACAGGGCTCTTTGTCAAAGTAGGTGACCCACGCGATGGAATCGGGGTTACCAGACATCTGGTTGCCTCAGTTGGGCAATGCTGACAGAAGACCAGGCACCAGAACGGCTGCAACAACAGTTTCAATTCAGCCCAGCCCAACCGGATCCAGCCGGTAAGCCAACAAGCTCATCAGCTGCAATCAGATGATGGGCACTTGCCACTTGCTAGCTTGCGAAAGACTTGTGGACCTGAGGTCGGCACCCTTTCCTTTCCCTGCCATAAGGAGGCAACTGGGCGGCATCACATCTACACTTGGAAGAAGATGTCAAATCGTACAACCCCCTGCAGGCATGCTTCGAGGTTCAAGGGTAGTAATAAGTAGGGTTGTAAGTATGGTAATTATACTTCTGACCCTACTTACAACTGCCCGTGAACCTCCAAGTGGTCTTTCCTTTCGCTGCGAGATAAGCGAAATGCCGAATTCAATTCTGCAAGTCTGTTCTCAATCATGCCGGAGTGGCGATCTTCTGCTCGCAAGATTCGGATATCTCGGTCGACGCAGAATGTATGCTATTGAGCTGCGCCCACTACGTACACTGCTGGGAACTTTCCAGTTTCCTCCACGCTCCCATTCCGAAACTATTCCGAAACTACATGGCTCAAGTCTCACTACAGACTGCTACCTGGCTGCGTGCTCTTTATACAGCCCCTTGCACACCGCAGATTCTGGAAACCCGAACCGCTCAGCTTCTCCCTGTGCTTTGAGCACCGCACTTTTGACGGTGCCGTAGCTCTGGAAAACATACTGCAGCTCCTAGCGCCACGCGCATGTGCCCATCCGCCCTCCATTCTTGAAGTGGCATGCTGGTTCATGAATGTAGACCCTTGCTAGATCTTGTCCTCCTCCGAGATATCAGCTGGCAGGCCTCCAGAAGCCAAGGCAAGGCAACAAGGATCACGGGCTTCACTGGAAGAGCCGATGTCACAAAACTTCGTGCAAGATCGACCGAGCAAGATGGGTAGTTTGCTCTGCGGCCGAGAGGCTTCCGACAAAAACTTGGTAGCCCGCACCATCAGACATGACCCGACCTGGCAAAACAACACCACTTGGGGTTCCAGGCACTTCTTTGCAAAGCCGAAACCCAGGCCTGCCTTCCTAACAGGGCGTGAGGCTCTGAGGAGCCAAATGTCCCAGCTGCAGCGCGCACAGTTCAAGCCTATTGGACACCATGACACATCGTGAGAAGATTCATCTTGACCCCTTTTTTGGGACGGAGCCAAGTGCGATGATTCTGGGCCATCGATCATACAGACTTTTTCACCAAGGTCACCCGCGCGTCACCGAGCTGAAAACAGGAGAGCCGCTGCACTGCGAGATGCAAACGGCTCGTCTAAGGGTCAGTGAGATCAAGCGAGCCTGCCAGCGTTTGTAGAGCTAGGCAGCCATGGCCTGGCTGACTGAGAAACTGTGAAAGCGTCGGTGGAATTGGAAAGTGTGCCCTGCTGGGCGATGAAGCCAGGGCAGAAAACTTGAGAAAGGCGCCAGCCTACCACAGAAAACTTGAACCTTAACATCAGTCTTACAGGATCATTCTGCGTTGCCAGCGGCTTCTCAGGAAAGCAATGCTCGCAAGTCCTGCGAACTGGGAAGGCGAAGCCAACGTGTTGTTAGCCTGTCGGCCTTTCAGCATCTTTGGCCATACAGCACGGGAGCAAAAGGAGCAAAGAGGTGCGCAAGCCGTGGACACGGCAATGTTAAAACCTGCAGGAGTTTGCGGATGTTTTTTCGGTGGCTCCTACTGCATTTCCTGCTGGCATGCCTCGAAAATCGTCATACTCCAGCTTTGATGAGATCGATGCTGTCAAGCTTTCGCATGCAACAGGAGTGGCATTTTGAGGGCATCTCAGGGCAGCGGGAAAGACGGCGCACGCCGTCCACCTGGCGGCGGAAAGTGGGCGCCCTCCGGCAGGGTGAGCATGTGCACACAGAAATAGGATTTCGGGGTTGCCAAGGCAACATGCCAAGGGAGCAGCTGCGCAAGAAGTTGCCCTTGAGGGGCCCAGCTTTGACCTGACAAGGGGCTGGCTAAGATGCAGTTTCTGAAGTCTTTGGCGCCGCGCCCTGAATGGCGAATAAGACGGGGCAAGTATACTTCCGCATGTTTGCCTCCCGCACCTCCCCCCCCCTCCTGCCAAAAAAAAGAACAACAAAGCATCCGCTTAGGGTCGAAGTTCAAGGACTAAGGGTACAGAGGGCTTCGACTTTGCTTGAAAGGAAGACCCAGGCAGTCGCCAGTGTCCTGTTGCTGAACCGGGCAATTCAGGATAATTCAGGGGTTTCCCCAAACAGGGGTCCCCCTAATTTACCCCCAACATAGTATACTTCTTATTATAGGAACCCCAAGAAGGGCACCCCCTATTTTCGGAAACCCCCCCCAACTTGCGATTGTGAAGAGGAACACACAACCAAATATTGCCCTTTGTGCCTCTCGCAGCTGCGGATCCAAGTTCATGACCTGACAGCAGCTTGCCGTGGAGGTCCATGGGTAGTTCTAAGTAGGGTTATAAAGTACCACAAATGGGGGGCTATAAGTATAACTACCAAACTACCCTGCTTGTACTACCCATGAACCTCCAAGGAAGTGCTGCTTCCATCAGCACTTGCCGTTGCGATCCCTTGCGTGTCTCATCAGTTGCCAGGTTGACACGCCGCAATCCTCTGTGTCAGTCTATGGCAGGTTTTCGTGCAGCCAATACTTGCGTGCAGACATCTACCGGAAATCCGAAGCTGACACTTGCTGCAATGTAATAGAAAAGCTGAGACCGCAGCCTGTTCCAATGCCTGGCGCCTGCAACCCAAGTTTCAGAGTTTCTTCCAAAACGAGGCGAAGGTCATACACGTTTGGGCCGCAGTATGTGCCTGGCCTCACGAAGTCGCGGTTGGGGTCGTTCACCCTGTTCTCCAACCTAGGCACACCCATGATAGGCAAACCTGGCGAACCATCCATGCTCTCTGCTTTTGCAGTCAACAGCATGGCGCAAAACCCACTTGCCCAAGAGCAAGATTAAGCCAGGGATAGATAAGTTGGTGGCAGCCATCGGATCTCACCTTCCACGTCGCCTCAGACGTCGAGCATGTTTAGGTTTCAGAAGGCTTGATGGTTGATCGTTCACCCTCTGTTTTCTTCCCAGCCCTTCAGCCGTTTGAGTCCCCCAAGCCCGAAAGCGGTGTCGTGACCCCGACACCAATGCAAACAGTACCAATAATCCAAGACACCTTTCAACTTGGCATAGACCTCCTCGCATGCATCCTCGCATGTTGGCGAGCATACTCTGTACAAGTCAGTTTGAGGGTTTGGTTGGCTTCAGCTTCGAATGGGCAGGGCGTTGTTTCCCCGGCCTAGCTGGATCCTTTGACAGACTTCTTGTGTATACAGTGGCCTGAATCAACCAGGCTACATCCTTCGTCCCTGAAATGTCTGCCTTCTGCATCATTAATCTACGGGGCAGGTGGCTTCTTGGTTCGTGCCTTCCGGGTTCAGGAGCAAGCAGCAAGCACAACACTCACCTTGACACACCCCGAAATTGTGCTTAACACTAGAGACTAGAGTGCCATAGTTCTGTCTCATGAGAGAAGCTCCTTGTCTTTCGGGTCGAGATCTGCAAGGTCGACCGGTTTGCCAAAGCTGAAATAGAAGCCTCATTTCGTGAAGAAAAAGAACTGCTACAAACTCTTAAACCCTAAACTCTATGACTTCTACAAGCTATTAACGATTTGTGGGATGGAACGGCAGTAAGTCCCATAGGCGTGCCAGGTGCAGTTAGCGAGTCGTGACACAAAGAGATGACCTCTCTCGAAGTTTTAGGCAGCCCGGCGGTCTCCAAAGCCAGGTGTGGTCTTGGTCGCCTCACTGCTCATGGTGACTTGTCATGTGAAAACAAGGTGAAAGAAAAAAACAAACATCACCCTGGGTCTTGGGGCCGCGCCGGCGGTAGACGTGGGAAGGGGGTAGCGAAGCTCGGTGGTTCCGCCAGTGCTTCAGACACGGAGGACATGCCACCACCTTCAGGTTTCGACACCCCAAGCGTCCCCCGAGGGCCACAGCGCTCAAACGAAGAACTCTGCACGCAGGAGCCGCCTCCTTGCAGCAGCTTCGCCCAGCCTTCGCGGTCTTTCTCGGACATCTGACAGCTGGCACGAAGTGAACCAGGTGGTGTGCCGATGTGAAACGGAACCAAGAACCTTCTTGTATGAACCATGCCACGGCTGATGCCGTGCGCCTCCTGTCGTGGACTGACGCGCACCTGAGCGCACAAAGCCACGCTATGGAGCTGAACGGCCCAGGCAAAAAAAAAAAACACCATCCTGGAACATCACACGGTTCAATTGATTCAACGGCCGGGGCATGGCCGAAGCGCGAACAAAAAAGAAAGTGTCTAGCTCGATCAACACCCCCAAGGCTTGTCAGATGTGGTACGACCAGAGCACCCAAACCTGGAAACCCAAGCCAGGACCCCAGTACCTCCAATAGATAAACGTCTGACTTCAGAATTCTCTCAGAAGCAAAGTGCAATCGCAGGCGCATTGTCTGCGCTGCCCACGCTCCCAAAGGGGACAATGATTGCGTTGAATTTGGCAGCGGCACGCCTCGGCCAGACCGAACACGAGTGTTGCACGTGCCCACCATCGCAGGACGTCATGCGATGATGTGCTGGCAGAATATGAAGTTCCATCGCGACAGAGCTGCAGTGCTTAGATGTGCTTCGCAGCTCAGCAGTAAGGGCAGCAGTCTGGTGCTTGTGTAGCTCCCCACAGCATGGCTACACAGGGCGGTTCAATGAGTAAAGAAAAGTTGTATGGCAAGTCATCAGCCCTCCATATCTCAATGCCATGCATCCTCTGGATATCCTGTGGCTCCTCGCCACCGTGTTTGTGAGTTAAAGAACCTTAAGCTGACAGGACACCAGCTTGGGATCTTTGAGATCTTTGAGCTTTTCACTGCCGATCCGCAGTGTTTCAACAGCTGGTGCGCGAATGGCATGCGTAGCGGGGGCGCCCTATCTTCGTAAACCCCCCATGTAACTTGCCAGGACCACAGGCCTATTTTGGCTGCAAGAGCCAAGACAGCTAAGGGGAAGGCACGAAGTCGGTCTGGGAGGGCCAGAACAGCTGGTACCTGTCAAGGAGGTTGCCATGACGTCCTTTCTCCGGCAACAGTATATCTCCAGCAAAGTTACTGGCACGACCTTACCGATCTTCCGCATTCATGCTACGCACACACACACACATGCCCGCCCGCGCGCACTTCTCTGTGGGTCCGTGGCATGCTTCACGAGCGCCCCCAGGGAAGAGGAGGACAGTCTGTCAGCAAAGCAAAGCCCGAGACAGTGTTGGCAATGCTGCAGGCACACAGTTGAAGCTGATACATGCAGCGGAAGAACATCAAAATAGAAACGACGGAACAACATCAAATTTTACGACCAGGTGAACTGTATTCTGTAGGGTCTTGCAGGCGTAGCGAACCATGGAATTCAAGAGCCATAAGGGTCAACACGATTTGTGGCAATCAGACTACAACTCTGCCTGCGACTTCCGCACAAACAGTGGATTGCCTATTCCTCAGAAATTTGCAAATGCCGTATCGTTTTTAAGGCGTTTTCCAGGCGCACGCGCAAACGAGAAGTGACGAGGGAGATCTTGCGGATCCTCATCTGCGCTCCACTCAAACCATCTGGGCATGCGGTCGCCCATGAGATGCAAGGCCCGTGGCACAGGATGGGAAAAAGGCGGATCAGCTTTTGCTGCGCGAGCCCACTAGTGGTTGTTCTCTCTGACGGTCACATCCTTGGGATACGACCTCGGGGCTGGTGGCGGCACTATCCCGTGCAAGAAATCACTCGTCTCTTACCTTCCGGCACTGAGGACACGGCGAATCGGAAAGCACACCACCTAGGACTTGAGAAGCTGTCTGGGCAAGAGGGCAGCACGGCTTCTGCATTCACTTCGCAGTTTCCAACCCAGCCTTGGGCCCGAACTGCTAGCAAAGCTGTAGAAAACAAATTTTCTCCCCTCTCCTAACCTCCAGAAATTGGATCCGAGTGGCACATGCCGCAAACCGGGATGGTGCTAGGGCCACCGTCACATCCGGTCCCCTGTTGTGGATCCTGGAGGTTCAGGAAGAGGTTGCGACATCAGGGTTTGACTTGATGTTCAGGCGAGCAGTGGTTGTTTTCCTTGAGCACCTTTTGGAAAAAATAAGCTTCCATGCGGGCTACGGCGGACCTTCCGCGAACATTTGGGCCAATCCGGCCACTCCAACGGAACTCTGCTTCCACGGACCCTGGAGCTTCCACGAGAGACTGCAGTAGTAGTCTGATCAATCGTTTGCTTTGGGTTGGGGTCCTGCTGCCTTCCAGCCCGCTGGAAGACAGAGGCTGACGGGAGTCCCGCGCGTGGAGGAATTCCGGGTTCGCGGATGAAGGGCTTTTGGATCTTCAGGATCTGTTGCACTGGTTTGCGGTGCGGCTAGCAATCCAAATCTGGGGTTTGAAAGAATATGTCAGCGCGACAGACGTGCGTGTGCGGGCACCGTGCCACTCCTGGTTTACACGGAGGCTGAAACGCACGTTCCTTTGCTTTGTACTCTACTAGGTTCCTAACAGCCAGAACAAGAATAAAAAAGGAACACATTTGATGAGCCTTTGGTACAGTACATGTATTGGATTGATTGAAGCACGAGAAATGTTGAAAGGATACCTCCTTTAACGCACCCACCTCACTGACAATTCAAAAACGGCCAGGGTCGTAACAACAGCTTCCGCCATGAGCTTCCGCGAACCACTTGCTTCCGCAATCCAACACAACCGAATGACAACGAAAAAAAAAAAAACGCGGCTCAGGGGGCTTTGATTCACACGAATCGGATCTTCAACTTGATGGGCTCAATCGTTTCATTGAGAAAACACGCACGGGGATGAAGGTTCAGGGTCCAGGAGGTTTGGAGATTTCAGATGTCATCGCAGGGCTTCGGGCCCTACATTTTTCTCTTGATGGTTGCAATGATGATGGCGACTTCATGTGGCCTTTTTGCCTCATCCCGAAGCCCCTTACCAGTAGATGGTTACCCTAAATCCCCTTTTGAACAAAGAGGTGCCTGCGCAAGAGCACCGCTAACTCACAACCCTAAGCCCACACTCACCCTTAAGCATCACATGAACCCTAAATGGTTTATGGTTCATATACCCTCATAGGGATTATAGTAGTAAAGGGTACATGACCCCAATTACAATAGGGTATAATAGGGTTCATTTGGTCCCCCAAAGACGATCATGCAGTCTTTCCAACATCCCGGGTCCGAGTCAAAGCCGCAGAAGCCGTCGTCCCAATTCGCATCATCCGCATTGTGGCGCCTGTATGTATTAGTATATATACATATATGTATATAGTTTTTTATTCTGCTATATGTATATGAAGCATCTTGTTAAGCATATAGTGGCATGTATGTGCATATACGTCTATGTGCATATTGGTGCCAAGGATCTGTAGCCGGATGAAGCCCTTCTCACCCCACTCGGGGCCTTCAATCGCGCACATGCTGCAAGCGACTTGCCAGTGCTGCGTACATCCAGCCGATACAGTGGCTTTTGAAAATTCGTTGCGGCCATGAGGCCCCATGAGTTCCGAATCAGCCAGTATGTAAGTCCTGAGCACGCACAAGACGTTGTTCCTTTGGAAGTGCTCCCTATAAGTAGTCTCAGTGATCGCATCAGAGCACAGTAGCAAAGGTTGCCAACGAATGAAACCTCCGGCGCCCGCACAAGCTCTGCTTGCATTCCTCCGCCGAGGCGCCTGACTTCGAGTCGCGGCCATAGCCAACGGCAAGTACAGCCTGCCACCAATCATGGCATTCATGGCTGACCAGGCTGACCAATGGCAGCATTCGGAAGTGCGTGCCGCCAGCACTGAGCCCGGCACATGGTTTACCTGAGCTTGTGTGATCGCACATGTGTACTTGTCCACACGGAGATAAGAATCTTCCGCACTCTGTTCCTCACATGTCACACCCGGCTTGTCTCTTGTGCTGGACCATGGCTACAAAACACCTTGTGCTTCTGTCTTGCGGGTGACTTCTTGAACCCGTCAACCCGTCTGGCCAAGCTCTACTAGCCTCTTCTTGCCGAAGGTGCGATGCTGTCCCTCTTGCAGTCATTGTAGATTCCGCCTGAACTGTGCTGCAATGTCCCTGCACAAACTCGGCCGTGTCTGCATTGGCTGGAACTGAGGAAGGCACCTCCATACCTGGGCCGAGTGCAGGCAGAATACAACCATGAAAAAAAATGTATACATACATATATATATGACCACATATTTATTTATTTATTATTTATATTTACTTATATACTTATTTATATTTATATTGATTTATTTAGGCATTGCGCATGCACCAAGCAAGAGTGTAGACAAAGAAGGCTAGGAAAATGCAACGTGCTTGCCGAAAGACTGAGTTTTTGTGCAAAGGGCTTTTGGGCAAGGCTGACCATGGTGGGGAGAGTGTGGCCAATCTGCTTCAGGCGGGTGGAGGCGTGTGTGTGTGTGTGCGCGCGCGCATGTGTGTCTGTGCTTCTGAAAAGCAAACTGCGACAGTATGGCAAGACTTCTGCTTGAGCGGGTTGCTGCCAAAGGGACTGTCGTGGAGTGCGTGTCCGCCCAAACAGGATACACTAAAGACGTGGGCCATGGCAAAGAGGATCGGTTGCGAATCGATAGACTAGCAAAGCATGATGCGACAAGCATGCAAGACAGATCTGAAGTGGCTATGAAATGACGCAAAAGAAGGCCCGAGTCACGAACAAAAGGCTGGATTAAACCTTGTAATGGTTTGTTCGGAGCGTGGTGGCTACCAGGAGCAGTAGCAACAACGAAGACAGAGGTACTTCGCATGTGAGCATGAGCTCCTGCAGCCTCATGCTCCAAATGCAGCGCCGCGCGGCAGATTCCAAGCGCTGGCATCCACGGACACGGAAACTGGCCCAACGTTAGCCTCAGAGCTTGCAGCCAACATGCTGACACTGCTGCGGGTGGTTGCGACACACGGCATGATACTAATATTATTAACAATCTGAATAACGTTAATCATATGAATAATTATTCTATGAATATAATACTAGTATTCATAATATTAAGTAGTATTAGTAAAAAATCATATTAATAATATTCAAAGAATGTTTAGTAATAAATCATATGAATAATATTCAAAGAATGTGGTCTGGTCTGTTCGGGCACCTTCAACGACAGCCCCTCACTGCGGTCAGGAAGCCAGGGCTTCCATCAAAGGCTTCAGCTTGTTGGTCTCCAGCCGCACATAGCCTTCGGGTTTAGGGTTTAGGGTTTAGGGTTTAGGGTTTAGGGCTACATTGGGATGTTCCTCCTTATGCTAACAGTTCTTAATAGGGTTTATAGTACCCCCTATGATCCCTATTAAGGACTGTCAGTGTAAGGGGGACCATCCCAATCTTCATGTCTGCCACTGGTGGCTTCAAAGGCAAGTCGGAGGCAGCTTCCACAGTTACAACGACGGCATCGGGGATTCTTTCGGGAATGATTTGAACAATATGAGACGTAGTTTTAAAGCGGCCCAAAGCAGCTGGTCGATGATCCGTGGAGCAGCTATGTTGTTGAGCTGCGCAACAAACAGGTTCATGGGGATACAGCGTCAAATGGATTTAGGTGCACTGCACCCAGGCCCATAAGCCCCTTGAAGAACCTATACGCTCTTGTCAGCCCGAAAAGCCCTGCAATCAAGCCCTACTGTACAGCCTAGAGTCTAAAAACGCTCTAAATCCGTAAAGCTCCAAGATTTGCAGCTGGGTAGCCGCGGATCTGGATGTAGGGAGATGACCTTAGGGGATGGGGAAGTTGTCGAACATGCCCCAAGCCGCTATGCAAGTTGTCTTTTAATGCATGCCATGATGGACTGCCATGCACCCTGGCCCCAAAATCAGCCGGCAGGGCCGTCAGCAACTAAGGTGCGCACTTTTTCGATGCCGCTTTGCACGCTTCGTCTTCTGGGTGGCATACAAGGATGGAAGTAATGAAAGTTATCACAGCTGTGATGGCTGTGATTAGGTACAACGGGGCAAGCTGCGCAGCACGTCTGCCAAGCAGCTGTTGATGTTCCCGGCATAGTGGTCAGCATCATAGATGCCGTGCCTTAGCAACCGGTTCTGGCTTTGCAAGCTTGATGCCCTGATATCCCTGATCTACCTTATGTTCAACGGGTTTTGCGTATGCCGGATTTTTTCTGAAGCAGCACGCGGTGTGAAGGAGCCCAGTTGCTGCGACGTGTAGTCGAAAGCCAGCTCGGAGGTAGCACCCTGCCGGGTTTAGGGTTTATGGGGTTTAGCGAGGCTTGACTCCAGTGCATACCCGCGCAAGCGAAAGTGCAGAAACAATCCACAGAAAATCTTCCGAAAATCGCAGGTGCATAGGGAGCATAAAGCAAATCCCCCAATGCAGCTCTAATCCCCCCATCCCCCCCCCTCTTATCTCTTTCTCATCCCCCTCCCATCCCCCCCCCCCCCCCCAACCGCCCCCCATCCCCGCCACCTCCCCCCCATCCCCCCCCATCTTCTTCGGCATTACGTTGCCAAATGCACCTGCCCACTCAAATCGGTGTGCCTGGCAGCCGCCTTCTCCGCCGCAATGCTCTGGGTTCGGCGTGCAATCCTGGAGGTCAAACCCTAAACCCCAAACCCCAAACCCTAAACCCTAAACCCTTCCTTTGCAGGCATGTATCACAGCTTGACTTGGCAAGTTCATGGGAGTCCGTCAGTCAGAAGAAGCACCACTTAGTGCGTGTTCGGATACATGGGACATACGCATGATCGCTGCAATTCGGCCTGGACGCAACTCTGCTGGCCACTGCTGACCCCAAAACTACAAGTATGACCCAAAGACTCACGTCGCTTACACCGGCTGAGCTCCGTGCGACCAGCTGCTTGAAAGAAACATTCCGGGGCACCTGGCACCCAAAAGACTCGCTGCCCCTTGTGCCGAGCCACGACTTTACGCAGCTGCATAAAACGGTCTTGGCAGCTCTGGAAGAGAGCCCAGGCTCGACTGACTCATGAGCCAAATAATTTAGCATGAAAGCCGCACCACCGAATGACTGGCAGATGTTCGCGCTTGCTAACATCGTGCCTTGTCCTGGTGCTGCTGATTCCGCTTCCTGCAGATCTTGCAGGGAACGGCACACGATCTCATCAGTGCTGCATCAGGCCAATTGCTAGGTCGCTCTAGCCCAGAGCATGGGGTTTAGGGTTTAGGGTTTAGGGTTTAAATGTGCAGGCCAGGCCAGTCTGGATGCTGCGCAAGACCCTCTTGTCAGCTCAAGTCCTCAACGCGATCTCAGCATGGATCTCCTTGGATGGCCAAGGTTTCCACACCCTTTAGGGTTTAGGGTTTAGGGTTCAGGGTTTAGGGTTTAGGGCAGAGCTCGAATTTCTGCGACCCGGTTTATTTGCGGCCCACACGGGGGCATCACACAGCACACGTTCCTCACTGAACTCTTAAAGCTCATCCTCTGCAGCCTGGGTATCAATCGCACCAGCAGCTGCCACAGCCCAGCAGGATCCGCAAGCCCCCTGCCGGAATGCAGGTCTAAGAGTTTAAGGTCATGGTCAAGACACATGGCATACGAAGGCATCAGGGCACATGACAGCAGCACTGTGGCGGATGCAATCGAAAATGCTAGATACAAGACTTCCAACGCCGAAAACACACAGTGCCGGTAACAACCTCTGCAAGTCTGAGAGCTCCCAGGCAAACTTGCAAAGTTCAACCCTCGCGAGGGACCTGTTGATGGACAAAGTTCGTGGTCACCTGTGCTGTTGCGACTGTAAACATTGCTCTTGGACAGCAAATTCAAGAAGCTGTCCCACGCTTCTCGCAATGACACAATGACCCCTCCTGTGACCTGACGCTGGCCTTCTTTACGTACTGGCATGGTGCTGCATGCCCAAACGGTCCCAGCGCGGAGACGGAGACTACCGTGACTAACCCGCGCGGTGCTGCCGCAATCCTTGAAACCATGCTCGGCCCAGGTGCCAGGTTCCTGCGCCAGTCCACTTCCGCAGCAAGTTCCTCCTGCGCACGCCGGACCACCGAAGAGGCCTGGAAGCAGAGGCATGTGAAGCTAACTGGAGTTGGACGTGCATGCTCAACGCATCTGCCAGCGGATTTTCAAAGCTGAACTGTGCCTGGATCTAAGTTAAGAGCTGCTGAGACTCCCCTTTTTCCCTAAACCCTTCTTGAACCCGGTGCTGACCTCAGCCCTATGCCCTAAATACGCAACCCCTTGCCACCCTTCAACCCCCAGCCAGCCTGTTGACGGAGGGACGGTGTCGGAAGCCACCAGCGGCCCAGCCGGCGGTGGCCTAACAAGGCCTGATGGGCTCCGAGATTGCTCTCTCGAACTAAGTTTTGCCACCGGCCTAGCAGCCTCATAGTTTCGGGTATAGGGTTTAGGGTTTAGAGTTTAGGGTGGATGTGAGGCCCAAACTCCCTTTCTGAGGCCCACCTGAAACACACATTTCTCGCATGAGTAACACCCCAGCATTAGAGATTCTGCACTGACTGACTCTACATGCAATCATGCGAAAAATAAGATCCAGCAGTCCAACACGCAGCTCTTGCGTTCATCGGCCTTGAACTCAGCGTCTGTGTAGTCTGCGAAGACGTTCACAGCGGCAGTCCACGTTATGCCTGCACTGACAGCAACATCTCGGCACCAAACTCCTTAAGACAATCTCGGCGCGCGTGGCCCGCTCCGTCCCATCATGTGCAAGCCACGCCTTCTTTCGAATTGTGTGCTGTCACGAGGGCTTTGTTCCGCTGAAACATCTCAAAGCGCTGCTTGTAGCTGAGAGAGTCCTGGTGGGGGATTGGAGCAAAACAAAAGCCATCATCGTCGTCTTCCGAGTGGAGTAATAGACATGATAGCTGCCTTGTGCTAATGTGGCACCTGCTTTAATGTGGCCCCCCCCCCCCCCCCCCCCCTGAACAGTCGAGGCTGGAATTTGCTCTGTTTAGACGTCCACGCGGGGTTTATATGATGTGAATAGGGAGGAGTTTAGATAAGTTTAGAAGGGGCAGCGATGCCCGGCAATCTTTTTTGAAGGCGTGCCACGTGGAACTTTCTTACGGCGCCCGGACGATTTGTCTTTAAAGAGGGACTCCCAAACAGTCAGGGTGTCCTGAATAACTCAGCCAAATTGTCTTTAAAGAGGGGGCCAATACTACAGCAGGTGCAACATTACAAAGAAGGACAGGACCTACGAATGCTACCACTGCCACTCCAAACATGTCACTTTCTGGCGACGATGAACAAGTTCCGCTTGTGCCTGCCGAAAGCTCGGCCAAGCACAAAGCCTGCTTTTGTTCACTGCATTTCCCTGGCAAAACCCCTTCTCGCGGCCTGTGTGGGGATGGGTCTAACTACTGCGGCTACTAGTATTACTACTCCTATATTGTCACTGCTACTTCCAGGGGTTCGCTACACATGAAAAAAAGCAGCAGCATGGCTCCGGGGGGGGGGGGGAGGGAGCCCAGCCAAAGCTGAGCCGAAGCCGAGCCAGTCTGAGCCCGCTGCCAAGCGACTCTTGGTGGGGCCCTAAACCCTAAACCCTAAACCCTAAACCCTAAACCCTAAACCCACACGCCGTAAACAATCGAAGGGCAGTTGTTGGCCAAACAATGGTCATGCTTTACAATTTGCAGCTGTCCTGACTCGAATCTTTCCGGTGCTTTTGACGAAACTCCTGCATGTCGGGGGCAGGATGCAAGTCGACTCATCAGCTTTTACCCCCTTTTGAGCTCTCTCATGAACCGAACTAGAGCAGGGGCCGCGAGATACTGACATGAAAGAAGGTGGCTTAGAGGAGGAGGAGGAGGAGGAGGAGGAGGAGGAGCATTAGTGACCCAAGCCCATTTCTTGGTAATCTGCAACTGCCACCAGACGCGGCCTCGTATGCTTTGAGGTCAAAGTCTGCCTGCTCAACTGTCCAGGGACTATGCGGCAAGCATTGCGCACGGGCGTATCTGGCTGCAACACAAATGCGCTGACCATGGAAATGCTCAACCTTCGAGGACTCCGAGGACCCTAACCATTCCTGGATCGACTCCACGCGCCCATCGGCTGCAACGGAGAAGTCGAGCGCAGCAACTGTAGAGAACGCAGCGGCCAGAACCTCACGACAGGTACGGGAGAGCCCTGGGCATGAAGAGGAGGCTGAGAGCCTAGTTTTCCGAGAGCAGGCTATGATGAATGCCAGTTGTTGCTGCTATACTGTTTAAGGAATCAGGACCGTTGAGCAAACTATGTTCGAGCTATTGCTGTTCGTTACAACTGCCCCAAGCGCTGCGGTCTGGGAGCTGCTGCGGGGAGGCACGTCATGGAAAGAGACATCGCAGTCTGACTGAGTCCAGCAATTCGAAAGGTGAACATATGCCTTGGCACACTGACGGCCTTGCACGCAATGGAACTCTACGACTTCTATGCATCTACTGAACTTTGTCGGTTCTTGTGTTGGGCATTTGTGTACTTCAACAGCGGACTTCGGTGAAACTGCCAGGGGGTGGCCGTCAGCCGACGGACCTTCGAGCCAAAACCGCGGTCGCGAGAGAGTTAAGCCTTTCACCCTTACGAATCTGGTACGGTCCGCAGCAGGATGACTTTCGCACATCCTGCGTTTCGCATTCTGCTTCCAGGCGTGTGCAGGAAGCCCTAAATCCTAAACCCCAAACCCTAAACCTTAAAGCAAGCGCGGGCGCCTCGTTGCGCTGAAGCAATCGGACAAAGTTTCGCGGCGTCACGGGGACCTCATGTGGAAGCTGCGGAGGCTAGAGACTGGAAGCTCCACATTGTAGTCACCTGTACTCACAACTGCAACTTCTTGCTCTTCCCCCTGGTTCTGAAGTGATGAATGAGGGGAGTATTCGGTACCCTGTAGAATGTCTTGAAGATATATATATATATGTACAAAGTGTGTGTATATATATATATATATGGTGCAGCGTCGCTGCCCCCCCCCCACCCCCCGGGGGGGTACCGACACGGGACACGGAACTATATATATATACATATGCTACCCCCTAATTTGTCCACGCTTTTTTTGTAGTTATCCACGCTTTTTATGTTGGCGAGCCAATCAGATCGTTTCACGGACCACAGAGACCCCTGAACCCCCCCTCCCCCAACCATGAGACCAGCAACAAAAAAATACCCGCACGACAATGTGACCCAACCCCCTACATAGCATAAATGTATGCAAACCTTGAGATGTTGAGTCCTCTCCTTCTGTACAACACTAGTCCTCTCCATCTATACTACACTGGGCACAGCGACCTCCTCCGCTGCCCTTCCTTCCGCTCCGCTGCGCTCCCTCTATAGCTGGGGGGGGGGGGGGGGGGGGGGGATACATATACATATTTTACATATATATATATATGGGGGGGGGATGTAAGGTACCTCCTGTTGTAGAATCCCTTAAAGGGTATATATGTAGGGGGATATAAGGTCCTATTGTAATCCCTTACATGAAAAACATATATATATATATATATGTATATGTATATTCATTTCTGTAATCAATATGTAAATATACATAATACATGTGTATATATATATATATATACATACATATGCATATATATATATATATAGGGGATATAAGGTACCTCCTTTTCTTATCATAGCCAAGTTCTTTCGACAGGCTGAGCCTGGCGCCGCGCCCCACTTGGCGAAGGCTCCGCCGACTCCGAAGTTCTCGCCCACACCCAGCTGCGCCAGGAGAGTCACAGAGTCACCAGCGTTCAGGGTCTAGGGTTTTCTTTAACCCCTAGGGTTTAGGGTTTAGGGTTTAGGGTTTAGGGTTTAGGGCTACATTGGGATGTTCCCCCTTATGCTAACAATACTTAAAAATTGGGATTACCATACAAGTAGGGGGTACTCGAATCCCTATTTAGGACTGTCCGTATATGGGGAAAATTCCAAGGGCTACAGCCCAGTTGGTGAGTACCCTGGGCCAAACAAAGGTAACCTTTCAATTATGGTAGGATTATATATACCCAAAAAGGTTGCAGGTTCCTACTAAGACAACATGGACTACAGACATTGCGTCGTTGCGGTTTGCAAAGGTAAGAACATGAAGATGACGTGAACCTATTAGGGCAAGAGAACCTCGAATCCACCGATTTGCCCAGTGGCCTCGTCACCTTCCGTTTCAGCATGTTCACCTGCACCTTGGAGCTGGCAAATCAGAATTCTATACCGTATCATACTGCACCCAGGCAGCAGTTAAACGATAGTCGGACCATAGCAGACCACATCCCAAGCTACATAGCGGTCTACCTTTACTCACACGATACCGTGCACCATGAGAATTTGCCTCTCTCTGCCGACTGCTGTGGTCCGAGCCCATGCCGAAGGGCCCCATGGGCTGACTCTTCTTGCCTGTCTTTATCGCAGTACCCTAAACCCTAAACCCTAAACCCCAAACCCTAAACATGTGTGCACATTTCGCAAGAAGCAGAAGCATGGAATGCAGGCGCACAAGATTGGGTTGGTTGCTAGCTACACTGTTTGTGGTGGCTGCCCTTGCGAGCTTACGTGCTGCCTAGGGCCTGAGTAAACAACACCGCCTTCCAAGCGGGAGAATGAACAAATTTCCTTCCCATTGCAAGCCACGGCAAAGCCTTCCACACGAACATGAAACAGCTTAATTATGGCTGTGCCATCTTGTCGGACTATCGGCGATCTGCCTTGTCCAGTGAGCTCCTCCGCTGCCTGTCTCGGGATATGCCAAGCATCCAAGTCAGCAATTCAGTGTAGCGACTGCCGACACGAGTCGTACCTTCTGCGCCGCTTTCGCAGCTGCACGCAACTCGAAAGGAAGACCCGTGGAGTCCAGAAAGCCTGGCATGTTTTGCGCTGCTGATCGTCGCGGATGTAGCTTCGGATGGTAAGTTGTAGCTTTTGAGCAACAAGACAGCAAGAGTCCGACGGAAAACATCAAAACTGCCGCCTGCCCTGAAGTACTTTGACACTCGCCTGGGTCATCCATCGTGACGGTTGTTGAGACCAGGCTGTTGAACACCTTGGCTGGCTGTCGGTTGCAAAGATCACCCCAAACAAGTATTATTCAAGATCCTGTCATCTCGGCTCGACATCTCAGCTGGCAAGCCAAGGAAGGCTAAACTGCTCAAAGGGCTTATGATAATCCTGCCAGGATACGTCCGGAAAGTTGATGGGATGGGCCAGGCCTGGCACTGTGCTTCGTGCTTCGCACAGCACAAGTCGTGTCAGGCTACAGTGGTGGTGGTGTCTCCCCCCAGCGACAAGGATCTCAGAACTTAAGAATGGCTTTTCGGCTCGGAGACATCCTGCTATGACGGCCTCTTGCTGCATAGCCCTTCTCGATAAGGAACTCACGCACCTCACCGGGCAGGTGTTGCAGGAAGCCATGACATGACCAATCCCGAATTCCCACTTCCCGATTGCACACAAAAGAGCGCAAAGGATCTGCGTGACCCTTATGAGGACTTGTTCCTGTGATATCCGGTGGACTGCTGCAAGCGGCCTACGTCATCCTATGCCCACAAGCCCCAAGCTTCTGAACGCCAGCTGAAAAATCTACAAACCCCGTGCCGAGGGCGTCACTAGCGGGCCCAAGTCCAAGGCAAAAAGCTGATGATTCCCAACCTGACCGGGGCAACTCGGTTTTTGCATCGCCAGCAGTCCACCCTGCCCTACGCCCTACGTCGCAACGTCGTCCCTTGTAGCCATCCGGCCGGACACCCTGACACCCCAGTGAAGAGACAAACGCCTGACCAGGAATCTTTAAAGGGGGTAATATAGGGGCCTATATAATTAGAATAGGGTTTTGGGGGTCATTATAGCAAAAATGAAGGACCCACAAGGGAATACTATTAGCAATTATACAGCGGGATGAGTGATCGGAAAACTCGACACCAATCGGACCGGAGTCATGCCCAAACAAATGGGTGGTTGTCAAAAATATGATTCCCTTTGGGGGGTACCCTCAATATTAGATGCCGTATTATAATAGGGATTCAAAAAAGGACTGTGACTATAATTTTGACAACCACCCACATGCAAGCAAAAGCAGGCCGGCGCCACCAACAGAACTGGACGACCCAAAGCTTTGGGGTCTGGCACTCCACCCAGTCCGAACCTCGGAAAGATGTCGACTTGTGCTGAAACTTGTGAAGTCAATGTCTTTTTAGGGTTTAGGGTTAGGGCTACAGCACTTAAAGTAAGGTAGCATCTTGAGCCGGTTCTGTCCGCATGTGGTGCTCGCAGGTCCGATCCCGAACTGCAACATACTTGTGCTCCTACTGTTCTGGTGGCCACTCCTACTTTCATCCTTCCTTCTTGCCGAAACCCGTTGCCCATGCCACATCTTCCGTGATAGACTGTCAAATTTCTGCTGCTTCACTCCGAAGAACCAAAATATGCAGTCACCCTCTTTCGCCAAAGCCTTCAAGTACAGATTCGCCCCGATTCCAGCCCCAACCACCTGCGTTAGTGGTTCCCCGTCCCATCTGGGCATTGGAATCGGAGCCCACCGGTGTTTTGGGACCCTAAACCCTAAACTGCCACACAATGAACTTAAGCCCTCTGCAACCGTGGAAGGTCTCTGGCCTCCGCTTCCCGGTCTCCTCGTCCCAGCTGCAGAAAACTGGCGACCTGGCTATGCTCAAGCAGGCAAAATACGAGGGTTTCTTACCGTTTCTGCCTCCTGCGCAAGCAAACCATACGACAGAAAATGCACGTAGATTTTCGCGGCAGAGGGTCCCTTCATTTGTTTGGGATGTGTCGGTCGAACACATCTATACTCCCCTTAAACCTTTATAAAAATACTATTTTTAATATTCTCTTAGGTTTTATATAAACAAAAAATCATTCGCAAGGGAGGTAGAGACATAGCTGGCGGAGATGCCGGGGTAGCCGTGAGAATTCGCCAATTACAATGCTGTGACCTTCCTTGGCAAGTGTGCCTGAAAAGGGTTTAGGGTTTAGGGTTAAGGGTTTAGGGTTTAGGTTTTAGGGTTTAGGGTTTCGGGCGTAGCCACACATTTCCCATTACCCGTGCTCGCATCTGAGTTTCTGTGGCGATCAAGACCTGGGCTGAATCCCTTAGGCGTTTTTACTCAACCCAGTCTCTTCTCCACACCAGCTGCCCCTAAACCCTAGACCCTAAACCCTAAACCCCCTGAAGCCCTGCGACTCTAAGACCCCCTCGACAATGCAGGCTTGGCAGACACCAGGGCTGCAATGGGCTCAATGTTTTTGGAGCCCTGCTCCAGCTTCTCGAGCGTTGGGAACTCGAAGTCATCTTAGAATTGCTGTGGAACATCGGCCGACCCATCTTCTCCCGAAGCATTCTGCGCAAGATCGTTGATGTCTGCTTTGCATGAGCGATCCTTCCGGTTCAAACTTCAAACGCCAAGATTGCGGCCGACATAGTTGCGTGATGAAGGCTTCCTCAGAGGGAGCGCAAGTGCATTGACAGAGCGCGCTATGCCCTAGCGACTTGTCAGTCATCCCGGCGCGAACGTCGACGTGACTTCGCTGGGCACCTCTCCATCTTGCTCTTAGCTCGCGGCTTGTAGATGGGAGATTCCTGCACGTGCGCGCGCATGACTACTTATTCCTGATCTCGCACGCCAGGCCAAGCAAGCTGACGCTTGACATTCCTGCCCATGATACCTCTCCCTCGGCCTTCCATGATGCTTCTAGGGCTTTTTTAACGTTAAAGCCCTAAATAACGTTTAAAACCCTGAAACCCTAAATGGGGTTTTATAACGTTAAACAACCCTAAATTCAGACCTTGATCTGTATGGGCCGCAAGTGCCCGGTCCTTGAGAAGCTTGGCCACATTCACACGGCTGTCGAGCGGCGCATGGCCAGCATCTTCCAGCTCCACCACCTTAGCTTCTTGCTCATCCCGGGGGGCATTTGGGTATCCCACGCATTCACAGCTCCCTAAACCCTAAACCCTATACCCTGAACCCTTAAACCCTTAGCCCTTAAACCCTTAAACCCTAAACCCTGAGTTCAAAGGACATGGCTTGGAGGCGCTTGTCGCCGCATCGAGCTCGAAGAACTCCCCTGTGGCGGCATGCTGAATGAAAGGATATTTCCCTGCTACGGCCATGAAGACTGATTCTGACATGTATTTACATATATATATATGCACATGATATAATAGTTATATATATATATATATATATATATATATTAATATACAAAAGACTATATCTTACATATTATATGTTTGCATGAAAACTGTTATTATTGCTACTATTATTCTTATTCTTATTCCTTTTCTTATTCTTATTCTTGTTCTTAGTATTATTCTTATTTATATATATATGTATGCTTATCTATTTTTATTTTACGTACATATATACATATATACATATATACATATATACATATATACGTATATACATATATACATATATACATATATACATATATACATATGTACATACTTATTTCTTCTTGGGCCGGCCGCAGCCTCAATCGATCTGCCTCCTGGTCCGAGATCAACAAGCGGTCACCTGAGTTGGGCCATGCCTTCCAACAACCACAGCAACTGACTTCCCAAAGGGCCCAATACCCCTTAATTAAGGCACCTTCAATCATACTAAGGGTCCCTATATGTGGTTTGAGAAAATTCCTTAATTAAGGTACCTTAAATCATACTAAGGATCCCTATGTGGTTGAAGGAACATTCCTTAACTAAGGGGTATTGGGCTCTTTGGGTTCGTGTCATGCGCATCCTCCTTGGGTCTTTGCTGTCTGAAGCCAGAAGGAGCGTCGGCCTCTGGTGACCCAAAGCCAACTGGTCTAGGGTTTAGGGTTTAGGGTTTAACTCAATGATGGCTTGCTGTTGTGCTGTTAAAGCCTACCAGGCATGATTCGACTCTTCACACCTGCAATTGCAAAGTTGGTGAGCAGGCAGCGTTGATCTAGTGTTGTGCCCACCTGAACATGCGAAACTTGGCACAGGCTCATCTACAAATAGCCCCTACAAGCCCTTAGACCTTTGTGACCTCTGATCCGCCCTCAACCCTAAACCCCCAAACAAAAGAGCCTCGTTTGAGCCCAGGCTCTTGATGCAAACCCTGAACCCCTACACCCTCCTAAACTTTCCTAAACCCTATAACGGGGCGACTTAACAGTCCGCCATCTGAAAAGCCTTTTGCGCTCAGCAACGTGGCAGCCATCTTGTCTACCGAGCCCGCCCCCTGCCACGTTTACTGTCGTTGTTGCTGTCATGACTTTCATACAATACAATATTATTCAGCGTATATGTGATGCTACTTTCTCATTATATTGCTGAGGTCATGCCAGGCTTCGTGTGAGAGCAGGCTGGCAAGAGGGCATGATGAAGACGGAGCTTGGGGTGCTTGTGGCATCCTGGCTCCCCCATGTCACTTGCACGCGGGGGAGTGAAAGCCAGCCGGTCTTCAACGGAATGAGAGAAAAGCTGGGAATGACGTCGTTGGGATCGGCTGTTGCAAGGCAAGCAGCTTGGTAGCAGGTCGGACCAGAAAGCAGGTACCTGTCCGGAACTTCCCCTTCACCCTGCAAGACGCGTACCTTGATTTCGTCATGATCCACAGTTCTGGCATACCTCAGGCAGACCTGCACGACCAGCGGTGTTCCAACTGTCCCCGTGCTACTGACCTGCAGTTCCACTTGCATGCTCTGGCTACTGGCAGCAGCAGATGTCGGCGCAGGCAACAGCCACTCAACTACTGCTGCGGGCAGCGGGTTGGGTGGCCAGTTGCTGCTCGCTTCCTTCCAGGGGAAGAAAGCTTGCACTGCTTGGTATCGATGGAAGAAGACGCGCAGACGAGGGCGTGACTTCAGCACCAAGCCTGGCTCGAAAGGCCAAAGAAATGCGTAGGAAGACCCGGGCTGCATCTGACCCATCTTGCCAAGACATGAAACAGCACGTTCGGTGTCGCTGCCCTCCGGGGTGAAGAACACCTCGGCCTTGACAATATCGACAGCCGTGGCGAGGTGGCATCGCAGCGAGAAGGACACCGGCCTTGGGGACGAACTGAACCCTAAAATTGGGGTTATATACCCTATACTACTATAATTCCTATTAAGGTATATGAACCCGAAACTTGGGGTTATATACCCTATACTACTATAATTCCTATTGAGGTATATGAACCCTAAAATTGGGGTTCTATACCCTATACTACTATAATTCCTATTAAGGTATATGAACCCTAAACCCCTAAACCCCTAAACCCTAAACCCTAAACCCTAAAGCCCTAAAGCCCTAAACCCTTTTAGGGTGCGTTTAGTCCCCAAGGGGCTTCTGAGCCAGCATCGCCGCAGAGAGCCGCTCTTCCGCAGTGTGCAGCTTCAGGGCGTGCCTGTAGTGTTAGGGTTTAGGGTTTAGGGTTTAGGGTTTAGGGTTTAGGTGAGTCATTTTCTATACAAACACTTCAAAGCACCGACTTGGACACCCAGGAAAAACACGCCAAAACTTGAAGCCCTCAAGGACCCTGCCGCATGCCATGTTGCTTGAATCTGATCTGTGGAGTCCAACACTGCGCCTCCGCGTCTCCGCCGACCTGCTGGATCTCAAGTCCGAGTGAGACGCTGCAGGCATGCCCACAGCGAACAGCCAGCGGCAAAGCGAGGCAGGACACGCCTGGGAGGCCCAAGTGGCAGACTAGTGCAGTCAACTCGCGTCAGAAAATTACACTTAATTGAATGTGAACTAAAAACGACAGTTTGTTTCATGTGCTTTCGCACACAGCTACACACACCTACACTTCCAGAAGATGCTGCATTGAACAGCAAGAGGCCTTTGGAGGCCTCGTGTCTGAGCCGGAGAGGCGCGCCCTTGAGGTCGCCAGGCTCCAGGCTCAGAAGGCCTGCACGTGCCTTGAGCTCCGACGTAAAGTCCGCAACATGAATCTTCGAGCCCGAAGTGCCGAGGGACTCCAAGTCCCAGACTTGCTTGTCAGAAACTTTCAGGAGGTCCACCCTAACACCCGGCTTCTCAGCAAGGTGCGGCGCGTTCTCATCCAGATCGTCGCTGAAGCGCACGTGGCAGGCAAGACTTACTTGGCAGGACCCCATGGGTGGCCGCTCCGGCCACGCGTAGACTACGACGTAGAAGAGGAAGCACTCCGACACCAAGCCAGCTACTGGCTCCACCGGGAGGACGGCTTCTGCCTGCAGCTTCAGCCGAAGGTCGCTGGGCTTCCGCAGCCCTTCTTGGGATACCTGTGTTGCGCTCGACGTGCCGTCGGCAAGGTGGAATGTAGGAAATCCAGAGTGGATACCAGCATCGCTGATGCAGTCTCTGGCAGAAGGGCACGGCTTCAGCTCACACGCACCTGGCAAGGGGTCGAAAAGCATCACTCACTGTTACGCCTGCCTGTACATCATCAAGACATAATCATGACATACTAAGACGATACCAGGTTCCGACACAGCTTTTCATCACGCTCTATCCAAGCGCTCTCGTCAGGTCAGTTCAATCGCTCAGAAAGTCAACTTGCCACAAATGTACGGGCAACGAAACAGCCCTGTCGGCCTAGAAATACCACTGAAGGAGACTTCGCCCAGGTCAAGCAGACCTGCAGCCAGCTCCCTACATGGGATTTTCCGATATAGGAGTACCCTTTAAGGGGATCCTATTCTGTTTGGGGGTATAAAAAGGGGTACCCCTGTTTTGGGAGATGCCCGCATCTTCGCTACTGATCATGACTTACGGGCCGGGAATGTTTTCAAAATGCGACACGATGTGTCGATTCCAGCGGAAGCCGACCCTGTGGTCGTCATTAGGGGGTGTTTCCAAAGAGGCCTGCGTTGAGTGACGCGTGTCCCACAGAAAGCCTACCAAGCAGAACAACTATATAGCGTTAGTGTTCTCGATTCAAATCTTCGAAGAATGCCCGCCCCTCCAAAATAGAGACCGTGCTTCACAAACTTAGTGTGACCATGGCGTTCAACGATTGTAGGCAATCAATTTTCAAAGGTCTGCTCCTCGCCGATCGGCTAACCCCGTGCATCGGAAACAAGCCCTCCACAAACAGCCCTTGAACTCACCTTCTACGATGGTGCCAAACATGCGGGTTCCTCCTCTCAGCCTCTCCAAGCATAGTGGTGAGTGAGGATTTTCAGATACCACGAACTATAGCGATCGCTGCATGTGAGACATCGTAAGACCGTAAGCCCTCGCACGAACGCTCTGATCGTTGCTCGTTCGGTCTTCCCATCGGGAGCGGCGCTCTCGGTTGCCGCCCAGGGTGTGGGATGAGGCTGGTTTGGAACAAGGTGCCCGGCTTTCAGGGCACAAGTATTCCACGCTCAGAACGACACGATGATTTTTTTTTTTTTTTTTTGGGGGGGGGGGGCTTCGAGGGTTGGAGGAGGTCTTATCCAAGTCCTTAACAGCCTTAACGTTCCTTAAATGACCCAAGCCCCGTTGCGCGTACAGGCTCGCCTGAAGCAATGCAGCTATTCTCGGGGGTTCAACTTCTAGATGATTTTGTACTTGAGGCAGAAGTGCTTCAAGACATCGACACGGAAGATGTTGCAACTAGCAACTGCACATTCTGCCGCATTCTGAAGCCTGCCGTTGCATCTGGCCTTGCTAAAGCCTTTTGCTGAACTCTGGCCCTGACACCTCCCACATTGCGGACTAAATGACCCTAACCGGGTTTATGGTTCATATACCTTAATAGGAATGATAGTAGTATGGGGTATATGACCCCAATTTTCGGGTTCATTTCGTCCCCAAGGCACCCCACCCCTTCCCACCCGCCCCCGTGCCGTGGTCACTGCCGCGCCCGTGCCGGGCAAGGAGCCGCGCAGCCGCAGGACGCACCCGACCTGCCATAAATGGGCTCTTCGGCCCTATATTCCCCATAATCAACCCTCGAAGGGCCTTTTTTAAAGGGGTTGTAGGGCATGATCAACCCTATGAAGGGCCTTTTTAAGGGGTTATAGGGCATCATCAACCCTATGAAGGGCCTTTTTAAAGGGGTTATAGGGCATAATCAACCCTATAAAGGGCCTTTTTTAAAGGGGTTATAGGGCATAATCAACCCTACAAAGACCTGCAGCAAGAGACTCATGATGCTTTGGGGCTGGGTCGCTGTCGGACTTATGTGAGGCCCATACAAGCCTTTCAAAAGCCTCTTTGCTTTTGTGGACATCGCCCCGATTTTTCGGTTAAGCCTTGGTTAAGCATGCTTGTATAAACCTCCAAGTCCAGACCTTTCTACGAAGCCAACCAGGAAAATATAGAAGACCTGCAGAAACTGTGGTAGCTCAGTGGTGACATGGTCACCTCCTCCAGCCCTGTCCAAAGGTGCACCTTGCCTGCAACTTGCCTTTCAACCTCCTGCAAAATTTGCATGGGGGTTTACGATTATTAAGGGGTACCTTGTTGGGGTCGATGTTCTCAGGGGATCCTACATTTTACTCGGCGCTGTCTCTGATCCTACTATTTGGGGTCTATATTAGGGGGCCCTTATTATCGTAAACCCCCGCATGCGTTCTCGTGCAGCTGCCTGCCAAGTCTGACCTTCGCCAGCTTCAATGCTGAGAGGCACGTCGCCTCGAAAGCGAAACCCAGGACCCCATAACACAGTCCTTAAGGACGAAAGGAACCCGAAACACCCTATACCACTATGACTCCTTTTAAGGTATCTGAGCCATAAATCCTTTTAGGGTTCATTTGGTCCCTAAGGGTTTTGCCACCAGCATACGTATGACACATGCATGTCCGCTACAGGACACGAGCCGCTTGGCGGCTCACTACCTCCAACTTCGGTTTAGGGTTTAGGGTTTTAGGGTTAGGGTTTAGGGTTTAGGGTTTGGGGTTTTGGGTTTGGGGTTTGGGGGTCTTGTTGGGCAGGACCCTATGGAGCATGCAAGGTTTGCGGCCAAGCATCCAGTGGTAGTTCTGGCAAAACAGCTTGCCAGCTCCAAGCTAGCAGGCAGATCAAGCTTGCCAAACTCAACATGGAACATGTCTGAATCTTCAGCAGCCTCGCTCCAGGATAGCTGACACCGGCTCAGCGGGATCTCGATACTCCCAGCCTCCTCTTGGGTTGCAGCGCTGGCCACCAAGGCCACCAGCTCCTCTGCTTGGCTGAAGTCGGATGACACCGCAGAATCCGGAAGCTTCAGGTACTCGAAGGCGTCTTGCACCAAGCTCCTCCTCAAGATGCTGAGGTCCTGCGCGGGAGACGGATCGGCTCCAGCATCCAGAAGAGAGCTGGCAGGAACTGCTCGAGAGGAGGAGCAGAGCTCCGGGACCTTCATGCCCAAGGCCGTGGCACAGCACAGCAGCGAGCGCTCCAGGGAAAACCGTCGCAGCGAGGGCCAGGAGGGTGTGGGCATCTGCCCGGAGACCATCTGCCCGGGCAGCTGCCGATTCTGCGTGTTCAGGCGCTCAAACAAGTTCCGAGCAGCTTCTTGGTGCCCAGTGCCAGGCTCACAGAGGTAAGCCTCAGCCACACGTGCTTGAGAGGAAGTGGTCCAGGCGGCGTAGCCACGCTCCTTGGCTGCGGCCTGTGCCCGGATCAGCAGCTTCAAGCTTCGGTCGGCGTGGTCTGTGCAGAGCTTCGCCTGGAGGCAGAGTCCAAGGCTTCCCAGAAAGGTTTAGGGTTGTAGGGTTTGGGGTTTAGGGCTTAGGGGAATTACTTTCAGGGGATGAGAACACGAGGGCTGAGAACCCTTGCTCTCTGCGCGGGTGCTCTCCTAGGGTTTAGGGTTTAGAGTTCAGGGTTTACGGGCACACAGTGCCTCAGCATGTGCCAGTCGCAGCGCCACCTCTCGGCCAGGCGCCTGGGCTTGAGGCTTGAGGGCTGGCTCGTCATGATTCCCTTTTGACTCCAGGCTCTGCCGGATCCGAACTTACTGACAATCTGTGAAAAATGTGTGGACAATCGTTCCGTTGCTCTCTCTCATGATGTTCACGAGAAAACAACCACAGGGTGGAACACGCAACATGTCAAAGTGTCCTATGATTCCCTGAACCCTTAAACCCTAAACCCCTAAACCCCTTTGCATCCTAACCCCTAACCCTAAACCCTTACTTGCAGTATGGGCATGCGTGGGCTCTCTATGTCATACTTTCGGCTCTGTTCGCCTCGGCCTCCGATGGGCGCTCCAGAACTCCAGCCTGCACGCTCGAGACACGGGCTTGCAACGCATGGGCAAAAGGAAAAATGTGCATGTACACTCATATGAATACATGAATATACATCAATACATATATATATATAGAAAGATATATACAAGTATTTGTATGAATATACATAAATAAACAAATGTAAAAACAAAAATACAAATATATAAACATATCGATAAGTAAGTAAATAGATAAACAGATAAATACATTATATATATATATATATAACAAAAAGACTAAACTAAATAGGCAAATAAACATAAATAAATAAATAAATAAATATATATATATATATATATATATATCACGAAACTTCAGCAGACTCGAGCGGAAAGTCGCGCATTGCGGCCTGGCCCAGGAAAGGCGAGGGCCGGAGCTCGCCGCCCTGCTCTGAAGAGGGGGCGAGGTGCCCGGGCTCCATGCATCGCAGGGCCCACTCGCCTCGGAGAAACGGCTCGTGACTTCTGGTGTCGTGACGCTGCATGTTGCTGCCGTTGCGCGGTAGCGGTGTGTGTGTGTGTGTGTGTGCCATTCATGTCCATGACATGTTGCTGTGTCAGACAGGTGAGTTCTTCATTGGGGTCGCATCTTGATGCGTGCAAGGGGCGCAAGCGTCGGGCGTAGCTCGCTGCAACCTCACCCAAACACAACATGGCAGAAAGCTTCTCACCAAGCACAAACCACGGAGGTGGCCTGGTAATGGAATCCTGGGAACTGCCAGAGGTCATTCTGGTCGATAAGCCTTGGGTTGGCCATGGATGGCCCAAGTCGGCGGACAGCGGATAGCTGTTCGACATTCCTTTTGTGCAGACTGACACTTGTGTGTACAGTTTGTTCAACTCACGTGCGGCGCACAACCCACACCGCTGGCTCACTGCTGCTCTGAACCCACAACTTGACCCCATTATCTCTCAGTCTTTGCACAAGGCCAGCCTCTTTTCTAACATCAATCAGGCAGCATTGGTGCTTTCTGCGACATTGTGTCCAGAAAGTCGCCTTGGCACAGGTTCTTTCTCATGCCTGCATACAATTGCATAGACTACAGCCTGGCCACGGCTGCCGAGAAAACAAAGTTCGGTCTTGCAATCAGGCGACCAAAAACCACATGATTCCTCAGCTTGTTTTGACGCTTGTCCAAGCTTCTGACAGCCATTCAAGAAGCAAGACAAGCCCAAGCAATCTGTAAGTCACTAGTTGCGACTGCGCATCAGGGACAGCCAGCGCCATTTGCGCCACACCAGCTCATCGTCATCAGACTCAAGCGCAAATCTTGCAGCTTGCAACTCGCCATATACAATATGCAGTTGCTGCGGCAGCCACCGCACCTGCAACCTCTACTGATGCACCTTGTTGCGGAGTGGCCGTCTGTAGAGGTGCTTTTGCCGAGAGCGGTGCGTGCGGGGCCTTTTGCGTACAAGCGAAACTTTAACTGCCACCAAGCTACACAGCACGTTCTGAGCGAGGAGGTGTGTATGCGGCAGTGGTGCACGGCAGCTCCCACGTCGTGTGATGCGAAGTATCTCTCGTACATCCTCCATGCATCACCAACACTTGCAAGCATGCATGGGCAGGACAAGGGCAGAAGTGGCAAGCGGCTCTAGGCTTCGTCGACGAAGACGCATCAAGCCCTCATGCCCAGGAAACAAAAAGAAGATTTGCCAGAGATTGCGAAGATACACAATGCAAGTTTCTCGTGACAAGTATATGTTGGGATGTTCTCCCTTATACTAACCGTCCTTAATCCGGGATTATAGTACCCCCTATGATAATCCCTATTTAAGACTGTTAGCATAAGGGGGAACATCCCACATTATATATTTGTGCTTCCTGCATGCCCTCTGGTCCTGACTGTTATGTGGTTGCAAAGATCCATTCTCTCGATCGGGTCAGCGACATCTGTGTTGTTGAGCAGCAGCTCATAAGCCTGGTCATGCATGGACAAGCAACAACTGCCATCCCATCGTGTGCTGCTAGCCTCATCTTTTGCTTGTCAAGCTTGTGTGCGGGATTCCTGCCTTGATGTAGGCTGTCAAGGCAGCACGCACATCCTTGCGGAACTCATTGAGAAAGGCAACCTTGAAGAACATCCTCACCTGTTATGGCGCCGTTTGATGTTTTACCAAGACTCGACACCTCGCGAACATGACGAATTCAAGAGCCCCCCACCTGCATGGCGGTGTGTGCCGATGCCGGTACCTGTGTGAATGCAGGATTTTTTGCCAAAGCGGGCCAGATGGTGCCTGCGGCCCTGAATCTAGTATTTGCTTCAGAACCCCCAAGAATAAAGACTAGTAGTCCCCGTATTGCCCTAAAAAGGAAGCATGTTCTTTAGTTTCTGGGTGGTTCTTATGCATATAGTAGGTATGAGCAATGTCAAGGCTATGCAGGGCAAATGTTTCTGGCCAGCGGCTGGAGCTTTCGGTGCCCAGGGCTTGCGCAGCCGCTTCTCCTCATCTGCCTGGGACTTCTTGAACTGTCATACCCAGAGAGCCCAATTACCCCTTAATCAAGGAATACGCCTTAAATCACATTAAGGACCCCTATGTTATAGTTCAGGGTATATTCCTTATTTAAGTGATGCCACGTAGCATAGAAGGACATGGCGCTCTGGTAAATGAGGCGCTCGAGTTTCGGCGCCTGAAGCCACATGCGTTCATATGTAGACGGTTTCACTTGAGGCTCTGATGGCCAGAAGGCCAACTACCCTAAACCCTAAACCCTAAACCCTAAACCCTGAACCCTGAACCCTAAACATACCCCGAGTGAAAGGCTATGATTCCTCCCCACTCATGTGTCCTTTTCCCTTCTGGGTGCAGACCTTCATCGGCAGATCAGGTGTCCCAACCTGGTTCATGGTTGGGATCGTATTAAAATTTAAATTTACAGTCCTTATTGGGTTTAAGTACCCTTTAAAACCTAATTTATATTCTTATTGGGTTTAAGTACCCTTACAAATGTAAAATGTTACCCAACTATGACCAAGCAACCGCCACCACGAGTCCAGCAAACTCAGGCTGATTTCGGAGGAAGCCGCAAGAAGCCTGGAACAGTAATGCTTGCTGGATTTTCTTATGTTGCTATATGATGAAAGTTTAATCTTATTATAAGAGCATTATATTGTGACCATCTTTTCCCTGTGAGAGCACATTCTCACCGAAGCAGATGACTTTCCGGCAATAGGGTCTTGGTGCCAGAGGGACTCTCGTGCCTCAGGGTCTGCAGTGCTCTCATGGAGAATGATGAAGATCAGCAGCCGAAGGTCGCGTTCCTCCAATTTGTATATCAGGGTTTAGGGCTGAGGGTGTAGGGATATGCATGCGCCACGAGGCCAGTCTAGAGTAGAATCGAAAGATGGCCAAGACGGCCCTCTCGTCCTGTGCAGCATACTGTATTGTTCTGCAGCTCACTTCCGCGTGGCCCTGTTCGGCTCGGAAAGCATGCGCACATGTAGTCATGCAGTACGAGTTTCAAACCCTAAACCCTAAACCCCAAACCCAAAACCCTGAACCCTGAGAGCAGGCTCGGCTGCCTTTGCTTGCCGGCGCGCATGCTGTAGATAGTGCAGTACCTGCGACTCTTCCTGCCAGACGTCACGAAATCAGCAAGCACTTCCATGTTGTAGATGGCAAAGGGCTCGATTTTCTTAGATTGCTGCTCACATACAGAACACAAAGCTGCAGAAGACAATCAGGAACTAATCCCCATTCAATAGTCACCATAAACCCTAAACCCTAAACCCTAAACCCTAGTAACCCTAAGCCCTAAATCCCTTCTGCGCAGTCCTGCTCCGGCTGGCGCAGGTCTTCGGACCAGTCGATGCAGAGGACGAGCACAGCCGGGATACCGTTGCACAGCTTCTCGAGCCTGCAGAGCCGACCCTGAACCGCGCTCAGAACCCTCAATTGGGTTTAGGGTTTAGGGTTTAGGGTTTAGGGTTTAGGGTTTTTTGTTTAGGGTTTAGGGTTTAGGGGTTTGGGATGTAGGGGTCAATATAGGGTGGTCTCCAAGCCTGTCTGAAACGCAGCGCAAGACCCGAGGAGTCTTATAGCAACCGAGGTCCCCGTTGCCGTTCTGTTTTTCATACATTTGTTCACAAAGGACTCGGCGGCTGCCTGTCTTCATGTAGAAAAATATTCATGTATTCTGTATTCTCATTTAGGGTTTAGGGTTTTTTTTTGCCACCCGCTTAGCTGACCTGTCGGACACTCTGCAGGGGAGGGTTTAGGGTTTAGGGTTTAGGGTTTAGGATATTATTACCCACAGCTAGCCCTTCAAAGTGACTGCCGAAGCACCAGCGGCGCTTGATGATGCCCTCCACCCGGTAGCCCGGCGAGTCGCGGCCGCCCCGTTTTGCGGGCAGGATTCGCATGTCGTAAGTGGAGGACAAGTACCTTTTGCTGTTAGGGTTTAGGGTTTAAGGTTTAGGGTTTAGGGTTTAGGGTTTTGGGTTTAGGGTGGAGTCTCGGCACCCTATAGGGTCTAGGCATTATAGCATCCCGAAGCCCCCTCTTCTCCCTTCTCCTGCTACTTCCAGAAGCTTTGGGCATCGGAATGCTGCAGCCTGTGGCAACATCCCTAAACCCTAAACCCTAAACCCTAAACCCTAAGCAGAGGGGCTTTGTGCGCTTCGCCCCGCAGGCTGCGATGGCGGCGTCATGGAGCGCCTGCTGGAGGTCTTGTCCATGTTTAGAGGTACGAAACACGTGAATACAAAAATATGTTACTCTCAGAAGATAAGAAATACAAAATGACAACAAAAAAACTCTCCTATTCAAATATTAATATAACAGTGTGAGAACATTACTTAAAGCAGGCGACCTTGCATGCAGGCTTGAGGGTTTGGGGTTTGGGCTTGCAGAAGGCGAGGCTGCTTTTGCATGCGCCAACAGTCACAAGGCAAAGATGGTTCATTGAACCAAACTGTTCATCTGCCATCATTTTTCAGAAATGCCAAGTCAGGTACCAAGACGTTGTGAAAGGAACAGGCGTAAGGACCAAAAGACCTGAAACCCCTGCTTGATCTGCCGAGCTCAGCCCCGAAACCACATCCTGAACGCAGAAACGAAAATTGCCATATTAGATTGTGCTAGTTGTTTAAACTATTAGATTACACTACCAAACACCTAGGATTGGGATCCATGGCAACTAAACTCATCCTTCACCTTGCAAGCCCGGCTCATCTTATGCCAGCTCACCTCGATGAGCTTTGGCTGGAGGGCCGTGGCACCCAGCAGCGAGGCGAGCAGCAAAGGCTGGGTCCGGATCTGCCGGGGTTTAGGGTTTAGGGTTTAGGGTCTAGGGTATGGAATGATGTTGCCCAGTTAGGGCGCGGTGGGCAGGGCGCGACGTGCTTGGCTGTTGGGTTGTATGATTCCGTTGACGTTTTGGTTCCGACCACGACTCCGAGAGAAGCACAGCGAACTGGACAGGAAGGCACAGTTCAGCCTGAAAAACGGCCCCAGAATCGAATTCGTCATGCCTTTGCCGTCTGTACATGGCCAGTCTTCTCTCGGTGAACTATCAACCCTAAACCCTAAACCCCGTGGGATGCAGGGGCCTCTCGAGTGTACTCCTCCATGTTCACCGCATCACTGCCATTGTCGCAGCATCACGGTTGCACCCCTAAACCCTAAACCCTAAACCCTAAACCCTAAAGTTGCAGCTGCAGAGCTGCGTCAAGCTAGAGACCCGGGCGAAGCTTTTGGCTTCGGGATTGCCAAGGGCTTTGAGCAGTATCTTTGGTTCAGTGTATGTTGGACTCCAAAGTGGCCCATATGCAATTGCTGCAACAATCCCTGTGGGTCGATGAAAGTGTTGTTGGTGTAACTAGCCCTCATGGCAGTGCAGAATCAACAGAGGGAGGCAGACTTGAATCATCATGTCGAACTGATTCCTTGATGTTTCTGGTGTGTGCATTGGCATAGAAAGGAGCTATTAACATCTGAGCTTCTGCAGGGCTCAGCAGTCTTGTTTTTCGACAGCTCAGACGGCTGGCGGCGACATGCTTGACTGCCGCTTACAAGCAATGGAAGTGTCTGAAGAAGGTTGGCTCTTAAAAGGTCCTCTATGTGCACATACACGGGCGGCAAATGTGGGTGCTGAGCGTGGGGCGGAAGCTTCGCTCCTGCACGTGTTACCTACATCACAACTGCCCTCTGCTGATCTGGCGTATCTTGCCATATGCCCACTCAGAATGCCGGGCGATGGAAACAACGACATGTCAAAATCTGCTCCTCCGAAGGAGTTGCCGCGACGTCTGCGAAGCTCGCTGTTAACCTGGACTCGCCAAGAGGCGGTCAGGAGAAATGTTGCATCAAAAATTAAAGGTACGCAGCTAGAAAAGCCACTGCAATGGCAGCTAAACTTTCCATTGGCTGTGATCAAACTTGGCATGGGGTCATATGACGTCCCGTGGCATGTTGCTTCTACGCATATTCGCCAGTGTAGCATCCAAGCACATGGTTTAGGGTTTAGGGTTTGTAAGTCCACAGGCTGAGGGCCTGACCAATTCGCAGCCATCACGCAACCAGTGACGAAGTCGGAAACGAACAGTCTCTGGTGGCAGCAGCTGCGCTAAGTTCTCCGGATACCTGGGCGGGGGGTTCCCCAATGGCCCATGGAGTGTTCTCCTAAACCCGAAACCCTAAATACCCTAAATACCCTAAATACCCTAAATACCCTAAACCCTAAACCCTAAACTCTAAACCCTTGTGTGGCTGTTGGGGTGCTCTCTCAGGGTGCTCTGCACTCTGAAGCGGTCTTAGGCTGCTTTGACCACGTGGGAGAAGTTCAAGGGCCTACTGCGGGCAGGGGTCGGCTTTGTGAGGACTTGTTTTGCCATCCTCTGGGCCTAGGGTTTAGGGTTTAGGGTTTCGGGTTTTGGGTTTAGGGTTTTTTCTTGTCACCCCCCTCAGGATACTTAGTAGATTTTGGGGTTCGGGTGATTCGGCCCATGAATAGAACTTCTCAGATTCTGCCTACTCCTAAAGTTGCCACTCCTCAGTCCCTCAGCAAGCTCAGCACAGGAGCAAACAACCCTAAACCCTAAACCCTAAACCCTAGACCCTAAACCCTAAACCCTAAACCCCAAACCCTAAACCGTAACATGAACTCCTTGCTTAAAAACCGAACTCTCGACCGACAGCTTCGCCTGTTCTCGATCTGAGCCAGGAGCAGGAGGAAGTTCTCGATGGCGGGATCCAAGTTGGTTCCATCTTCGGCTTTTCTGGGGCTGAGGACATTCAGCGCCTCTGGCCAAGGCGGCATGAGATGAGGGAAGGATTCGCGACTGTTATGCCTCTATGCACATGAAGTCGGCAATGGTAAGCAAGGTCACCAAGCCTTTCATGTCATAATCCATGGCGGAGCATATGCTGAGTCACCGGCAATCTTCGAGAACAGCCTGCCCAACCTGCCACACAGATCTGGAGTTTCTCCGTTGCGCCCTGACGCGAGCCCTCCTCTCAGCTGCGGTCGTGTGAGAGCCACGTACTAAGGCCGAATCTGCGTCGAATCTGCCACGGTGCCGGTGAGAGCCTCAAAAGTGCAAAGAAATGGGGAGAGAACCCAGAATCCTGAGATCCCATCCCAGAGCCCCAAGTCAGCTCCAGCGTGAAAGATTCCAACGTTTTGCCCATCAAGAAAGAACATACAAACACACAAGTGGTGTTGTGAGATGTGTGAGGCATCAGATGGATCAGGCTTTGGACCCAGAAGCTTGGATCATGGACAGCGCAAGAGTTTGCCCAACTCTCCTCTGGGTTGGCGGCGGAGCCGGCCACATATGGATACGGCGACAGAGCCGCGCGGTTTTGCAAGTCCTGTTGGCAGCTGGTTTTTCGACAAGAGAATGTCAAACTGCGTTCTTGTACGCATTGCAGTAAATCAAGTGCGGCTGCTGCGGGTTTAAAGTCTGTAGAGATATATACATATACATCTGTATACGTATGTATATATATATATATACATAAAAATTTCTTCTGGGTACTGCATGCAGAAAAACGCAAGTTATGGGACACCAAGGCATCAGGTCCTGGAACAGGTCTTGCATGTCCTGATGCGGGCTCCAAGTCGGGAGATCTTCCGGAGCCTCTCGATCAACGAATGCACTCAGGGTTTAGGGTTTAGGGTTTAGGGTTTAGGGTTTAGGGTTTAGGGTCACAAGCGGTCGACGACGGATGGCATGGCCACGGTTCTCCAGCTACGTCAGTGTCAGATGTATCGCCCATCTGCCCGGGTGCTGCAGCAGTTGGCAAGGTCAGCTTGCAATCCTGTTTTTCTTGGTAGCCCAGAAACCATATTATCATAAGGCTGCCCTTTTTGGTGTTTAAGTACTTTTATAGGGGATCTGCTGGCCAGTCTCATTGCAAACAACTCATAGCACCCTGATTTTTTCAGAGGCTCGGGCATTCGGCAAGGCCGTAAGGGCGCGGCCTTGGACAAACACCACTCATAGTCTCTATTCTGGAACCGTGCCGCAAAAACTGGCATGGAGCACTTGAGCCAGACTTATAGCATAGTCACACAGTGAAGGATCTAACTTGTAACAGCACAGCCATGTTTAAGCTTCTCACAAAAGCATGTCAAGGCATGCGCACCCATCGGCCCGTTTCAGTGACTTCATGTGATCTCGATGTCAAATATCTACATGTAGCAAGTGACCCTGAAGGTCCCTGAAGCCGCAACCTCTGCATCGGTGCATGAAGAGGGCCGAGCCCAGAAGTGGCCAGATTGTTCGGTCGAAGGATGTCGCTGGATTCACCAGCACAAGGCCTGCTTGGGAGGTCCCGAGTGAGCTGGCACAATGGCTTGGCCAAGGGTTTACATGATCTTGCAGGTGAAGATTCGTCTAGAAGGCGAGAAACAAAAGGAAAACCCTAACTTATAGGGTTTGCAGATAAGAACTAATAACTAAGCGGGTGTCCGCAGCGCCACGTCCACCCGCCACATTGTTAAGAAGTGTGGCCTCGCTGTAGAAACCCTAAAAGCCCAAACTCCAAGTCCTTCAGGCACAAGCACAGGGAGGGGGAGCAGGAGCGGGCAAGGACGCGAGGGCGAGGGAAAGCGAGTGAAAAAGTACCTGGGCTAAGACAGCGCATGTACTGCTGCGACGGTCTTTTTGGCGCCCGATGGCGTGGTCAAGAGGCTGCTTCTGGACTGGACTAATTCGCGGCGATGTAAAGATCAAAGACAGCCGACACTCTGCCTGAATTGACTTCCCTGGCAGACGCTGATGCGATGTGAAACATTGTTCACGACATAACAACATGGAGCAAGCTCCGTGCACATACGTGCCGGGCTATCGTTGGAGCAGACATGTGCCAGGATGGTATGCCAGCCAGCAACGCCGGCACCGCCAAGTGCACAAAGGCCTCCTGGCTGTCTGTCAGAAATTCCTTCTTAGAGCGGCTGAAAGGCTGACACAAACCAACTACATTGGCTCAGCTCACGATGACCAGGTCTCTACTTCGGCTCTGCTGGTGTCTCGGGTTTAGGCTCTGCCGGAGCCGTGCTCTCAGCGCCTGGACTGGCGTCGCCAGCGGGGGCCTCCAGGCAAATGCAGCAAGTGCCAGCTCGTGCCATGCCATGCCAAGCATGTCTCTCAGCTCTTTTGGTCCAGTCGACTTACGTGGGTTACTCGCGCACACGCTCCTTCAGCTTGGTGCAAGCACACGACATAAACTTGACACCTGATCCTACGAACTCTGGCACTGCACACTGCGTGCTGTGATCCGCTCTGTGAGCAATTTCGTAGCCTTGGACTCCTCGGCTTCTCCCTCCTCTGCTGCCAGTCTACATCTACCATGTGTCAAGTAGAGAGCAGCACTCATGAGCACTCATGACGCAGCCCAAATCTGCTCACGCCTCCAACCGTTCAATGGTTCAATGCGTAGAATGATTCGTAAATGGGCTCCTTCGTCTCGGCCGCTCCGTCTGTTGTAGCCTTGTCGCCTGACATGGGTTGTGATGTGGACAGGGGCTAACAATGAAAACCCTAAACCCTAAACTCTAAACCCAAAACCCAAAACCCAAAACCCAGAACCCTAAACCGTAAACCCTAAACCCTAAACCCTGCACCTGCCGCAGCCAGCGGCCGAGCTGTTGCCTCGTCAAGCAGCAGTGCGTGCGCAACGGAATTCCACTTGAGGACGCTCCAAGCCCTACCAAGCCACCGTTTTCAACCTCGAGCCCTGAGATGTCGGCCTTTCTGAAGCTCTTCCGGCCCCCAGGAGTCAGAAGGAAGGCCCCCAGAACCACGATGCTCAAGGACCCGAAGTAGAACCTTGCTATTGCTCTGCCGCTTGGCATTTCGCATGTGGAGATGTCATGATTCGAACACACCTGCCATTCCCAATTACGTGTGCGTGGCACCATTCTATGCTTAAGGATCAGAACTCTCGCTGGATACGCGCTCGGGTCGCCGTGCTATCCACGTGCAGCAGGGAGGATGTTGGATTCTCTGAAACAGTCTTCTAAGAGAGACCGAGGGACCATGCATTCTGAGAACCATGGTAAACTTGTATTGCTTAAGCCTTTCTTCATTCTAAGCAGACACAAGATAGGGGGCAGTGATAGCAGCCTGCTGCGACCATGAAATCGGTTTCGCTAAGGAGGGAGGGACCTCCCTCCCCCCCCAACCGAAGTCGGGACTATCCTGAAGAAATTGTAAGATGTACCATGAAATAAATACAACCAGAATATAACATAACAAAAATGACATAATGATTGCACTTATAAGTATCATGTACGATAGAGGACAGAAAACATGATACAAAGCAAGCATTGAAACAACAGCAGTGTAGTATGACTGCTTGAGAAGGAGTGAGGCGCTTGTTGGACGTGTCGCAGACCAGATCCTGCAACAGCTCCCGGCTCTCCCACCAAAAGAATCATCGACCCGTTTAGGGTTTAGGGTTTAGGGCGAAGAGCGTTCGCAAGTGCTCTCCCAAACTGGTTTCGGATTTCAGGGTGCCATGGTAATGCCAGCGTGCCCCCATGCAACGCACGATTTTCGCCACAGGTTCCCCACACAGAGAGTTTTGGGTTGATCCCAAGGTTGAAAACAACTGTGGGGCCAAGACTTATACGTACTGTTCTTTTCACTGGATCCTACGATTATGAGGAAGAGCACCAATCTTGTGAGAGAGCAGAGGCAGAGTCCTTGGCTGCATGACCGGTGTCATCACGCCAGCGCCCATCTTTGCAAACCCTTGGCAGCCACACAGTGGGTTTAGGGTTTAGGTTTTAGGGTCACGGAAGCCAGCGTTGCACTCTTCCTGCAATCTTCGTCAATCATACGCCTCGTCAAACGATTGTAGAAGAACGAGGACCCTTGCAGCAATGCGCGAAACCCTTAGCAAGATCCCCGCGGTGACGCACCTACGGCGCAGGCTTCAAATGATGCTTTTATGACTTGTGAACGCACACGCAAACGGTCCAGAATCCTTTGTGTGCACCCACGTCCAAAAACTCACAAAAACTCACAATCATGCCGCATGATGCCCCAATACCCAAACCCTAGTGTGGCCAAGCTGCAAGGTCTCTTGGCTCGGCACTTGCCACCAGCGAGCCGCAGGACACTGGCAGGTGCAGTCTGCCCCATCCTGGCCACATTGGGTCGTGATTTCCACCAGAAACCCTAAACCCTAAACCCTAAACCCACAAAACTTCCCTCCACCAGCACCACAGCTTCTCCAGCATGATCAACATCTTCTGGCAAAAAGGTTGAAACCCAAAAATGATCCAGCAAGCAGAGGACACAAAATCCTCTGGCGTTCTAGGGGTCAGGCCTGCTTTCTCGTCAAAAAAGTCTCTAGAGCTAAGAGAGCCTCAAGATCCTTGGCAGCTGGTTGCGGCTGAGCGTCATGCATCCTCTTCCGCCGGATGCCTTTTGCATCTTCGTAGGTGGCCTCATCCTTGACTTCGGCATGTTCTTCGCAGAGGAACTCCTGCCAGGGAGACACCCTAATCCCTAAACCCTAAGGAGGAGACTCTGTGTGATTAACCGCCCGGTTGGAGAGGCATGCCACGCCTGAGCATTCCACATGGGCACCACGCAATCCTCGGCAGCCACAGCGTACCAGGATGGGCGATTCGACCCTATAATCCCCATAGTCAACCCTATATATAGAGCCTTCTTAAGGGGTTGTAGGGTATCATAGCCCATGCTGGTAATGAGGCCTACAGACAGAGGTCAAGTCACTCTATAACCTCCACATCATGTCTGGAATTCTCTCACGTGTTTGCTCTGGGCTCATGACTAGGGATGTTCCACAGTCCTTCATAGGGATTATGATAGGGGGTACAAGAATCCCTATTAAGGACTCTTAGTACATCTTAGTATAAGGGGAACATCCCAGTGCATGACAATTTCTGCTAGTTTCTCGGGCGATCCGACAAACTCATGCTGGCCAGAAAGCTAGTGCAGATTGGCAAGCCTTCTGACAAAACCAACCAGGACCAGCCCTGAGACCCTCGACAGGTACCCAAAACCCTAAACCCTAAACCCTAAACTACTTAAGCTGTTATTGTCAGCAGGGTGCAGCGCCGGCTCGGGGGTCGCTGGGTGACGCAGGGCTGATGTCACCTTCGGAGAGCTGGCTTGGAAGCTTAGCTATACTCCCCCTAGAACCTTGAAAAAAATATTTTTTTAGAACCTTAAATAAAAATAATTTTTTAGAACCTTAATAAAAAAATACTTTTTTAGAACCTTAAACAAAAATGATATGTTTAGTATCCTCTTGGGTTTTATATGAACAAAAAATCATTGACAAGGGGGATATAGCCAGAGGTCAAAGGGTTCTGCCACGGCAGCTCGTAGATGTGCCGCCCCCAAACCCGACAAAGCAACAGCGCGCGCATGCCCAACAGGTTGCAGTTCTTATGTCTTACGTTGCGGTGCGACCTGTGCATTCAGCATGTTGCTGTGATTAGATGGGCAGCCATTCAAAACTACCGGTGATGCATGTAATAAGAAGAATAATAATAATAATATATATATATATTAATATATAATGTATATACTGATATATACTCATCGATAATTCTATAGAACAATATATGTATGTATATAAATACATATGTATATATATATATATGTATATACTGTATTTAATACGCCTGTATGTTGTTACACATAAGAATTTGTATTACAATATGTAAATACTCGTCACATTTTGTGCTTAGTTCATCTTAGTTCAAGGAGTTCTCAGCTCCGGGACTCCGATGCCCCCAGGCCAGATTTCCAAGCCCTTCGCCTACATGACCAGGGTGACTAGAGCTTCACCCCTGCACGGCAACTACGCGAATCCATGTCACCATGCGCATGAGAGGTCTGCCTCAACCGGAGATCCATATGGGGGTTTACGAAAATAAGGGACCCAAAGACCCCCAAATAGTAGGATTCCCTGTTTAATATTGACCCTACCCCGAATTTCGGAAACCTCCATATTCCTGACCCTAACCCCTAACCCCTAACCCCTAAACCCTAAACCCTAAACCCTAAGCCTTCGGATTTCTAAAGGCCAAGGGTCCACCGGGCCCGGCCATACTGACCATGGGCCTGGGATGCCAACATCTTTTGTTCACCCATTTGTTTGCTGTGGCCAGGCTGTTGGGCTTCTGAGGCGTGGAATTGGCGTTGAGGGTTGCCAACAATTTCCTTCCGGGGCTGTTGAGAATTTCGGGCTGGTATTGGGTTTATGATGGTTGATGGCTCGCAGACACTACTCTGGTGGTATAGCTGTGTCGCGCACCCCATTGTAAGGGCCGTCAGGTGTTGGATGCTCGGTTGCCAGTTGCTCTTTCTTTCTTTTGTTGGGCTTGAGGGTAAAGGCCGCGGCCCTTCTTCTTCTGCCGCGCATGGCACGCCCTGTTCTTGTGCGAAACATATTGGGCCCTTCTCTCTCCTCTTCCTCTCTGTTGTTCCTCCCTCTTCTTCCACTTCTTCTCTTCTTTTCTTCTCTTCTTCTTCTTCTTCTTCTTCTTCTTCTTCTTCTTCTTCTTCTTCTTCTTCTTCTTCTGCGCGCTTGGTCTCTCTCCCTCTAGCCCTCTGTCTCAGAACCTGCACAAACATGAAAGGCTGCCAAGAAGCATTCCAGGGCCCATGCCAGGACCCATGCCGGGACCCATGCCGGGACCCATGCTGGGACCCATGCCGGGACCCATGCCGGGACCCATGCCGGGACCCATGCCGGGACCCATGCCAGGGCCCATGCCAGGGCCCATGCCAGGGCCCATGCCTGGCATGCTGGGGCCCATGCCGGGAAAGCCTGCACGCGCGCACACGAGCACAATCCGCTGTTGCGCACAACATCTGTTGCAGCACCCCATGCAGCCAACCTCCATACCCCGGCCCACCAAGTCCTGGCAGGAGTGAGCACTACAATTGTGAGAAGCGGAGATAAGAGGGCATAGGATGGAGCCAAGGCAGAGCACGCAGCAAGTCATGAATGTGACACACACACACACACACACCCATCCGTCAAAACAAAGATGGAACATGAAAACTCATGCAAGGAGGACATCTCCAACGCCAACCCCCAACACCCCTGCCGCCCTCAAAAACAAGATTCTCGGCCACCCCTGCCCTCTGTGGATGCAGGTTTATAAGGGTTTAGGGTTGAGGGTTGAGGGTTGAGGGTTTAGGCCTTAGGGTTAGGTTCGGCCCGACGACTGATGATGCCTACCCTACCCAAGAGCTCCCTGCTCGGAAGGCGGGAGTGTCCTGGTGGGGAGCCCATCTGGGCTGGTGGTCCGAAGCCCGGGGCTGCAAACTGGCCTCAAGCTTGGGTGGGTTTAGGGTTTAGGGTTTAGGGTTTAGGGTTCAGGGTTCAGGGTTCAGGGTTCAGGGTTCAGGGTTCAGGGTTTAGGGTTTAGGGTTTAGGGTTTAGGGTTTAGGGTTTAGGGTTTAATCGCTCACACTCGGACAAGCCAGGCGAGGTACACACTGCCCCATGATCCTTATACGGCCCCCTCAGCTCATGTGGTTTAGGGTCTAGGGTTTATGGTTTAGGATTTCGGGTTTAGGGGGTCCGGGTCTTGGGGTATTTTGACTCCAGTGAATAGGGGAAGCTGGGCTGATGGGAGACTAGGAAAATATATGGATTAGGCCATGAGGGTAGCCATTCTTTTGGACGTCTTGCATTGAGGCACAGCCGAACCGCCTCACTCTTCACACACCAAGTGGCCTCCGCCCATCGAGCCCTCAGAGCGCGAGAGAGCGTTGTCCGATGGTGGGCACATGCATACAGCACGAGAACTTCCATCGGAGGGACATGAGTGCATGTAACCAAATGTTGCAGAAGTTCATGGCGAGCGACGAGCGGGTCGTTGCCCCAAGGCTGCGACATCGTCCTTGGTGTGTCGTGCTTGAT